CTATGGAGGTAAAGCCTTTAAAACTTCTTCCTCGTTATACTGGATAATCGTCATTTGTAAACTCAACTTCTCCTCTCAAGGCTGTCCGACTTGAATGGGCGCCTGCGTTAAAAATCACCCCATCACATGTTGTCATCACAGCAGTCGTTGCCGATCGATACTGTATCCAGTACAGTACATTGTACAATGCTGTACCGTGTTCACTGAGTCGTACTGTACACTGTACACTGTAGAGGATGTACTGTAGACTCTTTGAAAGTGTGTACAGTACACTGTCCTGTATTGCTACAGTATTACTGGAACTTAGTCTTTACTGTACTTTGTACACTACAGTACTGTAAGTGTGACTCGCCTTTCTGTACTGTACTGTACAGTGTGCAATCGATAGTTTTCTACTGTATACAGGCGTTAAGACTGCATTTCTACGGTATCTTGAGTGAAAATATGAAAGTCGAAAAGGAAAACTTTGTCCATCATTGCTTCTAACAAATATTGCCAATTTGAAATTGAACTGTGATATCTCTGTTTTAGTGAAATGATAGTAACAAGGACGTTAAGCCCGTAGAATACTCATAGTGACCATCATTGCTTCTAACAAATATTACCAATTTGAAATTGAACTATGATATCTCTGTTTTAGTGAAATGATAGTAACAAGGACGTTAAGCCCGTAGAATACTCATAGTGACCATCATTGCTTCTAACAAATATTACCAATTTGAAATTGAACTGTGATATCTCTGTTTTAGTGAAATGATAGGACGTTAAGCCCGTAGAATACTCACAGTGACCATCATTGCTTCTAACAAATATTACCAATTTGAAATTGAACTGTGATATCTCTGTTTTAGTGAAATGATAGGACGTTAAGCCCGTAGAATACTCACAGTGACCATCATTGCTTCTAACAAATATTGCCAATTTGAAATTGAACTGTGATATCTCTGTTTTAGTGAAATGATAGGACGTTAAGCCCGTACAATACTCATAGTGACAATCTCACGGTGCGGTCAGTACGTCGGTGCATATACGTACAGTACACTGTGATCATTTTAGTTAGTGATACTGGACCATTGCAGCTCAAGATCCTAAACTGTTGCTATCATCGACTTCCAATTGTGTGTGTGTACGCAAATAAGGAATAGAATAAATAAGGCAATTCGATATCATGAACTTTGAATGAAGACTGGGAAATAGGCTTTTACTTGAGTAGATTGATCTACAGTATACTACAAAAAATTAGACTTTTGCATGGGTTCTACGCGTGCATGGGCTTCATTTGACTGCACACTTTTCAGGGCGAGAGGCAAAGCCCAGGCAGCGTATTCGGTTAAATCGAACAAAGTTCAAATGCAGAATACTGGTAACTGCTAATTGTAATGTGAGACAACTGCTGCTGCAGGTGTGCATATAATTGTACTTGTATATTAAAACTCATCATTACAGAAAGAAATTGTTCTCATGGTATTAAAAAGACATTAAAAGTTTAAAGTTTATTATGTTATAAATATACGAGTACTCGTATAATTATATACTGTATATAGAGATATCGTAAATATACATTAAATAATTATATAATTAATATAGTGTACTGTGTGATCATCACTCATCTGAATTATTATAGGTAATCATGAAATACTATAAATGTACTAATACTTCAAATTCATCGTGTATTAGGCGCTAGAATAAGACTTTTAATTCAAATCGATTCGATGCATACGAGAATTATTTAATTTACATATTTACAATAATTAACCTACACCTAATATACAGTATATTATAAATTAAACGCAGATTAAGATAAAGGCTTCAGTCATTCCAATTAAAACTAGCAGCCATTTGTGTGTAATAAACTTCATTTAGCCTAGAGATTACCCTTGGCGATATTATATTAAATTTCTTGATATGACGCATAAAATATAATAGTTCATTTTGAGAATAAATTTTTAGATATTAATAAATATAGGAGTGATTGCCATTCAGATAGCATAACAATAATTAACTATAATTGACAAGTTGAAGCTAAGTATTTGCTAGTGACGCATTATTTAATTTTTCAATCACTACAAACGCAGCGGCCAATAAACCGGTGCCGACCAGATCTCCTAAGGCGGTGAGATAAGGAATAGCATAGTTATCCGGATCACATTCCCACTCCCAAAACTTAAATACGAGCCAGTTCGTACAGATAAGTAAGAGAGCAACCTGTAGTCAGACAGAATATTAAGGAATCACTATGTCAGCCAATTATATCATGAATGACGTAGAACTGAAAAGTATTAAATTTTATTTGTTACGTTTAAGTTGAAAATATTGCATTGCCTACTTCCTTACTTGAATAAGAGTAATAATCAAGTAAAATAAACAAAATACTAGCGTATATGTAGCGTGCCCGGCTCCGAGATAACTAATTATGTATAAGAAAATCATATGCCCAGGAACAACAAGGGAGTATAATAGTAGAGCTGATCGAAGATGTATGCCTATTAAAAACGATTGCAAGAAAATGAACCCAATTAATACATAACTACCAGCAGATTGTATCTTTTGCTACAACGACTTACCTTTCGTTATACAATATCCGCATGAACCTGATTCGGCTGTCGGCACTAAGCCTAAATGACTACTTTGATGTAAAAATGTTGATATTCGACTTGCTTGAACAGCTGCAATATTACCTCCAACTCCTATTTAGGTGTTTAAAGCAAAACATCAGTGAATATAGTATGTAGTCACATCAGAGATAGCATTAACTTGATTGCTGATGAAAGTATAGGAATGATGAGAATGAGAGTATTTTTACCGTTAACGACGGGGCTAAATACTGCAACGCCATGATACTTTGAAACTGCTTTGTCGAGAATAAGGCCCCCTAAACTAAAGGTTTAACGAAATGATTTTTTGCCCGTAGCGACTCTTGAAAGCGAGCCTGAAACTGAAATTTAAGAAATACCTGCTAATGATCATCGCAGATACTATCGGGATCCAACTGCTATACAGTAAATCTCGAGTAAATTCATTTCTTCTTGTCACGATCCATAATACCGGTAACAATAGAATAATTATAGCAGCTGATAATAGCGCAAGGTATAGTTGATTATCTGTAATAGATTTAGATTCAAGCATATGTAGTGGGCATAATTATCATTCTCATGAGTAATAACTTTCGAATGTTACATAGTACTGAACAAATTAACAGGTAAGGTGTACTATTTAGGCTAGATAGATTATAGTGTTGCAGTCTATACTTACATAAACGAAGATAAAAGGTATTCGATATTCCAGACAGTAAGGATAAAGTAATTAAATCTCCAAAACTTGCAGCTATAGGCGTAGCTACGTTGTCAGGATTGATATTGTATTTTTTAGACAGCAAAATAACTGATACCATAATAATGCCAAGAAATAATGATGCTAGAGATGCCGTAATCAAACTGCTTGTACACAAAAGAAGCCCATGTATGATACTGACATGACCATCTGTTATGAACTTGAAGATTACAGCTGCTAGAGATGCTAAGAATCCCACAACTAAAGCTTGAACCTATCAAATAAGAAATTAGTAAAATATGACAAAGTACATAGAACTACAGAAAGGATCTAGTTATTAATAGTAAAGTCAAATTCTTGCAATTAGAATCAAAAGTCTTAACAGAGATAAAAGATCTAACAATAGCCAATATAAACCTGAGTCAATGAAATGTTTCCGGTTATAATTTTCCAGTTACTTTCGGGGTTATCCATAAGACCTAAATTTGACTACAAGTAAAACGATAAATATTTTCCTAATTTTAGATATGACAAACTACGTAACGATTAGGAATAATTTTGCAATAAAGGGAGTTAAATGTAAGATTTAGTAACATGGCGCCCCTCAAGCAAATATTTTGATGATTAAATAAAAGTAACTTTCAGACAATCCGGGTAGTGGTTATGCTCACACTGCCTTTAAATATGAAATTCTTGGCTATTCTAATAATTCTCTATTAGTGTATCTATTACAAAAAATGTGAAGCGATAATATATATACACACAGTATACAACTACACGTAGTCTTAAGATTAGCTACGGTATCTACAGAGCTATTGAGAATTCTTAACAGTTTTCATTACGATTGTCAAGTGCGGTATATGAACTAGGGGAGTTTTCAATGATGGTATTTAATGTATATATTCGTAGCTGTAAAAGAATCTAATGCTTAAATGCTACTGAAAGATTAAGCGATGTTAGCTCTAAATTACAGTACATAAATACAGTTCCTGCTAGTTCAATTAATTATTTATAGTAAAGTAGATATTAGATACGACTCTTCAGTGTGATTTTGCATATCATTAATTAACAGAAAAATAAAATATTCAAAATTCTTATCAGTGTTTTCTTTTAGCTAATTACTACAGTGTAGAAATAGCGAATGTAATTTGACACAGTTTTCATTCTTACTTTTAACTGATGTAAATAAACACTGAAATACGTGTCTGTTGAAACGTAGTGCTACTAACAAATGAAGATCAGCCTAATATGGTATTAATATATGAAATCGTATATAAGATGTGGTTCATCTCCTTGCATGAAGCTTAATAAGGAAAGTGCAGGTCAAAAGCGTAATTGAAAAATTGAGCTTATCCCTAATACTGAACTATATCGCATGATACTTTCAGTAACAATGATTTAAGCATAAATAAAACTTAAAACTTGAATTGATGTATCAGTAATACCGTACTGTACTATATCATTGATCTCTAGTAGTTCTAGAGGTGCATGACTATGTATATCTATAGTACACTGCTTCGTGTATGCTAATTAAAATGTAAAATATAAAATCATTTACAGTACTCTTTTACTGTACTATACTATACAGTACATTAAGTAGAGTTCTGTGAAATCTCAATTTCCTACTGCTACTCACCGCCGTAGAAAGCCTAGAAGCAAGGGTCATTTCTAAATTGCCTTTCAAACCCAATAACGCAGGAACCATGATAAAAATTTCTGGTACTTGAACGAACACACGCCAATGCTGTTTACAAAGTTAATGAAAATAGTAGCAAGTTATATTACTTTATTCTAACATACTGTACAAGCGTACAGCCTGCACAATTAGTACAATATATCGCATTCGAATTGGAAATTTATTTGTAAATTAAACTTTATCGAAGTCCCTACGAATATACAATACCAGGACCAAGTGCATTAGTCTATGTAAATATACTGGGTCTGTCTAATGCACTTGATCCCAATACCGTATTTCGATATTAACAGCGGAAAGCGTTTAAGAAATTGAAATAAATTCAGCTGACCAGTAGCTTTCACAGCAATTATAATTACGATTTATCATTTGTTAAGTTCCGTACTATTATAGTACTGTAAGTTACTACTTACTATTAATTCGTATGTTTTGTATAGTACTACAGTATCTGTTAGTGTTAATACTGTACTATAGAGATATTTCTATTTTATCGTATAGTTTAATCGTTAAGTACAAGTAACTTAAAACAGGGGTGTCGAAGGTTCGGTTAACTGAAATACTGTGTAGTGTAGTATAGTAAATTTTGAAGTCATTGTACATCTTACATAACTAAATCTCCTAAAAGGATGGTAATCCACTGTTATTAATCTCGCTTTTTCTTGATGACTTCTTGCTAATACTATTGTCCTGTAGTACTACACATATTTCACAATTTGTGACAGTACCTGCACTACATCCAGCAGTAGTCCGGCGCAAACAGTTCCTAGTCCTGCAATCAAGAAGGGAAGTGTTACCTCTGATAATATTGCCCAAGAACTTTCGACTGTATCAACAGTAATATCTTCCGCAGATAGCTGATCTGGTAATTGTTTATTGTCAGCAACATTATTTTCTTTTGCACTTAATTCTTGATAGTCAGTATCTATCATCCTATCTTGTACTAAAATCGTTTCGTCATCGACGTTATAGCGATGTCGATGCCGAACCGCATTCCACGTAGCCATATAAGAATGCTCGTACAATACAGTATGTTGCACACTATCACTAAAAAGGCATCGTAATTGAGTGGTAGTGGCTACACACAATTCACCCATTTCAAATAAACTCCTAGGTTACAAGCTCCCCCGCCTCTGCAAAAACGGCTTCCGCTATACGATACACTTTTGTTCCATATTGTATACGTTTAATACTAACATGCGCTAAGGGATAGTACACTATACTAAAGAAATTGGACAACTACGGACGCATTAAATCTTTAAAATAAACATATTTAACAACGTCTAATTTTAATTAAGTAACTTGAAACACATTTCATTGAAGTTGATCTAGTATTATATATTCATTTTTTTTTAGAATACTTGTAATTAATGAAAAATATCAATATAATAAAATAACATAAATAAATAAACAAACTTGCTATTAGTAAAAATTACTAGGGAGACAGTATGATGTAGCATGCACTCGTTTCCTGTCTACTATAGCGTGCGCGTACGTAAGCTAAGGCATACGCTACGAACTATACGGAATAAAATACATCTCTGACGCAAGTTCACAACACGCTCTTTAAAATGTGGAGCCACTAATTAATTATCCGATGTAAGCATGTGCACTCCTGCACTATATATAGAACAATATACGTACATGTTATATTCTTTTTAGATATTTTGATCACAAAGTAGATGAACATATTTACTTAATGTTTTATCATACTTCATATGTACCAAAACTATAAGTTTATGGGAATAAACGAATAAATATTGAAATAAGTCTGCTTGATGGGAGTATTTCAGATCTAGAGGAATCGCCATTGACTGTATGCTGTATATAATATATATATATATATATATATATAATATAATCTATATCTAACATATGTTATATACGCGTATATATTATGTACATATGCTACATTGCCCGTGACAGTTTGTGTACGGTACACTGTACGGTGATAGTATATCTAACCCATAACCCTAACTGTACTGTACAGTATAATGTACAGTACTGTCGAGTACACTATGCCATCTACGGTACTGTACAGTACAGTACAGGACGGTACAGTATTGTACTGTACACTGTACAGTACTGTAGTCTCTGCTGGAGATTCAGTACAGTACTGTACTGTACTGTACAGTACTGTATAAATGTACAATACTTTGCACTGTACACTGTACAGAACACAAGTAAATACTGTAAATAGCGGGATTTTCATTACCATCGCAACCATTACAAAATTAATCATCGTTGAAGGCTGTGGCAATGGTCACTGTGTACAGAGTATAGTGATTTGATAATTCGTAGAAAAGTAACAGCAATGCCTCAGGACCTCGCATATAAAGTCAGTACAAATTCGAGGGTAATCGAATTAGAGAAAGAGCTCCTGAAAGAATTAGAGGATTTAAAGCATGAGGTAGAGGATGCAGACTTGGAGTTGGGAAATAAATCAAAATCGTTGAGGTAAGAAGTAGCATCACAATGAATCATGCAATCGGTGAATATTTTGTTCTTATAAATATTGTACATTCCGTTCATTTTTTATTTATAATACTACAGTAACGGCAATTTTTCCTCATGGATAGATGTTTATCTTAACAAATTCTTTGTATGTTACCTCATCTATATGTAGCTCACTTGGAGGCTTAAAGGATGCATCATTTTTTAAACTAGAACGCCAAATGATTATAAACAAGCTGATTGAGGTAGAAAAATAATTGTTTATAAATAGTTAGTACTGTTATAATTTAAAATATTAGTTTGCGTAAGCAATTTTGTAGATTGCAAATTCAATCAAAAATTTTTACAGACACGGCAAGTGAAACCGGTTCAAATTCAAGCAGATATTATGAAAGAAGAAGCTACAGTTGCTTTGCAGCCAGAATACAACCAGATCGGACTGCCGTTGCTATTGCATCAAGTACGTGTTACGAATAAGGGGTGCTATTATATTCAATTTCTAGTAATAAATTATTACAATTTAATGGTCTCTAAAATTTGTTTTAAGCTGATTATAGGAGCATTAACATATTTTTGGTCCGTTAGTTTTATTTAGATAAAATTGAACAAATGGCTAACTTGAAATACTTGTACTTGCTACGATTTACTCGCTTTTGCTCTCGCTCTCAAAAAGTAGAAGCTATTTATGAAGATTATCAGGGGACACTGAAGTAGGGGGCTAACAAAATTGTACTTAATGTATACTATACGTAATACTAATTTAAAGGTAAAAGTCTTATTGCGATAATGTTATTATCGTCTCAATGTATTAGGTACGTTATGAGTGAATATATGGATGCTATTGGTAGAGCGAAACGATTAAGCTGTGCTCACAATGCGGCCGTAGTTGGAGACCTAAGTCGATCTCTAGGAAGTGTCAATGCCGAAGATATTATCATATATCTCTCATGGATCATCTGCCATTTGCATTCAATTAAGAAAATAAATTCATTCATGAAGGTACAATCTAACTTATCGATAATAAGATTACATATGATGCTATATTCAGACGCTTTATACGCCATGATATGATCACTCTTATGTAGATACTACAATGGATGCCAATAAGTCATGCTCATTTACTGAATAAAGAAAAAATTCTAGAAAATTCTAAAGTGAGAGAAGATGCTACACATACCAATGTAGGTTCTAGATAGAAATAAGTTGATAAATTATAAGCGAAATTAATACTGCAATTGTTAAATTTACAAATATAGGCCGACGCATCATTAATTCACCCAAGGGGTACCAGTTTTCAGCTGATGCACTACTTCTCAACCTTACCTAATGATAGTACAAGTGGTATAGCTACATCACAGAGTAATAATATCGCTTATGATGGATTTAAAATACCATCTAAGCACTCCGGACACATTAGCGGCTTGTCGTCAATTGAAATTGGTAAATTGTCCCTTCATTTACCAAGACATGAAACTGATTTAGAAGATTTTAAATCTGAATTAGAAAGCCTTCTTCAATTCTTTTCTCTAAATGAATTGGTAATATTAAAATACGATATTTAGTAGCTTTTGCCTGTTTAAATTAATCTAATAAACATATCGATTTCTGCTTTATTTGTCCAGTCAGTGAATCAAATCCAAACGATTGCAGACGAAGCAGAATTCTACTTTCATGTTGCTCAAGGATTTAAGAAAAGATTTGACCGTCAACAAATGGAACGATGTTTCCCTACTTACAATACGGCTGTATCGGAACCTAAATTTGTAAGAACCTGAATTTATAGTAATATTGGAGATAGTTTTTGTAAAAAGGTACCGCTTACCACTATATACTTCATATAAGCATACACCTGCATTGATTAGGGTATAGAGAAATGGGGAGTCAAATGGAATTGTTCATACGAACAAGAGGCAAATTGGATTTCTTTTCGTAGGATAAGGTATAGAATTGTTAGTATATCGAAGGATTGATATTGTAGAATTACAACGTAATTAAATACCGCATAACCATCATGCAAATAAAAATAGTAGTTCAGCTTCTAAGGCTTTTCTATATTTCATTGTACAAGGTATAGATGTAATCAAATCTCTCTATTTATGTATGCTATATAATTAATGTACACATAGCACGATTTATGAGATCTTAGTATAAAATTATAGAATTTTTATTGGGATCACTCAATATACTTCATGATTTATCGTATCTACTGCGTAATAATGAATATAACAAAAATGAATTTTACGGATAGAGATAGACAATTGCTGTTCGACGAGATAGAAAAGAAGTTAATAATTTATTGGTTATATTTTCGTATCTTGACTTTCATCGATTGTTATCATATAATTAGTAGACTCGATATTCTTCTAGAAAAGAGGTTGTTAATGATTGACAGATTAGTTTCGGATTATATGCTACAGTTTACTTGCCTAAAAACTACGAAACAAGGGCATGTAAATTAAGAAACTACGTACCAGTATACTCGTACACTGTATATATCCAAGAAGCATCATTTAAAAATATAATATAGATCTTATACGTATATAAAACTTAGGATTTGGCATTATTATTTATGGTTTAAATTTTGCGTGACGCATCTAGGGATTTTTGATTTTTTAATTATGTTTGTTATCGAAATTTCAAATCATAGTGTAAAACCTGTAGATATAAATCTTTAGTCTATTATTAGATTGACTATATACTAAGCAGAATATCGTATGATATAATAGACCTACCAGTAATATTGGCCGTGAAAGGAATATGGCCCAGCTATGGCATCATAATGATATTGATGAGGTACAATTAATTAATAGTATAGGATCAGGTGTTAATAAATAACAGTATTTAATGCATACGCTTGTACTTTCACGTAGTTGCTTAGGATAAATTCGATATTTCTAAACATTGGAAATTCTGAGGTAAGTACAGCATAACTCGGATTATTAAAGTTTCTTTATCATTGAGCTTAAAGTTATAGCGTTTAAATTCAACACAAATCAAACAGCTGTAATATCATTTGTTATATTGGTTAGATTATTTTAGAGTCACTTAAGAAGCACGTGAAAAGTATGGTAAATCCACCAAATTACTTTCCCACTAAAGTCACCACAAATGCGAGTGCCACTCAGGATACGGCAACATTATGGCACAAATTGTACAATTTTTTTAAGGATAGGTACAGCAGGATCTACCAGTTACTGCTGGAAGTAGCTTAATATAGTGCAATTACCATCTTTGCTCATTATCTGATGCATCGATTTGGGATAAAGATTTTAAGAATTAAAAATTAATATTTTTAGGTGTGACAATAATGATGATTCTGTTAGCAACACTTTTGAAGAGGATACAATAGCTAGCCATTCAACTCGTGGTTTTAGTAACTCTCGGACAGCTGCATCAGCTGTAAACTACAGCAATAGCAAGACAGAAAGCGCAGGGATACATAGACGATCAAGAATGGAAAGTGAAAGTACTTTTGAGAGCATTAGTGCAACCCAGTTACTTGGTTTAGATGATGAAGATGACAACATAGCAGATAGCACTAATGGTGCTTATTTATCTTACCTGCTTTTAAGGCATCTCAAAATAAGAGATTTACGTCGCTCGGTAATTTTAAACGTCATTGATAATGTCTTGGATTTTTCGTAAGAAAATTCTCCTTACTGACATCGGGATTCATAGTCTGATATCTAGTCATTTTTATTTGCAGGTTCTGAGCGATTTGAATTACTTTCGTTCGCTTGAAAGGACGCTTACAATTGACGATAATAATGGCTTGGCATTATCTACTAATTCTCAACAGGCCAAGTAATGCTAGATCTGTTATATATCCAATATATTGATAGTGATAATTCATTTAATATAATAGCTTTACTCGACGAAAAACTTACGTCTCAAATTTTTACTAGCAAAAAAGGATTACATTCCGATCATCAAAATCTATCTAATATTCAGCAAATTTTTAATACGCCTGCCGACTATAAGTAATGATAGTAAATGAATACTAGAAATTATCTAAATGCTACGATTACTGGTCTGATATAGTCTGGCTACATAAATGCACTATTTTTGTGCTATTACTGCTTTGTTTATTATTTGTCAATGAATATAATTTTGTACTTATTAGGGTATCACAATCAATGTTTATGGAATTTAGTGAGGTTATGACTACTTTTGCGTTTGTTTACTATCATTTTTCATTTCTAAAGAAGAATCTTTAACATGAAGCCAAAAATAATTTACTTTATAGGTACGCAATCGTGATGATTATTATAGTTTTGAAGATGGTAGAGTACATGTCAGAGATCAAAATGGTTATTACATTTTATATGATGTAGCTAAGAAAGACTTAAGGTGAATTTATAAAATTGTTCATGACGTTTATTGATCCTCTTCTATGAATTATCTTAGAAATAGATCATATGATGAAACATTATTCTTTTCTACCTGTAAATAATTTATAGAAAGATTGAAGAAGAACTACTATTGATTGGATCCTATTATATTCGGAAGGATAAAAGTCTCAAACATAAGATTATTCCTAAAGGACCTGGAATTAAAAAGCACAAGCGCATGGTTAGAAATTTTACAATGCAGTTGTTGTACACGTACATTAACATTTGTTTAATTTAGAACTTTAGATGAAACAGTAATTATTGAACTGATCAAGAATTGATAGAGGCCGGATAGATCTATATTAGATCTAGTAGCCATTGTCAACATTGATCCTAGAAGTTTTGATAGAAAACTAGTTCTTAATTAGTACTGTTATCTACATAAGATATGAGATAGTTACTGTAGACCTGGGTATAGGGTATAGACTGTTGCAAAAGTACCGTGAGTAACTTAAATAGTTGACAACGATACAATCGTGGTGACTTAGATACAAAATAGAAAATTATTAAAATTCTTGCGTTGCAATCAGTCAGTTCTGATATGCTTATTACAGTTTCTGTATGAGATGAGTTTCAATCACCAAATCTATACATACAATGGATCTCTATGGCTTTACAAGATATATATATAGTATTGATCTATATGCTGATGATGCTTTAACTACTAAGTAGTTTGGTTGAAAATAGATACGCATAATCTAAGCTAGTTAGAGGAATTTCAGTTCAAACCAGAGAATATGACAGTCCACATTGATCATAACGAATAATCACTGAAAATTTGCTCAATCGTTCGTGTAGATTTTGCAAAGTTCTTGCTGTATTCTAATCCGTATTACACTATAGATTTAATATTTTTTATGTTAAATAGCGAATAGCGAGCTGTCTTATATATATAAATTTTCGATAAAGATTCTTACGGTACTATTATCTACTGTATACCTGATATCTAGGCTGATATATTGATCTGTTTAAAATTTTTAGCTTATGAATGTTTGATTTGCTTTTAATTATGGCTAGTTCTTTCCTTACACTTGTAGTACATTTCAAATTATTATGAGTTAGCGAATATCTATTTTTGTTACATAAAATCATTTTTTCCTTATAATGAAAACTTAATAGTTATTAATTCGTAATCAGTCTCATCAGTCAACGGACAATGTAGATATGGTAAAAGATGGCCATCAATTTATTGACAGATTTGCTGTTTTACGTGATTTATGGTACGGTGAGGCAATTTATCAAGAAAGCAAGAGGCAGGTGCGTATTGTAGTAGTATAGGTGATTCTGATAAATTAATAACAATATAGTCCCAACTACTTTACCAGTATTATAAATACGCCTGTTGTGTGAAACTATTTGCAATGATTTAGATTATCGATTGCTATATGGAGGTCTATAATACCATTTATGATCCAAAGGAAAGACGTCAAGTTGCTAAGGTAAGAGTTCTGACTAGGTGCAATGACACTACAACAGCATGGGGTTTGTATAGTTCCGTTCAGATATACTAGCTTCATGTAGTATCGTAAATATTAGTAATTAGATCAAACTAGGAGAGCATAAAGCGCCTGAGTGTAATTTTTGATTTGTTTGATTACAATTACTGCTTGTGTTGTGTATTCCACAGTAAGAGATTACTCCGAGAGTATAATTGTAACTGGCACTTTATTGCTAATTACTGGTATTTACATGCTACGTACTCTTCATTACTTATCATGTGATGAATTTTGTCTTATCACATGGTACAGATATCTAACACTATGTGTTTAATATCATTATTCGTATCTGAAGCTTGTCTTCAGCTATCTTACCTGGTGACTGAAAAGCATTAGTCATGTATCATTAGGCACAATTACGATAATGATAGAGAAAGATTTACTTTTAAAGATATAGGCTTTGAATCAAAGGTTGGAGGATGAAAGAAATTATAATATCATGGAATAAGAGTGTTATTATTATGTATATTCTCACTCCCTCTTAGATCGTTACTAATTTAATAAACGATAGACCTAACTTCGACTTCACCGAAGATTATTTTCTTCGATCATATCAAGCTTCGTCTGCGGCTTTAAATGGTCGATTTAAGCTAATAAAGACTATTTTATCAGATCAGGTATATCAATATTCGTACGCATATAAGATTTGCTGTAATATAAATTACTGAATCAATTTTTTTATGTTATCACCTATCACCTTATCATATATTTACTTATCAATTGCATACCGCTAGTAAGTCAAGCATGCTTGAACTACTATCTTAATATTTAATGTTTAGTCGATTAAACACTACTCATGAATTTCAATTTTTGGTAATACTGATTAATGACAGCTTAATTTATGTTGAGCGCTTACGTTTTCTTTAATTTTACACCGTAAGCTTCTTCAATATGAAAGAAAAACATTGATTTACGCGTAATTAGCTAATTCTTATAAATTAGATTAGTTCACGCTGCTGGCACTTAAGCATCTTCTATTTAACATTGCAAACTTGTAGAATAAGATAAAAAATAAGCGTCTACTTGCTAAGCAGTACTTACTCTACGATTAACTTACGTTATAGGTGATTGTGCAGGTAATTAGTTGATGATGAAATGATTCTAAATATAATTATTACAAACATGTCTAACGTCAAATTTAGATTGATGAAAGTCGAGAATACATTGATAAAGTCTCTTCTGATAATAAAGGAGGTAAATTACTAAGAGCTGATACCGATAAAACAGGAATTTGGAATATACGAAACGCATTGATACATGTTATCTGCTATTTTAAATCTTAATAGACCATGGTCGATCGCAAAGACTCATTCGAAAGCAGCTAATAAATGTTCATGGTTATAGGTACTTAATTAACTAGTTTTTTTTCTTCTCTGTACTATTGAAATACCAGTTTTTTGTATCCATAGATTGGATACAGATAAGCGTTTAATATCATTTATTTTATGACAGATCGACGATCAAAAATATGTATTTACTTGAAGTGCATCCAGCTTTAGCTGTTATTAATCGATTAACGCAGGCATTAGAACATACATTATCGGTATGTGAGATCGTCGTAGCTAGATAATTATGTTAGTGATCAATAGAAATGAATACATCATCTGTTTCAATTCTTTGAAAATGTCGGGTAATATATTGATACTTAATTTAGGAATTCTTAAACCACATCAAACCAGCCTCTGTTCAAGCAGATCTACTGGTAGAAATCAAGCTATATGAGGTTGTAATTGGCATACCGCCAGCGAAATCAGATTTGCATACTCATGCACTCTAGCTTTTTTCTACTATCCTAATGTGGAGCCATATCTAATTACGTAATTTAATAGATAGCTCTCAGTGAATGGACCAATATGAAATCGTGTGGAACGAGCTATTCTTATCGAATAGAGCGCGATGTAAGTATTATCTAAAAATAATATTCTTTTTATGATCGATTTCATTTAAGTGCTACGATACGACACGAAATAGACTGTCATTTTTTTTGTTTTTTGTTTATCAGTTATTTCATATTTTTCTTTACGCAGCTATTTTCGAGCTCTTACGTAGAAGATCCACGTTTTATAATTGAGCTTGGGCATTCTAACATCAAATCGAAAGAATTTCAAACAGGACATCATAGTAGTAGCATGAGGCAAAAACTAGCTATGGATGTTTGGAATAGGCTTTTGGAGGTCATTTTGAAGTAGTTAACCTAAATCGATGTGTACCACAGTACAAAGAGTGAATTAATGACTTCTTTTTATATTATAAAGATTGTACTAACTCGTCATCGACTAATTGATGCTGCATGGGAAACCGAAATTTTGACATCTGTTAGTATAATAATAATTTATTAAATGATTACACCATTGTAGTATGAATGATAAGAAAATAGAACCGAATGTATGAGATATAATAATTATGCATTACATTGTACAGCTATCCAGTTGCATTTCGTATGGGGGGTAGTTATATCGATTGTATATTAAATCTTAATCTAAAGATAATTTAGAACACATTTTGTTGGATAAATGGCTATAAATTTAGGATATGCTTAAATAGTTTTTAATGCCAATAATCATAAGCGCTATTAATTTAACAACTGATATTTTAATGATATGTCTTGTAAGGCAGTATCTTTCAATGACGAATAAGTGCGTTAATTTTGATAATTATAATTGTATTTAATCTAACAGATCTATCGGACACAAGCGAATGAGCTTAATAAAGAAGAATTTCACTTATTTTTGAGGCCCATACCCTTTGAACTTGCAGAAGATCATAAAGAAGGACAATGCAAGCATGGTTATGCTAGTGAGGATGAACTTGCAAATATAGCCTTAGATAGGTAATAAAGATACAGTATTTGTTTATTTGTTATATCTTAAGGATTTGTAAACAAACTTACGATACCGGCGTTTAGTAGGATCCTTAATTGAAAAAACATAATTGTACTGCCGTATTTATTGTTGATTAGGTATTTACCATCTCATTTACTTTTGGCAATCCAAGAATTGGATGAAAAGCACATAAGTACTTTTAATTTCAGATCTAAGGAAGGCATTGTACAGGTTAATTTATGGAGACTATTTGTAAATTTCCACAAGATAGTATCAGTATACAGCCTTAGCTAGACTTACTTAAGATACATCCATAGTAAACAGCTGATAAATAATGCCATATAAACTTAGGACGCTTGGTATGTGTACTTTTATAAAAATTATTGATATCGCTTCACTCACAAAAAATTAAATTGAAAACTTTTCATTTTTCTATAAAAATCACGCAGTTACTTAATAACAACGATATGGAAAATTTAAAAACTGTTCTCTATGCACAAGTTGTCCATAAAAATTGCTTATTGGCTGCGATTCTCCTAAATTACGTTTGCTGCGGATTAGACGAATGTATAACTTCTCGAGAAACTGAACATAGGTAATTTTATTGCATACGAAGTTGCTATCCCTGTATCTTTACTAGTTTCATACCAGGAAGGATAAATATTCGATACTTATCAATTATTTAACTATATTTACAATAATTAACTGAATTAAATGATTTAAGTTTATAATTTAAGCTTCTAATAAATTTTCGCTTGATATAGTGAACGAAAATCTACGACTGGATCGCAATATAGCTTTAAATTGACCGCAGCCTCTCAGTCCTCTCTAACAACTAAGATCGAAGAAAGATACGAAACATTTGCAGATCTTGAAGCTGAAAAGCCAATTCCATTCGTTTCGATACAATTACATAAAGTAATTAAATACGTGTATCTAATTATTCTAAGCTAGTTAATGCTCAGTAAATTATTCCTAGTTGACTAAAGATTTGAAATAAGAATCTATTTCCATCTTAGCTTATTATAGAATATCTTGTTAATTGTTTTACGATTTCTTATTAATAGCTCCCATTAAGAGATCAAATGCTGCGGGAATTTTCAAATAAACAAGCTCAAGTCTATAATCCTATAAGAAATTATGAGGATATCCCTACTATTAAAAGGTGACTTGTAAATTTTATCACATTCTATAGATTTATACGTTCCGATGCGTCACACCTTAAATAATGATGGTATATTCAATGAATTTTACGTGATTATCATAAATTAATTATATTTCATCTTAGGGGTTTTGTGAGAGTTTTTTTTTCGAAACTCGTGGATGTTTTTCAGATTTATTCTTTGAAGGCTCAAGTAATTTACTTTGTGCATTATAACTGTCAAGTTCATTCCATAAACTGTATTTAACGTGTACATTGATTCCACTAGATAATAGCATATTTCAACAGTATTCGCAGTTTAATAAGTTCATTTCCAGATATTCGGTGAGTCGTCATAATGTCGATGTACTGATTAATTATGTACGTCATTCAATATAACATGATGTGAAGCAATTACCATATAGCTTGTTTCAATGTCATGTGCCTTTATTTTTTCAGATCAAACATATTTATATTGGGTTCTGAACGAACTCATACATCTTCAAAAGAAAGATCTTATTCATTGACAGGGTAGCTTTAATGATAAAATCTATGATTGTTCAGTCACAGTCTTGTATCCACCCATTGATAATTAATCGAAATTGATCACGTTGATATATATCTACTGAATTTAGACAAGTTCAAAAGCGTTCAAGCTCATTTTTGTCGGAAGATGGTAGCAAACTGTTTAACTTATGGTACATTCCTACTTATGAAGAGGTACCAAATTTAGATTACTATGTAAAAGTTCATATAAAATTTTAGAGCATGAATTCCTATAGTAATTGTAAACGAAAAATATTAATTTTTCATCAATTACTACATTTAAAACCGATTTTGAGATTTTATAATTTCTTAATCTAAGGTGATACAAATGTTCAAAGCCTTGCCAATCAAGCAGAGTGTTCAACGTTTGAAAGACGCTTTGGTAAGTAAAAATTATTAAATATTGGATATTAGTTACAAGTCTAACAATCTTGCACTAAAACGAATTACACCCACACTTCATCAGAAATTAGTATCAACGCTGCATGATATATGTCAATATGTTATCGCTTTTGCAAAAATGGGTAGCAGCCTAACTCTATCATCAGTATCCAAGCAGAATAATACCGGTATTAAAGCTAATTGGGGTGGAATTGAAGGAATCGGTATCAGCTTTATAACTTTTCATTAGATTCATTATTATAACCTACCTGAATATTGCATTGCATGGAATTCTGGTAATGTTAACAGTGATTGGTAAAATCTATGGTAAATTTATTCACTATGCCTTTCAGTCAATGAACTTCGAGAAGTTCAAGTTCAAATTGATATGCTAGAAAATCCTGAGGATCCGCAGGCGGTTAGTTTACTAACAGTAAAAATCGTTCTTGTTAAAACGAATCAACTTATATTCAATGCGTAAAATATCGATTCACAGGTTAAATCTAAATAATGTACCAAATGGACAACTGCTAACTCACGATGATATTTGTATATCAACGCTTTAAATAATTTCAGGTTACAAATTTATTGGATATGCGAAGGAATTTAATATTTCAACAGCTTGATGTATGTTTGAGATATTCTGCAAGAGAAACTCTATTGGCCTTAAACAAAGAAAATTCTTACGTAACAATCGTAAATTCTTTAAATGCGCATCGAGTTCAATTTCAAGATAGCGATCAGTATGTAATTGATGTCGTACTTAGTATACCTCCTAAAGTAACTTTCAATTAGTGTGAATACACAGTTTATATTACTTGATATTTAATCTTTTGTAAAATGCAATTAGGTGTAGTATTTTTGCGCTGTCAATGGTTGTGCCAGATCCCATCGATATTAGAAGCGAACTATCTCAAACAGTATTCCCATGGAAGACATTCCAATCGAGGTGAGATATATGTAAAATATTTATGAATAAAATTTGAACCTAAAGTCGTATATCTGAGGTATAATAAAAAACAGGTAACTTTTCATATCAGCTGTATCAGCTAGTGTTTCTTTTATTTATTATCTGATGTCTACTTGTTTATCTTTTAGATTTGGCATTTATCCCCTATCGTATCACCAATGGAGCAATCTGGGAAAATACATTGAAAACTGTTTTACTAGATTGTCGCAGGATGAAATGTAAAAGTTTTGACGTTTAAGTGATAGTTTCTCAATATTATTGCTATAAACTAAACGTAACCGTATAAATTAATTATTAAATTAAATTTTCGCAGCAAAATTGTTAACGGAGAAATTTTGGAGATGTCCTTATTATTACAAAGTGCACCGGCTCAAGTAGGAAACTACAAAGGTCAAATAAAGAACATTGCAAGTGATATAGACATTTCTTTCACGGACCTTACAAAGGACGGGTATGAAATATTAAATGAATTCTATTTGTGAAGGCTTCATGACTAGAATTTAGTCTATAAATTTTCAGTGAATCTTCCAGTAAGCAATTTAGGAGACTGAAAGATAGTCGTTTATACGATACGATTGTAAGGCCATACAGTCGCAAATCCATAGTAAATCATAGGTATTAAAGAAATGGATACAGTATTTACAATAGTATATTTCATTGAATTACCTAGGAATAATAACAGTACTGTACAACCATATAATATTTTTGTTTGATTTGTAATTTGTACGCAACGCAAAACCGACCTACGATAAAAGTATAATTATGAATTTCTAAGATTGTTTGTAGAGAGTGAAGTACATATACCCATGTATTAGATATTGTAACATAATGATACACGAAGAGACTACTAAGAATTTATTCAGATCCTTTAAATAATTTAACGTATTGTCCCAAGTGGCGCTCTGTTATACTTATGCAGTTGCAGTATGGAGTAGTAAGAGAATATTACCATACTAAGATTAAATTTAAATCTTTAAAAAACTCAGTATTAAGATACCAGCTACAACTACCAGCCGAAATGTATCATTCGGCTACGTGGTATCATATATAACTTATGCTTTTAGAGAGTATCACAACCATGCTATTGTTTCATTATCTCGCAGTTTGTAATTTACCGCTGTTAGCTTCGCAGGAGTTTTGCTCTCATATATGTTGTTATAAAATGATTTCCAAAAAGTAATCATTATTTTATCTATTGTATGTGTGTTTCTCTACAAACTGACTAAAAATATTCTTTATTGGACTTTAGTGCAACCTTACGGAATATGCAAACTTATTTACAAATCTGGACTTGTATGGAAGAGTTGAAGAATAGATTTGCAGAAATGTCACTTAACCTACAAGAAATTACCAATACCAAAACTCTAAAAGTATTTGAGTAAGTTAAAATGTTAGTAACGTAGTGCTATTACAGTAAATTTAAGTGTTTACTAATATTATTTTTTATGCGATGATTTAATTAGAAAATTTTATAGAAGAGAGGTTATTTTACCTGTTTTAAAAGATGCCACTCGGGATCATAACTTGGTAAAATAATAATGTATTATAGCTAAAAGTACTGCTAGAAATCAGGCTCGGGTTTTTGTAGGTTACTACTTCATTTTTGCTATCCCTACCAATAGCTACAGGAACATGAACGATTACTACAAATAACTGATACGGAGAAAATCGATTTGCCAGAAATAATCTCTGACTTTGAGTTAAAGTATAGACAGGTAAAGTATGATTAGTCAAACGTAAATGCACGCGTAATAAATAAAAATGGTAACAATAAGTGGTATCGTTCATTTATTTTATTCTTATTTGAAGGATTTTGATTCGCGATGACTACATTCTCTTGTTTCTTAGATACAACACATTTTAGTTGCAATTGAATGTCACATGATCGTTCAAATGAGAAAGAAAGTAGCTAAAGATCACAGTTTCGTTTTAACTGAGAAAGTTAAAATCGATCATACCCTTCCTAATGATTTATGGCAAAAGGAGGTAAGATTACAGATTACTTATCTTGTAAATCCTGTATTATTGTTAAAGATTGAATTATTACTAAAAACTAGTATTGATATCACAAGATGTAACTTGATACTTATTAGTTAAGAAATTCACGAATTTATTAGGCATAGTATAGTGCATAATTTCTCATCTGATATTCCATTACGCTATAAATAGGGAACAGCTGAAACGATCATAATTGATCGACCTTACTTAGCCGATGACTTTGTTCGATGTTTATCCAAGAATATTAAAGATTCAGGCGATAATATCATCATTAGCAAAACCTATCTTTCTGACTGTTTAAGAAAGTTAGATTGTAAAGTAATGGAAAGAGAACGAATCTGCTACGAAAAGTATGTTTTGTTATTTAATTTTTAATGTAAAGTCAAAGTAAAATTAAAATTGGTTAGCAATGATACAAAGTCTACAGCATCTATATAATGCTATAGATAGTAAAGAATTAATTCTAGACACTTTGTAAACCAATTTTTACGTTTAATATTTTTGTTTATTAGCTATAGTTCATTTTATGAGGGACTGTTAAAACATCTCCGCTACCTATGTCATATAAGAGAACAGGTCAAAAATTTGATGTTATCACGTATTACCCTTAAATAGCCAATTGTCATTCGTTAATGACGTCAGCTGATATATATTATATTTTATCTATAGGAAGTAAAGAATCTCCAATCTACAGTAGGACAAATATCAGAAGAAAATTTTGCTAACGCTCACTTTCAGTTAGCAGATAAATTTTATCAGCTAGTATTAGGTACTTGCGTCTCTATCTGTAGAAAAATTTGGTTCTCTATTATACCAACTATATTAAAATTATCGATTTTTTAATAGAAATTACTGCGCTAAGAGCAAAAATTGCTGATATGAGAGATTACAGCTTAGATCAGGTCAGTATAAAAATGAAAATATCCGCAACCTCGGATAAAGTACTTGTTTTAGGTTGTAAGCCTCTATTTAGGGTTCAGCATTTACCGTTACCCTCCTAACAATTAAATAATAAACGGATTAAGTATAAAATCTTCCTCAATTTTAGGAACAATTCATCCGGAAAAACATTAAAAATTCGTTTGATAATCTGGTAAAAAATTTATATCATTCGTCTACCACACTAAAAAGTCGATTTAATGATTATAGGTAAGATTCTCGATCATTTAAATCTGAAGTTTATAATTGTTGGCGTAAATGTTTCAGCTTTTAAATATAGTTAAGCATTAGTTTTTTTGTAACGGCTCGTAATTTTTAAACCACTCTATCTTCTGATTAAGATGGTTTGTTTAAATCGTGCAGCTACTGTACATACTATGTTATATCGGTTACCGACATAATCTCTTCTATTTATGATTGTAATCATACTTTATTAAATAGCTGTTCCAGAATAATCGTTATGGAATATACCGCATTAAAATAGCAATTTAATGATTAGACATAAGTAGGGCTAAAAATATTACTAAGTCCATGCACTAAGAAATATGCTAAGATAACTAATTGACCATTTAACTGAATTTAGTAGCTATTCTTGTCAATAACACGTAATGCATGTTGCATATGTGAAATTATACCAGCAAATATAGGGTTTATTACTACATAATCATTATTATCTAAAGTAAGCTCTTGGAAGAGATACCAATCTAAGTAGAAAATTGTAACATGAAATAATTTCGTATTTTACTAGAATGGAATATTTCAATCGTGTAGGTTTACTACTTCTTCCCTAATACAATCTGTCTCATATTTTAAATTGCGGAGCTAGCTTCACTATAATTTTCGTAAACATTAAAGTAGTTTATTTTCGTACACTTTACATTTATGACATTAATTGTGTAATAGTTAACTAATTTTGATTATTTTCGTGATATAATCCTTTTAGACTACAAAATCTTATAGTAGGAAATCCTATCATAATATAGTTAAATAGAATTTAGATATCTAGTTGTAAATTTCATAAAGATTACGAAATAAGCTATTGCATATTTACCTGCATTGTGTTCTCTATTGCTTTATTTGTATTCGAAATCTTCGGTGAGGTCTAAAGCTTATTGCATTATCGGGCATTACTATAAGTTTAAAGTGAGCCAGTAAACAAAGCTATTATCATACAAGTTACAAAAGCGAGTCTATAATTATAATCGTTCGTTTATAAATACAATTGTAGTGCGATAAAAAATTACCTACTATATTTATCCTATATTAGTATATTAAACCAACCGATACATTATATGCAGATGCCACTTCTACAATGACATCCAACAAAATATTCAAGAGACCAGGAAAAAAACCATTCAAAAATTAAAAACCGTAAAAGATCAATCAATCATAAGTAAAGGTACATTCTATTACTATCATAGTAAAGTATTAATTTATGACATACTCGTAATTACGATATATGAAGCTGATTAATTAATTATCTCATTTAAATTCGTATTTACCTCTGTTTATGTCAAATGGCATATTAAGTAATAGTTCAAATTAAATTACGTTAGTGATTAATTTATAATTACTTTAAAAATGCTTATCAGCTCCATTTTTAAAACAATATAGATGGATATAAAAAACTAGATGCTATTTTGGAAAAATCGCAAAAATTTCGCGAATTGCATAAGGAAAATATTTATTTAAATCAATATGTAAGCTGAGAAACCTACAATTAAGGATAGGAAATAATTGTAGCATTTTAATTATTTGGTTATCTATTCATTTGCAAACTTTTGATAAGTTTATTATTATCACAGCTAGCTAAATTGAGAACGATGAATGAATGGAAGATTGCAAAGGATAAATTAAGCTTCACAAAAAACGTAAATCCTTGAAATGATCTAGATTTATAATTGTACTTAGAGAGATTAATTAGCTTTAGTAGAAAGTGTACATATTAATAGGTTCCTAATTTAATACGGCTGGCATATTTTCAACAGGAAGAACAATTGAAAGAAAAGGTTAATAAGATGCAAAAGGGAAATTTACAAATAAAGATGAAAGCTGACGAAGAAATTACATTGCTAAGACAGCAGCTGGAAGCTTTACGGAAGGTGTAGTATAGTTAGTTTTTACAGAAAACATAAAATTTAACAGTTGCAGAAGTAAATAAATCTATTATTATCCCTTATTATATATTGTCATACATAAATTTTATAAAATCTTGTATTTCCAATACGGTTACTTATTCAAGCTTAAATTTACTGCTTGTAGATGTATAGTTTTATGAGCACGTAGAGTAATAACGATTGCGTTGCTAATAGATTAACAAACTTTTGTTTTTTAAGTGCATCAGATAGATTATGAATAGTATAAACTGAAATCATATAGAGCCTTGTCTTACGTACACTTACTTTCTATTTTAATTGCTTTTGCAGTGTATAGAGCATTTGGAAAAGGATAGAGAATCGTTACAGAAGAAATTAGCTGCAGAGGTAAAATTTATAGTTACTTCACGTTTGCAAATACGCAGACTAGAAAGTAAAATTATTACTTGATTGTTGCTAACTTAAAACAAAATCTGGAAATTTTTTTAGGAATATGAAAAAGTACAAAAAACTCATGTTGCTCAACAGGTACATACAACACTTATGATGACTTCGATATGAATTTATTTACAAAGTAACATTAGATTAATTTCCTAAATATTTCATTACAGCAAGCTCAGAATAGGAAACAATTGGAACTTGCAAAAAGAGAAAATTTCCTGCAGCTGGTAATACGTTTATGATATACAGTATAATCATATTTTGCTAAATCCATCTTTAGATGCTCTCTATTAATCTACTCACACGATAACAAAATGGAAACATCTCACACTTAGATCGATGACTTAAAAACTAAGGACGTCTTATTGCAAGAAGTTACCGGTTAATTATAGCAGCCTAACTTTCAGTATTGCTAACTAATCAACTTACAATAGCGTACCTTTTGGTAACAGCGTTCTATTAATTTTCTTACTTTATAGGGAAATTCGAAAAGAATCAAAAGGAAGTTGCCGTAGTTGAAGCTAAAGGCAGAAAGGTTCTTAGTGTTAAATTTAAAGCTGTTGCTATATGTAAATGACATAGAAATGTAAGCTAACTAAAGGCTTTATTGCATATAATGCTTTGTTAGGCTGTAGAACATTTACAGAAGAAAATAGCGCACGAAAGATCTCTCAAACTTAATGCTTTCCATAAAGTAGACGATCTTCAAGTTCAAATTAACGAATTTGAAGAGAAGCAATACAGCCTCTTAAACTCTAGTGGTATACTATCATTAAAGATTGATTGACTCTCTGTATCTATTAATTTTTATTGTGTCAGTTGAACAATAATAATTATACAGCGTGATTAACGACAGTGTACTTTATATATCATGCACAGGTCGGGCACAACCATTAAAAGACATTAAACTTAAAACACGTTGTTTTAGCGCTATTCCAAGGGGACCCGGCAGTTCTCACATACAAGCAGGTTAGATCACCGTATCCTATTTATGTCCATTTAAAATTTCGGATTGTTATGAATACATGGAATTTGATTTCTAATATTAAAAATTTTTCACTATATTAGCAAATAACGATCGCATTAAAAGGATGACAAGGCCCAAAACTGTAAGTTAATTTGCTCAAACTACTATTAAGCTAATTATCAATAAATAAGTGTTTTGTCTTAGTTTAATGCATACCATATGTACTATGCGAGTATAGCTAACTGTTACCATAGATTCAGTATTGGTTAACTCTACTTCATATACAAGTAAATTTTAATAATGTGAATTCTTCAATCTTGGGTTAGTGTAATGCTCGTTTGCGAACTAGTCGATCTACTCGCGAAGAAAGCATTGAAGGAGTGGAGATACAAGAATTATAGTACCTAGGTGACTTTAAAAGATGATTACGGATAAACTTTGCCATGATACCCAATTTTTGAATGAAATTTATTAAAGCCATAGAATCTTTCTATGTGATTTTGATTTGTAGCCTACGTGCAATTATTACTTAAATCCTTCGAGTTTCTAGTATTTTATTATATTTCCGTATTACATTTTACGCTATCACTAACATTTTTAATCTGTATGTAAAAACATTTTAAGCACTTGTTGATAATAGTATTTTTTGAAAGCTAATTCCTAGTTAACTTGAAAGGGTTAATGGAAATCTATTTATTAAATAAACTTGATCTAAATTCTTTTGATGTGATACCGTGTTACGAAAATAATATTATTGAAGCATTAGGCATACTAAAATAAATTATGCTAATGAATTGCTACCCAATAAAATACTTGATCATTCCTTAGCCTTATTCCTTTCAGAAGACTAATTTTGTATTTATTTCACATTAATGTAGGTATAGTGCACAACATACTGATAAAAGATAGTTAATTGAGTAAATAATTAACACAAAAAATAATCGCAAGGTTAATTAGCTAGTATAAAATCCTCCATCAAATTTCCGAGAAAATCCATTATTTGTAACCGCATTGTGGTGGCCCTCTATATATAATACAAGTTATACACAATGTTATACAAATCATAGTAATTATACGAAAGTGCTGTAAAGTATGCTAGATATTTTATTTTAATTTCAACAAAACTATTTATAATACCAATTGCTCCTTTGACCCTATTCGGATTTTCTTTTGTACTGGATTGATACGTTTTAATCGGTAACTTCTTCAAGTCAATTTTAGCAGGTGTTGTTTTAGGGCGATTTCGTAATATTCGTCTATAGTGGAGTCGGATTGTATTAGCTAGTACTATTATAATTTTAAGAACTCAAACTAATAGCTATATTGTTACAAGGAACTCTTAAGAATATTCTATATAAATATTACTTGTGCGGTTTGTTAAGTGTCTCAGCTTGTAGTAATGTCTCATTTGTGTCTTTTAGAAATTCGCTGTGGTGATCATAATAGGATTTCAATGCGAAATCTAAGCTATCTTTTGGTTCCTAGAGAGAGATAGAAGTTGCAATATAAGAGTTTCGCTCAAAGCTAGCAAAGAAAGCATTCGAATTTAAATGTTTTTATTAATAAAATAACCTCCTCATCGTAACTGAAATAACTTCTTCTCATGCTTTGAAGGGTATGAGTTTGATGAAGCCGATCCCACGTCACATTATCGACAGGCTTGAAGTTTCTTGGAAATGTTTGCTGTAGGCGTAAATTTTATAGAAGTAGCATCGTTAAAAACTCATTAATATCTAATTTGAAAACTTTTAGAAAAGAAATGCTATATCACAACGTATTTACAGTCAAATTCTTTAAGACTGCGTATTAAATTAAATTAATTTTATAATTAAATGAGGTGCTAAAGCGCAGTTATTATCACAGCAGTTGGTATCATTATAATACATGAATAAACGTCAGTTCAGAAACCATAATAAGTTCTCCTATATACATACATGCGATGGTTCGTTGCCGTTAAAACTACGTTCGTTTTCATAGCAAGGAAATGGAAAAGGATTTCTAGGCATGGTATACAGTTTGCGACATTCAATATTAATGAATCTTAAAAATTATAATCTAGCAAGAGTCTCAAAGCAGCAAGAATGCATTAAAGTTTTCGGTCTTGTAAATTAATGATTTAATTAGTTGACCCAATATGTCAATTATCGTACTGTATTTTCTATAATATCAATCCAGCATAACAGGGTCCTACACCAAACTTAAAAGGCAGCATTGCTTTTCATTTGTTACTATGGCTATTAGTTACCATAGTAACGTGCATAAACCGGCAAAATACAGTACATTGATGATGATGTTGGTTTAGTATCCTTTTCAATTGTTCTTTGATACATTACGGTATACAGTACAGTATCCTGTATAAATTACATATATAAATTATATTATATTATTAGACTGCCCTCTGTTTGTGCAAAGGCAAAGTAATAAATATCAATAAATAATAATTTTCCAATTATTGTATACGCGTATACTTTTTTTGGATATATACTCGTATACATATTTCTAGTAATCTACGTAATACATTACGTTTTTTTAATTTTTGCAAATCTACAATCGTATGCGTTGTTTGCATATGATAAATCAATGTATTTGATAGATAATAAAGTTTGATGTAACTAAGTATCATTCATAGTTAACAAACGCAGTAGATATATGGAATACTTTGAAATATAAATCATTAGTATCTATATGTTAAAAGTCAACGTAATCTGCAAAGACTAGACTAGAGAGTAGATTCAATTTGTTAGATATAAAGGTCACAAGACAAGCATAATCATTCATTCCGTCTAAATTAATTCACTTCAGCATATGCCTGGGTATTACTATTATTAATTTGATTTAATTACTTGATCATAATATTACATTTCCCTGTTATAATATCAGGCTAAGACAGATTACTATAAAGCTATGATTAAGACATTATATTTTCAGAACTATCCCTTAAGATATTCACATATCAAGCTTATCCAATTTTTTTACATATATACAAGTAGATAAAGATCTTGCATTAAAAAGTATCTGGCCGCTCTACCTAAAGCTAAGGTAATCTATCTCAAAACTCAATAGTGTAGATTTAAATAGAAGTTAAAGGCTTTTATTAAGTATTTATAATAATAGTTACATAGTTACTACTAACAAGAATCTAAAGTAATATCCTAAACCGGAATGAATCAAAAACGGCTCCTATCCGTAGGTCTTATTAATCGTATTTACAGTAGCTCGCTCAATCCATTTATGGCAACCAAGCTGCCTACAATCACCACTGAATCATCCATCGGCAGAAGCAATTTTCCCAAATAGGCAATCTATCGTAATATCGCCCTCGCTGTAATTCAATGTCATTCGTAGCTTGTTACCTTGTATTGTAAGCGTCGTAGAACTAAGAAATTTCAGAGATTGTACTGTTTAAGTTATAGTTATAAAACATGGGGCATTTCATTCGTCTTATCTACACTTTAGCTACCGCATTAAAATCACATGCTACAAATATTCTTATGTGTTAGAATACAGTATACGTACTACAAGTAGTTAAGTTCATATTAGATCATTTTCAATTATTATGATTTCTTTGTGTTGTGTTGTTATCGTACGCGATGGCATATCTAGTTTGAGTGAACGAAATAAAGAGCAATTCAAAAACTCAATTATGAACTGGTAGTTTCGTTACATGATCAACAGGTAGATGTGCTAAGGGTTCGGCTCATAATCGGTATATAGTGCAAGTCTATCTACTTGATTTACGATTAGTTTTCCTTTAAAGTCTAACACAGTAAAGTAAAGTGTTGGATTTCTTCATAACTGGGGTATATTTGATTCACACAAGGTAATAACACCATGTCCCATACTTACACAGTATAATCAACTACCATTAGTAATTTAGAAATATCTAACATTAGTAGTCAACTGTTATCTAATAAGGAAATCCTGAGAATACCTAAATGTTAGCAATTTAACTACGCCAAACATGTAATCAACGTTATCGAATATGGACGCATGACTACAGATCTAGTCATTGCAATCTTCTTAAGGGCTATTGCTTTTCTAAACCAACTGTTAAGCAGTAGTAATGTATTACTGTAGTGCAGCATGAAAGTCGACCAACTTGGCCATATATGTACTGTACAATGTAGACCTTTTTCTTTTACCACTATCATAGAGGCTCTATGGACTGGACATTATAGTATCTACTGTAAATTATTTTGCATACGATCCCCCTTAAAGTCTAAATCTATCTATAGTTGGCTTAATTATATTTAGTCAAGCTATAGAGCTGAAACTTGGATCTAAACCTGATATGACTATATGTCTTTTCTGACTGTGTTCTCTTCTTATGCATCAACAAATCCCGTATCCTGATTTTACTCCCTTAAATAAAACTACGTTTCCTTCTCAACAATCATCGGTGTCGTCTATTCTACTGCGAGTCTTAGCTAATTATAATTCATAATTCTGAACGCATATTGCAAATACATTGCACACAGTACTGTTTTGACACTTGCAGATCTACTATAAATCACGTATATTCACTCACCAACAATCAAAACGCGTCAAGGGTTTCTTTACAGATGTGGGTACGTGAATTATGGATCACTTGTATATTCAGAACAATTATAAACTGTACTGATTACATGTCATAGTTCTGCATGGCACTAGCTACGCATTTGACAACAAAAAGGAGACCTCATAATTTCGTTAACAAATATCTATTGTACAGTATTTGCAACTCTTTTATTTTACCGCAAATCGCTCAAGATTACCACTGTCCATAACTGCATACGTACCCTAAAACATCTTTGAGCTGCGCTCTGAATTGACGTAAAGACATAATATGTAATCTCTTCAGATACTGTATACTGAATGTTCAATTTATGCTTGCATAGAATTCTGCGTACTGTCCTTGACGATTTGTGCGTTGTTTTACTTTAGTGTTCTACGTAGAGTAATGCAAATTTTTCTACTTCTATGGACATACGCGGCTATAAAAACAACGTGATTAAAATTTTAAAATGAGCCAATAATTATAATTAGACCAAAAAAGAGAATATTCCACTTCTTATAGCTTCCATATTCTTATTTAAGCGACTATTCGGATCGTAGTTCTAGTACTGCATCACAATATTTTATTTGAAAAAGTGATTTTACATTGAATTGCTATAAGTAGTCATTTCAAGAATCTCCGAGGCAAAACACAAGATTTAAGTAATTCATGATATTTATTATTATAAATAAGAATTCATCTACACTTTTAAGCTAGAGAGAACTATCTCGTAATATTTCGATTTGTTTACTATTAGTTACACCAGTATCGATAATATACCTTACGATCATTAAATCAATTTTTGGATCTTTCAGGGCACAAATGGCAGTATATGCAATGTAACTTTAAATTTTAAAACACAGATTATGGGGTAATGACTAACTAATCCAAACTGTCGTGGTGCCACATAGTTTAAACATGTGTATTTTTCTATCTTGACTAGGCGTTACATAGTGAACTGCTAAAATAACATGACAGTATTATTTATACTAGCTTGCTAGGTTATAGCAAAGAGTTTGAGCTGATCATGTGGCCGATATATTGTATTAGTTAAGATATTAATCACTTATTAGTATCTACGTTTAAGTCTAATTAATACTAAATAGCATAATTTAGGCTAGTAAATAAGCAGATAATCATAGGAGAGTGGCAACATAGAATGACGCTTACTTTTTGCCAGATTTCTTAAGTCCAGGTCCACCTAAAATCATGAAGAATCTATTAGATAGCAGTATCAAAATGGCTCTCTGATAATTTATAATTACAGTAGATATAAATTCTATTCTAAAATCTACATGTATACATTGTATAGTATGTGCACCACAAGATAACATGCCAATTTAATATTTTAGACAATGTTTATAGACTTGCTAGTTCATCTAATGTATACAATATTGTATTACATTATACAGTACATTTAACAGGAGCATTACAACACGTGAAGTAATTTTATAGTTAGCCAATTGATAAAGTAGTGAATTTAGTAGATAAAATTACGTATTCAGAAGAACTATCAATTTGTAAAATTTCACTTTATAGTCTTCAACGAAATAAAACAGGCAGAACTATTTGTGATATCAATCGAATTACCGAAAGGTCCCCGTTGGGACGCCTTTGCTTTTGCCTCATCTAATTTCTTCTTTTCTTCTCGTAGTTGTTGCTTGCGAGCTGCTTCATCCTAAATTATGATCAATATACGTACTGTATTTAGAGGGTAGGCTACATTGTAAAATATGATTTATTGAGCGAACTCTACAAGAACCGGCTGCTGGATGTACAAGTAGCTTTATACTTAAATTAATTACGTTATTTCATTTTTAGTTAATAACGAATATATCACGTACAACAATACTTTACATTATCTGCAGGATAATACGTTACTAGTAATATTTACGTATCAGCATAACGTAATATAATATACGAGTATTTAGACATTCGGTAATAATCTTATGATGATACAAGTTGAAACCGAATGATGTTGTCGTTAGTTTGCGTATGAGCTTTTAATTAATGTACATTTTCGAAGCAATAAGGTGAAACAGTATTGCTACTAATTGTTGATGCTGAAAGATTGTACTACAGTAGTTTCTTAAGCACAGAAAATGTAGATGAATTGTATTTTAAATTTTGTTGCAACTTAGCAGCCTAATACATTACTGTACTTGTAATTATAATTATCTTGTAAGATTGTTTAGTACTTACTTCGTCCATATCTTTGGAGTCTTTCTTTGGCTGTTTGAGCGGTTTTTTTTTCCCTCCTACAGTATAAAGTCAAAAGATTTTTACTTCATGATCATACTGTATGATGTGACAATTATTTTAATCAATTGCACCAGCATGATGGGATTAAAAGAAGAGAGGAGCATAAAGTCATACAGGAACTCTACTAGGATAGCAGGGCTGTGGCGGTTACATGTTCAAGGCCGGGATAGCCTGGACTGTATGTAGTATCTTATTTGTTAGTAACTTGGTATTACTGACATTTACTGTACTTACAATTTAAAGTTATAATTATTACTTGTGTATATTATATGTATTATAAAGTAAAGTAAAGTCATGATCGTATAGTAGAAGCTCTTTAGCATGCTTAAAATGCGATATATTGCGAAAATTGATAGGTGTACCTTCTCTTCCAGGCATTTTTTAGATTTCTACCAGCCTTGTGCGGAGTTGTGCGTCGACTTTTCAGTAATGGTTGTTAAATGATGATTGTTAGCAGCAGTAAGTGTTTACTATGGAGTCCAGTACAGTATAGCACACGTGCTACAGTACAATATTACAGTAGAAATTACTCGTGTACTGTACTGTATTTTTTTGACTGGTTATTGAAACTGCACAGTACGGTTACTACCGTACGCAATCGTACTGTACGCTGTACAGCACGTCTATTAACTTTAGTTATTACTGAATATACGAGTACAGTATACGAGATTAGTGTTATAATTGTTTATATGTATATATATATATATACAGTATATTGCATTATAGTTATCAAAAAACCTCTGCCGCATAAACTGGACCGTATGGGATGATACACGAGTGCAGTATAGCATACGAGATTAGTGTTATAATTATATGTATACTTCATTATAATTATCAAAAAACTTCTTCATTACAGGTTTGTCTGATCAGTCTCTGCCGCATAAACTGGACCGTATGGGATACACGAGTACAGTATAGTATACGAGATTAGTGTTATAATTATATATATATATATATATATTATTGCATGATAGTTATCAAAAAACTTCGTCATTACAGGTTTGTCTGATCAGTCTCTGCCGCATAAACTGGACCGTATGGGATACACAAGTGCACTATAGCATACGAGATTAGTGTTATAATTATATGTATATATATATACAGTATATTGTATTATAATTATCAAAAAACTTCTTCATTACAGGTTTGTCTGATCAGTCTCTGCCGCATAAACTGGACCGTATGGGATACACGAGTGCAGTATAGCATACGAGATTAGTGTTATAATTATATATATATTTCATTATAATTATCAAAAAACTTCTTCATTACAGGTTTGTCTGATCAGTCTCTGCCGCATAAACTGGACCGTATGGGATACATGAGTACAGTATAGTATATGAGATTAGTGTTATAATTATATATATATATATATATTATTGCATTATAGTTATCAAAAAACTTCGTCATTATAGGTTTGTCAGATCAGTCTCTGTCGCATAAACTGGACCGTATGGGATACACGAGTACAGTAGAGCATACGAAATTAGTGTTATAATTATATATATATATATATATATATTGCATTATAGTTATCAAAAACTTCGTTATTACAGGTTTGTCTGATCAGTCTCTGCCGCATAAACTGGACCGTATGGGATACACGAGTGCAGTATAGCATACGAGATTAGTGTTATAATTATATATATATTTCATTATAATTATCAAAAAACGTCTTCATTACAGGTTTGTCTGATCAGTTTCTGCCGCATAAACTGGACCGTATGGGATACACGAGCGCAGTGTAGTATACGAGATTAGTGTTATAATTAGATATATATATTTCATTATAATTATCAAAAAAACTTCTTCGTTACAGGTTTGTCTGATCAGTCTCTGGCGCGTAAACTGGACCGAGTACAGTGTACCTACCTCAGAGTTTAGGCTGAAGTTCAGTTTGACCAGGTTCTTAACCTTAACTCAGCGACTCAGTTAACATACATTATTTCGTAAAGCCTGATACACATCATAAATATATTTTAAATAAAAGAACTACAGTTATTAATTACAGTAAATAAATTAACTGTAAATTAACTTCTTCCTCAGTTGTGGAATCTCGTATCAATATATCAATTGCTTAATTAGTTTCATTTAGTGCTGTACAGTGTACAGTACGATTATGTACCGAAGCGTAGACTTTCAAGTCCTAAACGCATAATCTGCACGCAGAAAATCATAATTAGAGATCGCTATGTGAAGTACTATAATTATACATAGCGACGGAAAACAGATTTTATGCTTTACGATGGCAGTGTTGTCCACGTCTAGATCTGCAATCAACCTAAGTTTACAGCAAGTAAATTTTCGGACAATCTGGGTACTTTAGAGTCTGCAAGCAACAATAAATTCGCCCGGGCTACCAGAAATTGACCAAATCATTTCCTGTGCATCGCTATCACTTCGGTAAACTGAACGGGTGCCTACTGTAGACTGATTGCAAGGAGTACTTACGGCAACGAGTTCTACGGCGTTCTACTACTGCTTCACAATTAGTTATAACTAATCACTTAAATAAGCCTTTGCGGTAAGTGGTAAAGGTACATACCGTTCCATTACGTGCAAATGAACTCGACAAGTACAGTACTGTACATTGTACAACAGTCAATAGTATATCGAAATACTGAAAAAGGCCTTGCACATTAATTTACCACACACTCTACTGTAAATAAACCAAGGTGCTAAGGCCTAAGGGCATGCAAGAAATTAGTCACAGCATCTTGCGAATGAAACCATTCTCTTCAAGTAATAAATATATAATTTTAATTGAAGAAATCTTTCTGAAATTATTTATGTCAAACATAATACAAAAGCAAGCACCTCCGGCTTCATTTTATCCACGAAAATAATTAATTAAACGAACATTTCTTTCAAATATTAATAGAACAGGCATTTGATTCCTGTAGTCAAATAGACGATTGTTGCTATCATATATAATCAAGGTTGTCATGAATTAGTAGAAGTTCACCGCTAACCGTGACCAGCGATTTCACTTTCTTATTAAATATACAGTGAAATATTTATGGTACTGTATACGGGTGTAACCGTATGCTTAAACTTGATTGAAAAGTTTGTTGTACCGGACATATTTGAAGCAGTGGTACAGAGTAAAATATATCTGGTATTTTACGTTAGATAGCATCATAGTACTAATACAATAGCGTGCTAAAGCGTTAACTGGATCAAAAGTACTGTACCAAAGTATACATGATAATACATAAATACCAAATATTACAGCTGATAAATATTGATACCAATAATTACGTATATATTATATATACAATGGAGATAAATTACAAGAGCAGTGCAAAGGGTAGGAAAAATAAAGAGATATAAGAGAAAATCAAATTTCTTTTCTTAGATTGAAGGAAATTATATCTTTACCATCCAATGGTGAGAAGCAATATACAACAATCTATATTCACAACAGACGTAGCTAAAAATTTTACAGTCTTCTAAATCGTTCTACAGTAAAAAGCAATATCGTTATAATCGCTTGGCAAAGAAGTAGATTCGATTTGCCTTAGCGATAACGAGTAATTCTTAACGATCTCGGTTATCTAACAGATCATAAAATATTATCTTAGAATACTACCGTTCCTTAAAACTTTGATATTAGCGACAAAGAATATGTTAACTTTAAAGAGACAGCGGCAAGAAGATAGTATTGCGATTCAAAGATGACAGCACAAGTATCAAGACGCTATTCTCGTAAAATATGTTCAAATTAAAATATATTCATCAATCAAGTAAGTCAATTTGTCAGTGCGATACATTGAGTAAAATTTCTAACCAACATGGACATGACGTAATAAACTGCCTAGTATAATTACGACCCCAACCTTTCACAAAACTAATACGTATCGAATAAGGGTATCTTGGACCAACGTATGGCCTTATCTGCTGAGGCATATCAACTCTAGCATAGTTAAATACCTTTAATGAGTATCCAGGTTGGACCTTTTTAACTTCCGTGTTATGAGTCGATTGAATATTTTTATTATACAATGGGCTATTAACATATAAAGGATGCTCACTGCGGTTATAAATCCATACAGAATCATCTTCACGCGATAGTTGCAATCCGTAGCCGATACGGTGGAATACTCGGCTATCACACTGATTCGAATCAGTATTGGAAATATTTCCAGAAACACCATCACGGTTTAGGGCACCTAACCAAAATCCTTCTCCTTCAGGCAGTTGTTGAAAAATATTGACGGTTGAACTTTTAACATCAAATATTCTACCAACACGTTCACGAAATTCCCAATACGCGATAGCACACCAACTGCTATCGAAAGAAGCTTTACATATTGACGAATACGATGAATGATCATCTTTATATAGAAATAGAAACAAAAACGTCAAATATATACTACTACAACAAGATCATAATGCGAACATTATAAAACATGAAGTAGTACGAGTGCTGATCAGATCATGTCGGCAACAACCACCCTTTATTAGTCCATTAATTAAAGAATTCAAGGATTTACGGCCAAATCAAATACTAAAAATTAGGCAAATTTTATCACTAGTTTGTATCACAAAGACCTTAAAATGTCATGTATTATATGTTAATAAATTTCGTTCCATACAAATTCGATGAATAGAAGTTATCTTAGATTAGCTCTACTACAGTATAAGAATAAACCGCTGATAATGCTACATCAGATTTAAAAAGTAGAGCGTATGGTGCCTAAGTAATGGAGCTAGCAGCCGCTAGACATACTCTTTCCGCTACATTGATTGTTTGATGAATAGCAATTAAACACAGGAGACAGATCGATCTCAATACTGTAAACATCAATTTTGTCATAGACTCTTCTACGACTAGGTAACTGACTACATTACAGTCAGGAATAAAAATATCGTCGAGATCAGAAAAAGTTTTTAGATCTATCCCAACAGTTGGTAGGTGAGCTTGCATTAAAGATAATTCATAGTACCTGTAAGGTTTTATTTAGGCTAGCAGCACTAACGCTGATCTAAATGTTCAGTTGATTGATTTTATTTTATTTATTTATTGTTTTATTATTAATTCTAATTATTTATTAGAACGTTATAAAGTAAGCATTTGATTCTATGAAATAGTATGTACAGTGGTGTACTGTACCGCGCACTTAACTTTCAATCTCGATGTTATCAAAAAAGAATTTCTAGAGTAGAAGATCACATAATACAGTACTCAGTACTCTACCGTATAGTATGGTACTGTACGGTACATATCACTGTGTTATTTTGGTACGCTTTCAGAACTGTCCAGTACAGTATTTCGTATGGTGTTATTTATTAACTGGAAAGAGTTTTATCAGCGTAAAGTCCGTATAAAAAAAATATAATATAAAATGAAATCAAATATAGAAAAAATTGCGATGTTCTCAGACGGTATTTACAAGAAAATTGAAGGCGTTTTGTAGTTCCACGACACAATATCATCAAACGTAGTCTACTTAAACGTTTATTTCATAAACTGTAGAAGAATTATATAATTAGAATTAGGAATATGTTCACGTCTTATTTACTCTACGTACCGAAACTTTTACCAGCAGAATCAAATGATATTGACGGATTGCTCGAATCTAAAATAAGAAAATTATCTAAAATTAAATTCTGTAACACAAAATTTTGTTTTTAAAGCCGACGCGATAAACGGAGAAGTATTATCAAGCACTGGAAGATTAAAATTTAAAAGCAAATTTTAATTATAGCGCAATTCTTAAAATTTTCCCTTATACTAGACAAGACATTACTACACTTAGCCACTTCTTTTCAATCATTGCTACGTTCATTATTATATTTACGCTCTTTGAATTTTTTATCAAGTCTAACAGTAAATTAATTTAATGTTTACTGTCTGCAGCAGTACTGTAGTTCACTAACCACAGTATCAATGAGGTCTGTCGAGTACTACGGTACCATAACTTGTGTAACATGGCTATAATTCATTCGTAACATTAATAAACGCTTAAGCGCATTCTACACCGACTGTTCATATTAAGACAATGTGTCGGCAACAAGGTAAATCACAGCCATTATTCATCATGTTATGCTGAAATTAACTAACGGTGAAACTTTCATTCTTAAAATTGAATAAACGGTACCTAGCTAACTGCTAGACAAACAGAACAGAAGGTGTCGCTACTTAGAGAGAATATACCGGACGCTTAATTATCTCAATGAACGCTTACCTGCTTCAGTAGAATCACAGGGTAAATCATTTAATTGGTAGATAACGTAAGGTGATGGCACAGATTCTAAGAAATTAGAAAAGATAAGTAACGTAAGAGGTTGCATTCTTGTACCATCTTACATTTTTTAAAACTGTTGCAATTACTGTATGAAACAGAAAATAGCACAGTAAGGATAAGAGACGAAGATATTGTAAATTAAATTTACAAATCAACCAAAGTTGACGCTTACGAGAGCCTTCCATCATACCTTGTAGATTTATACGGCCATAATGGTGTGGGTTTATACAAACTAAGTGAAGATCTGAAGGTGCTGGAGTAATACCAGTTATTTCATCTAAATCGTTTTCAATGCAGGTGGTACATGTTGCCAATCTCTTTAGTTCATAATCCTCTCCTATCATATCGGGCCAACGAAAAAGACAAGACAGTAATACATGAAACTTTACGTCCATAGTTGTACCATCGCTGTGTCTAATTTGGACCTTGCTTGTCGTTACTATACAGTTCGACTTGATACCACCGCGGGATTCGATACATTTTACTAAATTCTCGAACTGCTTGATGGAAATACTTTTCAATAAGCCATAGACAGTGCGTTTCAGTTGTTCATCATTGAAATTTTTTAATAAGAAATTATTGATAGATTCCGAATTAATCGATGCCGAAGGTGATTGAAGTTGTGATGATGGCGAACGGGCGGTGTCATGATCACTATTCGTCGGGTCATTCACAATTTTGCTTGCCCGACACCGCCACAATCGCCTGAACAAGTTGTTCCGCTTTCTCCTAAACATTCATTTATTAATATCCAGAAAAATCGTCATGAAGACTTGACGGTAGCTTTAAGCGCGTTTCATCCGCTACAGAGTTGGAGACCAAATGTACAGCGTGCCTTCTTAACACGTCTATATTCCCAAACAATAATGCACACTTTTTCCGATAGACGTAAAAAAAAATGGCAATACACTTAGAATCTAAACCGTCGATTTGTTTCTCGCTACCCTACTGGTAACCTTGAATAAAAAAGCCAGCAGTCACTTCGGTCAGACAGTCTCCTGACAGGCACAGCTTTGATGAAGGTTACTCGTTAAATTTATTGGTTAATTGAATCACGTGGGGTGTCTAGACGCTAAGACGCAGTCTTCAAAGTGGTTTGTAGACAATGATTGGCACTTAAAGATGATGATTGGCTAGCTCTAGCCATTCAACAGAAATAGCACATCGTTGTCATTGTAGTACTGTACTGCATGCTGTAGCGCATAGTAATATAGCCTACTTCTGCTGATGAGTAGTACAGTCTGATAAAAACAGTAAATAAAGTACAATACTGTACACAGTGTAAAATTGGATCTATACGTTACATTATAGCAGAATATGACATCTGTAACTGTGTCAATTAGTCTGTGACTCCTTAGCCCTACGTCAAGTACAGCGGAGACTCCTAAAATAAAGTTCACAGTTATGGAAGACAAAGATCTACCTTGCACCTGGACAGAATACTCTTCGGATGGACAGACTTTTCTGAACAACTGTACCGTACACTGTACTCTACTGTACAGTACATACAGTAAATAACGCCAACAACTACTTTATTGAGTAACGACAACGGGTAATTGGTATGGATCTTCTGTGTCTACTTTTCTTTAATTGCTTCTACCAATTCAAAAAGCATTTATAACGCTATATAACTTCTTTCAAGCACAATTTAGTAAAATAGAATAATATTACTTCACTTTTGTTAGAAAAATAAGTGATATACTGTACTTAAGATAGAATTCGACTTAATGAATGTTACAGTATAACCATAAAGGTACAGTACTGTACAGTACAGTATGTCTAAGATATTTTAGCCGATAAATTTTAACGAGCAAAATCAAGGAACCCCTTTATTCTGCACAAATTATACATCAATCGGTAGAGAAAAGCTAAATAACATAGTTCATCAATTAAAATCTGCGTGCGACGTCTATTTTCTTCATAATAACTAGTTAAAGTCTTTGAACAAGGCGATATAAGGTCCAAATATCCGACCGTCCGAGACGAGACAATACAATACTGCAGAAAGAAGCGCGACTGCCAACGTTTGTTGACTGCTGTCTACACCAGTACTAATAATGTGGAAGCTGATTATTTTACTAGCCATTTCAATTGAATTCGTATATCTGTAAACGGCATACATACTATGCTGTCTGGGATTGATAACCAAATAAGCTGCTAGGTTGGTTTTGTGCAGTATGGTATACAGTTTTATTGGTACCGTATAGTAGAATGAGGGGAAAAATGCTAAGCCTCCGCAGTATTTTGCACTGGTGGCAGTCCCGTTTCTTTCTTATTTAGTAGTCCCTGGCAGTGCACTATGCAAAAAGAAAGGAAGGGACGAGAAACTACTTTCACTACAAAATAATGTGGAGGTTTATCATCTTTGCGATCATTCTACTATACTGTGTCAATGAAACCGTATACCATACTGCACAAAACCAACTCAGGAGCATGTTTGCAGCTAATTTGGATGTCAATTGAAGACATGCAATACAGTTGAAATGACCAGTAAAATAATCAGCCTTCACATTATTAGGATAGTGAACGACCGTTTTCTGTCCGCCTCTTTCTTTTTAATAGTTTATGATAGAGCACAGATGAGCACTGTGTACTTACTTACTCTGTGAACATTAAACAAATAAAAAAATGAAAAAGAGAAGTACAGTATACTAAAGTACATATGACATAAGACCACGAGTAAAAAAGTACGCTGTGCAAAGAAGCGCGGAGGCCTATCATTTTTCTGCTCATTCTACAGTACTGTACTGTACTGTACCACTGAAAGCGTACAGTATTCTCGTATGGTCTACAGTGTACAGTACAGGCTGGAAACGACTGTACTGTACACAGGTCTCTTGAAGTGATCATTCAAATGGTCGACCAGTCGATCTCCACATACAGTACAGTACAGTACGGTATTACCGTAGTACAGTATACGCACAGTATTAAATGATTATTTCCGGCCACCTCTATCTTTTTAATACTGTAATTCCTATAACAGTTAGCGTTGTGCACAATATACTGTACTATGCATAAATTTATCAATAACTAGCTTAAAGTTAACCGGCCACACGATGTCGTGCAAATGAATATAATATTGCCTCTCAGCTATCTCACCACATTCAGTAGAAATTTATCAACACGCTAATACACACCTATTATTCGACCGATTACCTGTTATTATTACAGAACATACATGAACTAGTCTTAATACCAGCGTACTGTATACTGTACGTACCTCTGCCACTGCCAGCGAAGTGAGCCAAGACCCTAGATGTACAGTACGGTGTACAGTACATTGTACAGTACATTATAGTACTGTACAGTACTGTACAGTACTGTAACGGAGAACTTCTCAAACTGTAAATAGCTAATACGCATGTCAGCGCAGAGTAACGAAGGCTTACTAGTTGAGTGTCGAGAGCAGACAGCAACTTGATACGATAGAAAGTTGTTTTACATGTACCACAGGTATAGTTAGTTTATTCGTACTATAGTTTACGAAAGAGTATTTGGAATTTTGGTGTCGATGTTTACTGTTAAAAACGTAAAAGTTTAAAAAATGGGAGCCAGTTGGTCAGGTAGTCTTAACGATTTGGATAGTAATCCCTGTATTCAAAGATTAATAGGCCAAGTTTCGATTGACCTTCATGATGGCTTTTGGTTGGAATTCCTAACGTTTCATTGGATATCACCAAGCTCAAGGTAACACATTGCGAGTGCACAGGTTTTCACTTAAATGCTGAATGATGACAATCTACCAATGTTATTTGTTAACTATAAAAGTAAATTGAAAACTGAGCCTTCGGTTGCACCTCGTAGCTTTCTTACCAGAAATATGCTACATTTTACCCTTAAAAAATATTACAGAAAATGGTCAGCATCTGAAAGTAGCCGAATCATCTGCACCTGGTGCTATCATAATCATGAATACGTTATGACACGTCCTCATCCATTTTTGCTCGAATGACACCTTCGTATCATATCATTATTCCCAAGTATTGGTCTTCAATTCCTTAGTATTATTAATTACAAACGTTTTTATATCTCTTCTTCTTCTGCACGAATAGTTAGTGGATAAGTAGAGCTACTGTATGATAGTGAGCTGTACAATGTACATTGTACACGGCAGTATTACAATATTCTACTAGTAAACAATTATACTATATGCTACTGCACTCTACACATATTGCATACTGTAAGTTAGTGCATACCGCAAAATACGAGCTTCAAACAAATATACGAGTACATTTCGAACCTGCGATATAGCGTAGACTACAGTGATTCCTTCCAGTGATCCATGGTTAAGGTCTTATCGATGCAATATAGTAATGTTACTAATGTGGGCTTAATTAATGGTCGAACCTAAACGTATGTTCGCCATTTCACAAATTTTGCATGCAGTACCACTGACTTAAATTAAATACGGTTTTGTAGCTTTGCATGCCAATATGACTGGTAAGACCTTTATTTAATACAATAGCCAATCACAATCTCATAGCTATATTAGAATCAAAAACACAATTGCAAGCACAGCGATTAAGCTACATTACTGACTTTTTGTTTAAATAGCTGTGCAGAAAAGAACGTGGAGGAGTCAATTCGATCGATCAACATTGTTTTTGGTAAGCTACGCTACCTTCACCTTATTAATTATACTTAGAGGACTCGCACCGACTACGTAATAGAATTGACTATAATAAATTCATTCAACTCAGCGCTACATTTGCTAATATTGCATATTGCACTTTATAGCAAGGAATAATCTGTCGACTGGCAACTTTGGTACGATGATTCGTTTCTTACTGAACCACATCCAGGAATGGATAAAAGTCGATAGATACGTCGAGTTAGTTTATTAGCTTAAAATATATACTTTATGGTAGTTGATAGCGTTGTTATTTCGTACTGCAAAGTACTGTAGTACTGTATACGCATGAATACTTCATTATTGGGTAGTTTCTACTTTCGTAGTTTACAATAATTGTGGACAAGTTAGACATTTCCATTACAGTACCATGCATTTTAAAATATCACAAGTTATATCATTGACCTATTTTTTTATTCTTGATTAAAAGTATCACGCGGGTATTGTAATGTAATGAATATAATTATTATTTTACTGTGCTATCTGTCATCATATCCAATTAACAATACTAAAAGAATAGTTACTAAACAGTGTATGGTGTGTTTTTAATCATTTTCTATACAGTACCTTTTAACTTTTATAAAAGTACGCAAAAGTTTACTGCATAAGATATACTGATTGTCTTCATATAAAACCATTTAAATGATATCACTATGTGTTCCATAACAGGATGCAACCATAATGAAATCATTTTCTCTATTACAGTAACCATAGCGCTTTAATTACGTACAACTGCTTGTTGATAATTCGGTTCGTCTGCAAGTATCAGTTTGAAGTATTACGGGAAGAAACAATTGTCAGGCAATTCTTATCCAGTCCGCGTAATCCTCAAATTAGATTCATTCATGAGGTAAATTTATGAATGATGGTTTCGTTACAATTGGAACTTCATGACTTCTATACTGTAATATTTGTGGATAGCTAAAATAGATATTTATCATTAATGATGTAATTAAACTTTTTAAATGCTTTTAGATGATTGCTTTAACTTTTAGTTTTACATCTACTGAAATGACAGATTTATTATGATTATCAAAATTTAATTTCCTTTAACTTAATTAGACTAAGGAAGATTCCGTTAATAAAAAGAAAGTATCTGAATGTGATGACGAAAGAAAGAAAGAAACTAACGTAGCCAAATTGACAGATACAATAATATCTGTAAATAGCGAGATCAGAGACCAAAATTTAAATGACGATGAGAAAGACTTGCAATCAAATAATGATATTAGACTGATACCAGAAGAAAGTAAGTATAACGATAAGGTTTGGATTTAATGCCATGCAGCATTAGGTTTTATTACCTTGACATATCGTAAATTATATGATAAGGAAGATTGATACTAGTTATCATAAATTTTTTAGAGTTACTGAGGGTCTTTATTAGGGAATTAATGAATATAATTATAACTTTTCCGATCATGTAAGAAAACACTGAATAAAACATTAATTCTTTGCTTTTAACGTATGGGTATGTCGTATCCTCACATTTGATTCTAATATAACACATAGAAAAAATACCTACTACATCCATTACGAAGCCATCAATATTATATTAAGTTTACTTTCGGCCGAAATCTATAATCCAAAAACATCGTGCAATAGCCCGTTTCATAAAGTAATCATGGCTCAAAAGAGGTAAACTTTTACGAAAATTCGTGGGTATAAGAAGCTATAAACTGATAAACTCTCTATTGCCTGTTTTTATTATTGTAGTGTGCTTAAAATCTGCTTGCATTTCTACTTTTTAGCGTCGCTCAAAATGTTGTACGGTCTTTACTTGATAACTTTACTCAGCAAGTACCTCCGCCAAAGAAGATATCCTTGTATCTTAATACAGGATTATTTTACAACATTGGATCAGCTGTAGCCTGTACGTATGTGGTAAAGCGGTGCTAACCCGGTACTTTTAGTAAATTGTAATATGGTGAATATTTTATGTTCTTAGCTGGTCTTTGGTCGATGGTATCTAAGACAAATGCAATTCCTGAAGATAATCGCAAATCACCTTTGGGAGTACAGTCTTTGCTACTATTATTAGCTTTATCTAGCCATCATATACAAGATGAAGGAAAATTTAATCCTTTCAGGCATTCATTATTTCGGCTTGGAGCTAAGGAATCTGATGGTACAGTAGTTACATTTCATTCCTCTGTATTATCTCTTTTATTTAGGAATGCATAAAATTTAAAGTAACTTTGCTTATATATATATATTTCAGTTAATGTTGAGATCGAATCTGCACATTCTGATGACACTCCTTCCAGCTCTCCGCACGATTCATCATTCAATATGAGTCAACTGTACAATACTATATGCAAGTAATTTTAAATCTAAACCTTGAAGCCGGTGTTTTTAAGATATTATCTTCTACTAAATTTATGTGAATGACTTTTTAGAGAATTACATGCCGATGAAACGACCCTTTTGTTGTATTTATTATTACATCGAAATCCCAGTTTTGCTTCGTATGTGCTTTCACGCGTTGATATAGATTCTCTGGTAAGTGACGTTGTATTTGGATTACTACAAATTTCGGACAGTTGATTTTGTGTGATTTGTTTAAAGGTAATACCTATACTAAAGTTACTCTACGAAGCGGAGGAAAAGAATTCACATCACATCTATATGGCTTTAATTATACTACTTATTTTGAGCCAAGATAGTGGGTTTAACAATTCTATTCATATTCTGGTAACTTGCGAGTATATAACAATCATTAACTTTACGTTGTGATATCAATTATTTGAAGTATTGGAGAATTCATAAAGAATCATGTCTTTTACTATAGGATTTACGATCGGTAGCGTGGTTTACTGAAAGGTCTTTGAATGATATAACGCTTGGAGGACTGTTAGTTTTGATTGTAATTAGAACAATTCAGTTCAACATGGCAAAAATGAGAGTTAGTAAAGTTTCCAGTACAAGTGTAGAATATGCAACTGTACTGACTTGCATGGTATTTATGTAGGACAAGTACCTTCATACTAATTGCTTGGCTGCTTTGGCGAATATGTCCGCTCACTTTCGAGCTCTTCATCCATACGTTGCTCAGAGACTCTTAAGGTGATTGAGCTATTATTATTAGGTCATCTACAGTACGTGGCACCTTTAAAACAAAAAGATTTAACTGATACTTTTCTTTTTAATATACATTGTGGTTTTTAGTTTATACGGAATCCTTTCTAAGAAGCACGCTAAAGTTAGCGAAAAGATGAGACAGTACGCAAGCCAGCAAAAGAATGATAATAAATCACATGAAGAATCAGAATCAATTTTAGAAGAATATCAGGAATCTAGCGATTATGTAAGAAATATAAATTAATTACATTTATTATGTACAATTAAATATAATCATAATCATATAATTGATAATAGGCTGCAGATTTAGCAATCCTTGAAGAAGTCATCCGAATGGTTTTAGAAATCATTAACAGCTGTTTAACGCACTCCTTGAAATATAATCCACATCTAATTTACGCAATGCTACATCAAAAGGAATTATTCATTCAGTTCCGAACTCATCCTATATTTCAAGATATCATACAAAATATAGAAACGGTATAAAAAGATGTAACAGTTTTTGTTATTTTTAAATACTCATAGCGATATTCTTCGTAGGTTTTAACCTATTTTAATACGCGCTTGGAAGAAACGGGCGAATCAAACTTATCTGTAGAAACGGTATTTAGAGTTATTAATGAAGGGGCTCAGTTGTGGCCTGGTGATAGATTAAAGGTAACAGTTTTAAGCTATGAAAGTCGAAGATTATTCTTATCATTATTAGAGTGATACATTGCCAATGGATTTGGATAATTTTGTTATTGTGAATCTTTCCAGAAATTTCCTGATCTTCGTTTCAAATATGTCGAAGAGGACCGTCCTGAAGAATTTTTTATTCCTTATGTTTGGTCATTGGTGTATAATTCGTCCAATCTCTATTTCAATTCTGAAAGGATTAAATTATTTTAACAAAGAATTGTTACTTATAACGTATCACTACCTTGCCTTGACTGTTGCGATGATTCTAGAATGAGCTACTATTTTTTACGTTGCATTCTATGTTTGATATACTCGTAAGCATGGTAGTATCACTAGGGCTGATTATAATCGTAATTCTGAAGATTGTAATTATTCCCATTAGTACGTCAATAAAGACAATGCCGACAAAGTCAACTCTATTTGATATTCTAAAGAATTGAAGATCTACTTTCTAAACTTTCGTGCTCTGTAGACTATTATCAGCAATGTAACACAAGGAATAAATCTTTCGTCATTAGGATTTCGTTACATTTCTGAGTAATTTATGAGTACTTGATTACGTTCAACTGGTATCTTTATTCTATGCTTCATTTATTAAATAATAACAAAATCTTAGTTATATACAAAACGTAATTGAAGTAGCTATACCTAGTCAAACTCGATATCAAACTGACTATCTTCAATCCTCTTTATCTGTCCAATTGGTAGGTAACTCTGAAGTAGTTCTGGTGTTTCTGTCGAACACAGTCGTCATTATTACTATATAGATGATACTTTCTGTGATCTTTCAAAGAAATTGTTAATTATTTTGGTAACAGTATTACTACAGTATATTTATTCATCATGCATTAGCATTAGCTCATTTTACGCAGGTGTTTTCCCGTAGAGTATGGTCACACGTTACGATGTACAATTGCTTTCGGAAGTATTTCTTGGTAGATATCCGTTTTATACCCGCATAAAACAGTTATCACTATATTTGTAATATGCGATCATAAATGTTACGGTACATCACCCAACTAGTAGCTTTCTTGAAGTAGTTACATTAATGAAGTGTAGTAAGTCGCACTTTGCAGCAATCACAATTCTATCAAGTAGAGTGACCAGGAAGGTCATTGATTAAATTATAAATAACAATCTGTTGTAAGTTGTTGCAAATTTTCTTCAATTCTAAAAGGTCCAATTCTGTTTATTTCAGTGCATAGCTTACCAAAACAACGTAAAAATTTCTTTATTAATCTTACTGTTAAGAAGAATATTATAATGACTGTATCTAATAATTAGATTTCTTTCTTTTAACTCATATTCTATATATATTTTTATAATGCTTAACGTGGTCGTATTTCCATGTAATCAATAATTCTAGATTGCAGCATTATGCCAATCTAAATAGTTAAGTGCTGATTTACATCAATCGGTTGCTACTCTAAAAATATTTCAATGATATGTTTATGCCCATACAAGTATACACAACGTAGCATCGTAAAAAATTACGCAATTCTGGCCTTTACATATGTAGTTATTGCTGTTATATGAAGTATTTTTGTCATAACTAGTGTCATGAAAGGTAAATTGAACTCTTGAATTATTAAAATCCTGAGATATCTACAGTTATAATAAGTAATCAGATGATATTAATTTGGGTATCTAAATGAAAAGTAACGAAGATTAACGGGTGCAGTAGCAGCCGATGATATAACTAATCAAGCGAGTTCTAACTTAAAATGTGAAATTGGCGCCACGCCCTATACCATATCGCCATTCATTACTCATATTTGACCAGGCCTAGGCAATTAATAATTAACTGGTTAATCAGTTAATATCCCACACCTATACTTGATTTTGACAAGTGTTATATGGAAGAGTATCTCAGGTATCATACGTATGGTTATATTATGCGCGATTATCACATTGGATCTACTCATCGGGTTACCATGGTTTTGATTTCGTCATGCACTAAAGCTATCAATCGGTTCTTCCTTACAGTTAAATAATGAATAAATTTATGACGTATTACAATGGTACTGATAATGTGCATGTAACTGATCCATGAAGTTGTAATCAATTTGATTCCAGGGTGTGGAGTGACAGAAGTCAATAAACAGGTGGTTACGGCTGTATTACATAGCGTAATCTTGCCAAGGGCTTGTACTTATTTTAGTTTCACTGTTACCTTGATTTTTCATTGACAATATACCGACATTCTATCTCATATAACGAGGCTGAGAAGTTTTACTAATCAAATAGAATAAAAGTAAAATGTAGCATATTTTGATCTTGAAAATATTGATAACCGTGTTTTGTATGCCTATTTAATAATTTTGATCAAAATACGTATCATAGAAATCGAATCTTGATAGAAAGGGTTATGGAAAATAAAGTTACACCTTCAGTCCTATTTCTTCTATTGGCCTGTTACGTCGATGGAGCTTGGGCTTATTTAAAGTAAGGAACTGTAACAAACAAATAGCTATTATTAATGCGAAAAATAACATTTAGAAGACCACATTAATCTAAATTAATCGCACAAGAATGAAATTAAACCTACCGTATGGTCTTCAAACAATTTTCTGTTTAACTTTTGTAAATTTCATTAAACCTTAAAAATTCTAAATATACTGACATGAAGCATGGGTAAAAGTTCAAGCTTTAATTAATTCAATACATGTACTTAATGCCAATTATTTTCACAATGTAACAAAGTAAGCAATTTTAGAATGGGATTTTTGAGCTTTAATATTACTGTAGTTGCCATTGCGTCTATATTTACCCGGTACCTAGGCGCACGCTTAGTGTAGTATACTAAGTAAGATTTGCATGCGATAGTAAGAAAATTGAAGAAACTGAGAACTAAAATAGGAAGATGTTTTTAAGTTTTTTCTTGGATATAATTGCTTGATTTATCATTTTTTCTTATATTCTTCGTTCCTCAATCGAAGACCAGAATTCTTTTACGAATATAAACTACATGCTTAATTATTAGCAGCATTAACATTACTGTTATAACAGCATAAATTTAGTTAAACGGAAACATAGAATCTGCTGTGTGACCACACTAGTCATTTACTCGCTAACATCCAATGGTGGCAATACTTACTGCTACAAGATTCATTATTGAGATTGGACTGTGAATGAATAACGTATAATATCCGTAAGAAATACCTTACTCTTGTACATGTCCGTAATCTCTTTGGCGCGAATCTAATTTATCCCTTGTCGTCCCCTAACTCTAGCTGTCAATAGACGCCATCTACTCTCATCTATCTTGTTTTCGTTTCCTTCTAAAATATATAACACTACAAAATCTATTAGGGGTAGTAGCTAATTAATTAATATTAAAATTATAAGTGTGGTGCGTAAATGGAAGGTATGTAAACTGAAACACAATTTAAAATACTGCTTGAAGATTGAGTATACCTATTCAAAGATTTTTAGATCATTATTTAAACTGCCGATTATGCACCATATTTGATATCATCTTAGTCTTATACGACTGTTTTTTTTTCTCTAGCGTTGGTGGTATCATTGGTATTGCCATTGGCTGTTTCATTGTAATTATCGTTATCCCAGTTTTAATTTGTGTCTGCTGTGCAGGCGCGATAGGATGCGCTGCCGCTTCTACAGGCCCACCAACAACTGTTGCCGTCAGTAAGTCCTTCATATCAGATAATTATTCTGTATATGTTGCTTTAACAAAATTTTGAACCTACTGAAATTATTTAACATTAAAATTTTCTACTTTATATTCTAACATGACAATTTTTTACGCTGTATATCTGTAGTTCCGGCTACTCACACTACCACAACTGTAAACTATCCGCCAATGTATAATCCCGGAATGCAGACTGCACCGCAGAATTTCGGCATGGCCCAACCGATGGGTACGTTTCAACAGCCGCCGCCGCCACCCTATACTTCTACTTATATAAATCAACCCGCTAATACCGTTATTATCAGGTAAAATTAAATTAACGTAGAAATCTCAGATATTTCATTTTACAAGCAACACTAGTTAGTACGGTACCATTGATCACAACCCATGACTTTATATTATATTAGCAAACAGTTCAAAGCTTAAGATAATTGTATCTATATTTAGCTTATATATTGCCATTAAAGCAATATTCTTAGCTTACAAATTGTGTTCAGTAATAAATAGGCTACATTTAAATTTATTTTGTACGAGATGGGTATGATATAAGCACTAAAGAGTATGCTGTGCACCAAATTGTCATCATATTCACTTTATTTCTCATTCTATAGCAGTTAATTTTAAAATTTTATAGATTGGAGTTCACTGTATAGATATTATATCTGCTTTGATAGATATTTTACAGATGTAGAGACATTGATTCGGCCAATTAATGATACATAATACTTTAGCCTGATATTATACAGGAGTTTACCATCAGATGCATTTTAAGTGTTAGATTTCATAATTCGATTATATTTCTAGTAACAATTCATGTAATCGGTAAAATTTTTATCGTGGTTATGCAGATCTCATAAATTGAATAAGAATGCATTTTTATTAGAGAGCTATTCATTTAATTAGTCCAATGTATAAGTTCTGATATGGATCATGATATGGATCATTATGTGCTGTATAATACTTTAAAAATGTATAATTATGCAATTATAATTAAAATTACGATTGTCTTCAAATATGAGAATTTATATAGAAAGGTTTAATATGCGTGTGGAATATTAAAAAAAAGAAAACCATTATAGATTATTTAGTACTTGCAAGAATCTCACCAGTTATTGCAACATAAACGCTAATGTGTGCTTGGGTATATTGAATTAGACCCACAAAACTTTTTCAAAAGTAATGTAAAATATGGTACATTATTAATATACTCTACGCATATCAGGCATATTATGTCAATGTCATACGTATTTTAATTGGATGCTCTAAATTGTATTTACAAGAGTTCATGGTTCGATTCTTTGATACTGTACAATACACACTATACACATCTCAGTAAATGTAGAGGATAAGGTTTAAATAGATGTACAATCCATACTCACGAGACTAGTGTACGGTAATCTGTCCTCACAAACTAATACATCGAATACTGTAGTTATGTATATATACACTGAAATCGTATTTTATTCGGTACCATCTAGATTATTAGTGCGCTACCTGGATTTTATGGACTGTTAAATCCAGCTCTCCAATATATGTATAATATAGGGTAAACTGTATCTTTTCGATGTTAGTACTCATGTTAGGACCGTACTTCGATTCGGTTTTGATCCATCATTAGTACACGTATCGCCCAGATAGTTCAGCTCTTAAGTGATGCACATTCAAAAAGTGGTGATACTTATCATCCATGCTTACTATTAGCCTCGAAATCTCTTTGATATAGATAGTTAATACAAATCAAGCCCTCCGAATATCGGTAGTAAGCATACGTCCATGTTTTTTTTATTAATGTACACCCGTGGCCGTGAAGTTTCTTTCTGAATGAGGTGCGTCTAAAAGCGTACATATGTAGAAAGGAGTCAGTGCGAGGAGTGTTGGGTTTGGAGTAGAAAGAAATAAATGTTAAAGTTTATAAAATTCATTTTACTGTAAATAAAGGATACAATTATGACTATCTGAATTAGAAAATTTCTCTTGGATTCGATTCCTTACAAATCATGTTAATGATACAGTGAAAGAGCAGGTTAAGAGTTATTTATCAAACATTTGATATCAAATAATCGATTGTCTTTAACCTAGATAGTTGGGAAGATGCTACACTATATCATAGAATTTATTATTGACAACACATAGCTGAGTGTGTGCGATCAGCTAGTTAGGGTATATAGACCTGGTCCTGTAATATATTGGTTCTTGATTATATCGTTGTGAATAGGAATTCTATCGTACAGTATTATCTAGTACACTTTCCAGTTGCTACATGGTGATAATTATCTAATATGCATATATGAAAGTATCTATGAAAAGTTTAAAATTAACTTACATTAGTAATTATTCTATCATGCTATAACCATATGAAAATAAGAATGATCTTAGGTACTGCACCCTACTTCTACACGGTCATGCTTTTTAGAAGTTTAGCTCTTGTACCGCAGTCTAGTAGCAGAGTTATGATCAAAATATATAGACATAATATTATTGGAGATAATATGTTTATGCCTTTGAGGTATAATTTTATAGCAGATATGAAGCTTTACATGTAGGGATGGCTTCGAAAGATGCAGTAGGAAATAATTCTACTTTATCGATGTTATTCTTTAATTTTTTCGCTTATAGCTACCTGATATAGTATATCACAAAGTGTGTAGTGTTTACTTCTAAATACGGTACAGTCTATTTTTAGTAAAAGTATTAGTTTCACTAGACTGTAGCATAACTCTAAGACTGTAATATAACTCTAATCATGTACTGTATGATCAATATTCAACAATTTACTCCGTGGAAATATCTTGTACTCTAGCTAACTTACCGTAGCACTAGCTTAACATAGAAGTAACTTACTGTATTTTCATGAATCCTTCGCGCCTGTAAATAATTTCCTCCTACTGTGCTCCTAACATTATAAAAGCTATCTTCTTTCACCTATCTTGTTAGTTAGTTCTGGTGGTTACATGGTAAGCTTATACGCTTTACCTATTCTACACCACTATAGTTATTCAACTAGTCACGTCGTTACTCACACGATTATTCTCTTACACTAGCTCAATAAAGGTTACTCTTCCGTTAACTATTCTATTGTACTTATTGCGACTAATGCCGAACTCTCAACCTTCCGAAACATCACAAAGTGCATGCTTTTGTATTATACTTTTAGTCTAATTTAACTTTAATTCGTAATTAGAATTTGAGCTTATAACTTGTATATTTATCGGCTAGCCTTGATTGCTTTAAAATTTCGGAATATGCAATAGACAGTGGAGTACACTAATGTACAGTACCATACCACTTTGGGTTAAATAAAAATGAATTTTGCACAACGCAATAATCACATTTCACACGTCCCAATTTTTTAGTCTAGATATACAGTAGTAATAGATGAATAAGGAGTGGGGTATCGTAGATTTACGCTTTTGAAATTAAAGATACACTTATTAACTCAAAGCAAATAAAAAATTCATAGATCTCCAGAGCGGTGGGAGGCTAAAGCGTAAAGCTATAATTTATTGGAGCATATACCGGTTCATCAGAGATTACCGACAATAATCGCAACAGAATAGAGAACAGCACCATAATATGAGGTGTAAAATAAAACTTATCATATAAGGGCATAATTATATTATTTTACAGTTAATTAATTAAATATGTTTATATATACACAGTTGTGCGAGTTATTTTTTTGGTCTATATTTGTGACGAGAGTTTCTAAAAAAGAAAGGTACTCATCCTTATTGCATACTCTCTATATCGTATGTGGTTACTCCTCAGTATCGATGACCTTCTTACTATACGTCATTATTGTTGAATTTTTGACTTCACAACTAGAAGTTCTAGAACTTTGATCCGCGGTGCAAATACTGGTAGTGTACAATACGTGAACAACGAGTGTACATTACGGTAAATGGTGTCGTCAAAATTATATCATGCTATGTACCACGTTAATAAAGGCACATGTATTACTATAGATTTTACTAGTTTATAAAAATTGATTTAATTATCTGAATCTACTGTATGGTTATCATGTATTCAGAGGATGTTATATCGTTTTATCTTCTCACGTACATGAGGGCCATGGTGTAGCCAGTTTTAGTAAAATCTTGCAATAAGTTGTGTCTCTTCCAATTGCAGCAATTTGTTAGTATTATCTTCTCTTGTCATGAATGATTCATGATATTCTGTATTCTTATGAGTTATTTTTCAATTAATTAACCATGTAATAGAAATAATAAATTACCCAGATTCCTGTCGGTATAGCAGCCTTAATTATAAACGGCTTATTTCGAATTTTATGCCTGAAGACTATCATTGCTAACCACCCTCCAATGATACCAGAAGCCCATAGTAATAAAAGCAAGTTAAATTCTTTTACTTGTTTCCAATTGTATATTAGGGATACTTGATCAAACCAGAAAACTATAAAAGTAAAAAAATTGATGGCTAAAATAATGTGATAGATCCAGTCTTCCATAACACCGTATGTTGCATCTGATTAACCTGTATATTGTTACGTCGCGCGTTCTACAGTATATACATATATATATATATATATGTATATGTATACCGTATATACGCGTATACGTGTGCCTATACGTGCGATTGAGCAAAGTATAACTGTAGTGTAAACTTTTACAATACTAGCTAGTCGAACGCCCTACTCGCGTACCAGTTTTGAAAGTGAGTATAATATATTTCACAATCAGTAAATACGCGTATACATATATACCCGTATATATATTTTATAGCTTTGTATACTTAACTACCTACTTGACTGTGTACACCGCATATACGAGTCGTTTTGCATACAGGACTCTATTATGCCGCATGTATCGTTGTACAATAAGTACTGTCTTTAGTCCCAGCTATTTTGCAAGCCAGATATGAACTCATAGCATAATATTAAAGGGATATCGAGTAACCGGACCATGGTCCATAAGACAGTTAATCAAGTTGTAATGTGCTATATTTTACAGTCTATCTCAAGGATTAGAATCACACTTAGTACCAAAAATAAAGTTCTTAAGAGGCAAAGGAAGAACTATACAAAGTAACTTAGCAGAGGTTGCCAAGGGCGTGCCTATCAACGTAACGTTTGGACTATCCACTAGAGAGGTCTGTCAGGATCTCCAGTGGACACTTGTGCGAACTTGGGATACTGTCCAGTATTCAAATTTTGCTAATTCCTTCTATTACCATATACACTAAATGCAGGCGAATTGAGCGATGTAAGACTACCTTGTGAAAGTAGCTGCGCTAAAATAATACTGTATTGAAAACATTCGGTATATATAGTGTCTCATAGTAATCCTTCATATCGTACATCGCCATTTGTAATTTAATTGATTTGAAAGTCTTTGGGTCACAAGTTTTCTTCAAGTTTTTTAAGTGGTATACACTGTGCAGGCTCTACTAATTATTATTAATTTGCTGATTTGTTACAGCTATCGGCCTATCACACTATCATCGCAGTAGCAAAAACGAGTTCATTTAAAATTGCTGATTATTAGTTAAGAGTGCTTTATTGAGCCTTAATAACGTAATGATTTTCCATCCTTTCGCTGCAGTTGAAAAAGCGAGTTCATTTGTAGTTGCTAATTATTAGTTAAGATTGTTTTACTAAGCGTACAGTATATGATATAATGTAATTATGTTCAATCAAAGCGAAATTCTTCCGTGCACTAATCGATGGTCAAATAAATTAGAGAATAAAAGAAATCTACCGTTGTTACTGCATATGAGTATATCATCCGATCGTTTGATTTTGTGAACCTGCATGAATTCATGTGCAATTGATATTCTTTTCAATACAAAACAGTTCCCTACAGTGCTTTGGAAGTCTTGATAACACAGGTTTAGGATTTGTGTTTACCTTCCATGAATCAGTTAAGGTAACCGTTTCATTTAAACTACTAGTGCTAATCATTCTTTATCGTCATGGTTAAGTTGTACAATGCTATATAGTATACGCGTATATGTTTGTGGTAAGAATAGGCATCATGTTTGACGATAATTATAATTCTTAAAGTAATCCTTCCTATCAGATAATAAATAGATGGAGTCCTGTAATCTGCAATTTCCTAAATATACAGTTCTAATTCTTAAATATGCATTCTTGGAATATACCAATTGACAAATGCTCCTAGTCATAGAGCACCTGTCGCCCAAGATATTTTACAAGTTTCGATTAGCATTTGTTTAAGCATTATTAGGATAGAATTGATTTCGGGACTAAGTTTTACTATTTGTTATTCCTAGACCACTTACGGTATGTTGCCAAGATATGCTGAACGAAATTGCTACTATTAAATGACTAGTTGAAACAAGAGACATTGTATAAAGATCCTTTATTACACCTAAAGCCTAAGGTTTCAACCCGGATTTGCATTTTATAGCAGCTTAAGCCTTTGCTGAACAATGATGCATATCATTCCTCCTTTGAAGACGTTATATCATAAAGTTTATTTTAAGTTTCATATGTGTAAATAGTTCACGCTTCCATTAAGTGATGACATTGCGTAATTTTATATCTTAATAAAATTGAATTACATAATCCTTTACTTTTACTCTAAAGCTGCAGCTCCAGAAATAATTTCAATTAGCTCTCTGGTAATAACGGCTTGACGAGTTCTATTGTAAGTCAGAGTGAGGCTGTCGATCATTTCACCTACGTAAGAAAACGAAACTTTTTCAGTAGATGTTTCAGTTTATTTATAACGAAGAAATAGTTTACGTACCTGCATTCTTGCTAGCGTTATCCATAGCTGTCATACGTGCACTTTGTTCGCTTGCGGCGCCATCTTTCATAGCAGCGTATATTGAATTAGCTAAAGCAAATTCTTGATAACTTCTGACGACTTCGTGATCTACGTCGTCGTAGCTCAAAATCTTTTCGCTATTAGCTATTACATCAACAGAACGTAGAGGTTCTTTGATCGTTTCATAGGAAATGACGCTCCTATAAATAAGATATTGAATCATAAATAAGGGACGCTTACTTCTCGATAGTTAAATATCTGGGTTTGTAATTAGTATTCCGTGACATAAGAGATATTAACGAAGATTTACTAAATAAGCTACAACCTAAATTTGTTATAAAGCAGGTCAGCCGTTTCAAATTGAAAGTCGTTGTTAAGGATTTCTCTAGCAATATGTGCAGCTTCAATGAATTGGGGAGGTTTCCTTCCGTAGTCAGTGAAAACAAGCAGAAAGCGTGAGCGATGAAGGCGTTGAAGCTGAGCACGGGCTTTATCTCCAACCAGAATTAATTTAGTGTTGCTTTCTAAGAAGGGAGAATATGATATGTTAATTGCATTTTTAAATAAGTAGAGATTTCTGATAATTTACCAGGAGCTTCAGCTAAATCTGCTTTTATGGTACGGCAAATGCTACTGTGCACAGCGCCACAAAGACCACGGTCGGAACATAAAGCTATCATCATATGATTAGGTTTTTTTTCTTCACTATCCAATTCCATAGACTTGTAGAGTGCTGCAGCTCCTTCACCATAACTTCTGGCACTTTTAAGATCACGTTCGGCCCTGGCAAATTTGGCAGCTGAAACCATCTTCATTGATTTGGTGATTTTTTGAATATTTTTTACAGATCTCAGGCGCAGGGCAACTAGAAAATCATACAGTTATAATGAAATAAAAGTATAACGGAAATTATCCTTTTTACAACATTTGAATTATTAGACTGGACTAGTAATTATACAACAGACGAAGGAATCTAGTATAGCGAATTGAGAGGTTCATTAAAAAAAGAAGCGATTGTATAGACGTTTACTTTACGTGCATGAATACGGTGCAGTACCGTAGATCAAATTTGGTTCTCATGAAATCTAAAGCCGTATGATTTCACATACTATGTGGTCATATTGTATAATTTAGAGTAACGTCTTCACTATAATTATAGTATACGTCCTACAACTATGACGTAAATCGCATATGTGGGGCGGGTGTATGATGCCATACAGATTCAATTCGTATACGACTACTGGATGGAGTGTGATTTGCAAAAGTGCCGTTGAACGGCATTATTGAACCTTTAAAATGGAGATGATGAAATGCAAAATTATTTATATAATCAATATTATGCTAGCCACTTCTTCATTCACTGTCGTATATCTTAATCATTTTAAATATTATAGGATTATGTAGTGGCTATAATAGTATGTAATAAGCGAATTTTAGAGTATTATCACGACATAGGTTAATCACCAACCGTCTTTCAGGGTGGCCATATTGCGGATTCCAGATAATCTAAATATTATAAGGAAATCATTGAGAATTTAGCCTGGTAAAAATTAAATTTGAGTAACTTGGGTTAAAGTGTATGTTGGTTGTATTTTTAATACTATAGGTTAATTTCAACAGGGATAATTATCTGGCAGCTTACGATTCTGGGTGAAAGTTGATAACACGTCGTCTCAACAAATTGGTCGCCATTTTTCGCTGCTGGATCTACCGTGCTTTTAGCGGTGCGCATGCTCGCTACAGTACAACGCTGCTCAAGCGATCTAGGGCCCGGCACTGTACAGTACTTTATGTACAGTGTACAGTGTACTGTACTGTAAATTCCTTACAGCTGCCAGTTTAATTTTCAAGTGCAGTTGTAGTAAAGTACAGTGCGATGTACTGTACTGGTTCAGCGACAGGCCGACAGCTGCTGTAATCGTTGTCGTGGTTGTTACATGTTAGGCCGATCGGAAATGCACAAAGTGAAAGAAAAAACCATGCTTAGACAATTTCATATCATGGCATTATTATCGCATGATATAGAATTATCTAAAGCACGTTTTACTAACTTCAATAAGTGCAATTTCAAGTGATTACAGAGAGTAAACTTTAGATAAATACTCGGATGCCCGACAAAGGGACCTTACAGTGTACAGTACGCGCATCAGTACTGTACAGTCAAGCAGCAGACTGACGATGATGATGATCGGTTGCGTCACATGGATTCACGCGGGGATGGGTGGTATGGATTTAATTTTAGTCTATACATCTGTACGTCTGAGCACGTTACGATTCGATTTTATTTATTTATTTGTTGTTGAATAAATGATTTATTAGAGCTGACCCTACGTTAGTTGCATGCTTTGACAGTAAGTTTATGCATCATCTCGCTAGTCACTCAGCGAAATGAACCGCTTTTACGGTCAAAATGTGAAATGCATGCTCATAATGCTACTTTATATAGGTAATGTCAAGAAAAAGGTGCAAGTATGCAGTAGTACTAAGCCAAGTATGGCCGACATTACCGTACAGTATACTGTACTCAGCTTTGAACTTCGTTTGTACAGTACATGTACAGTACTGCTGCGTACTGTACTGTATAGTGTACACTGTACAGTACAGTACGTAGCTGATGGTACTGTAAAGTACTGTACACAGTACTGTGACTGTACTGTAGTGTACAGTACAACTGCGTACAGTGTACAGTACTGTACAGTACTGTACAGTACAGTACAGTATACAGTATACTGTAGTACTGTACGTCGCTGATGGTACTGTAAAGTACTTACTGCGACTATAGTGTCCAACTGCGTATAGTGTACTGTACTGTACTGTACGTCGCTGATGGTACTGTAAAGTACTGTACTGTGACTGTAGGGTACAACTGCGTACAGTTTACAGTACGTCGCTGATGGTACTGTAAAGTACATACTGTGACTGTACAGTACAGTGTACAGTACGTCGCTGATGGTACTGTACTGTACTATACTGTGACTGTATCGTATTTACGGCGCCTTCTCTCTAAATTCAAAATCTCATAACATTACAGTACTGTTCGGGTACGCAGTAGTAGAAAGCTCAAGCTGAAGTGGAGAGCAGACATGGAAAGTTGCAAAGTCAACGTTTGATTCTCTGATTATATTTTCAATTTGAATGTTGTCATGTCGAACACAAGTGTTTACCAGTTATTCTATCAACTCTGCGATATCTTTGCCGGCGATACCATCACTCAAGGTGTCACTTTACGTAAAGAACGTAGTAGCCACGACAGAAAAATCCTCAATAAGCAACTACTTGCGATCGCTTACCAACAATTGCTATTTGGAGGATTGAATAGCTGGGCCAATGGGGATCATGCTAACGAAAGCTTTCACCACAATTCATCAAATCACTGGCGTTTTATAGCGTATGGGATGTATTTAAGTTATGCTAAAAGACAACAAGATGCTGTAAAGTTGGATACATTACTAAATCAACTTTTAGACCGCGGTTAGTAATTTGGTTTATAAGTTTACGTACCTCAGTAAAACAATCTTCAGTAGGATAGCATGGATCTTGAGCTGATCTTCATTGAGTACATCAATGCAATTTCTACAATTGTTTCTTCGCATTTATGTGGCTACAGTAACTGACATCATAATTAATTAGTGACCATTGGTATAGCTCTCATATCTTAGTTAGCAAATAGAGTTATTGCTGTGAATAAATAGAATTACGAATATAGGTATGTAACTGATGCAAAAATTATAATTGTAGTAAAACGTTTAAGCGTATGCTTTTAAATAATGATACAGTACAGTATACTGCTTGAATATTACCATGAAAAAGGAAAATTCTTGTAGATTCAGAACCTGCAAAACCTTATGATACATATTATTTATTATCAAGAAGATTTGTTCTTTTTTTCTCATTGTGCCAGTAGGTGATACACAACAAATTCTTTCCTTTTTATTACTTATGGCCGGTAATACAATTGAATCCGACTTTGCTATGGAAGATTTCGGATCAAAGCAAAAGGTAAAAATATTCCTGCGTACCTTCATTATACAGTATCTATTAGTTTTATGAGGGTAGAATTAGAAACATACGTGGATGCGGATTACACGTATTCTGTTGCTCCTTTTTTAATCAGCGGTACAGTCGTCACTGTTTGTATAAATAAAAAAACAGAATAATGGATAATAAACGATAACTAGCCTCAACTTAGTGATTAGTCATGTAACTATTACTTCATATACCTAATTCAACGACCTTAACTTATGCTCTACAAGGTTACACAAAAGATTCCGACCGAGCCGAGATTATGCGGAACTCCTCTCCAATTAACGAATTGCAAGTTAGGGATATAACGTTATGAATAGCATTGTTTACTATTAGCTGTAGTTAGGAGATATTCTTTTTGTATACAGCACCTTTAGAATTCATTAATCGGTTGAATACCTAGCATTCTTAACTTAGCATGAATATTAAGTGTTAGTAGCTTGCTCTGTTGTACTGTATTAGACTACGAATATTCTACAGATATTAATATACACAGGAGCAGCGACTTTTAAAATCTTGAATGCTTTGTGAAGCGGTTGTTTCTTATTCAGCAGTGGTACTAAATTCCTCATTCTGCTTTTATAGTCAATTTTTTGCGCCAGATTATGATATAATATGTGATCCCAGCAAGTATCCTTTTCTTACGGTATTGTCGTAAGCTATTTTAATGAAACAAACTGAAATTATGGAAAAGATAGTTTTAACGCATATTCTTTTATTTAGAAATTTAACATGTTACCGAATAATCAATTTAAGCAACCGGTAATCCGTAGAACTTAGAATTTGTGATAATTATTTATTTTTATTCGTATGCTGCGTTAAAGATACTAGAAATAATATATATAATTAATAAATGTTTGTAACCAATACTTTGTCACTATACTGCTTATTATGACAGAAAACTTTCACTCAATTTACAGTAACTGCTTACTGAATGTTACTATACGGTATTTTTATTTTTTATAGAGCAACGTAGAATGGAATAAAGCTGGATCTAACCTTTTCGGAGGGATAGTTCACTCTAATGTCTATCACTTAAATGAACGTTTAAATTTTCCCAGGCTTTATCAAGATGAATATCAAAACTTGTAAGATTTAATATTTCGTATTTTTTCTGATTTTATATGAAATACTGAATATAGTACCCCAATGTAGTAATGCCGAAAGATATCTAGTTGCCCGAAAAAATGTAAGTTAAGCAAACTATTAATTATTAAATAAAGAAAACTTTCCAAGTAGCTAGCTGATATCATTCATGTCATGTTTGTTTCTCTAGCATAATAAAACTTCGAGTTCATCTTTACCGATCATGGTTGCAGATAGAACAAAAGAGTTAAACGAGAGCCATGAATCTTATCTCAACTGGGACGACACATTTATCGTTGGCGAAGCTCTCTGCAGCCATTATTATGAATGGGAAATTCGTGGAAGGTGCTGAATGATAGATTTTATTTATAATTTCTGTATATAATTAAATAGATAAAAGAAGGCTAACGATCAAAAATTGATTTACAGGAAATCATGTAGTCGAAAATTTTACATGTCTGAGTCAGGACATAATAGTCTGGAACTAGCACTGCTGAATAGACTAAAATATGCAACTAAGGCATTTAGATTAGATTGTCCAGCTACATATATGACGGAAGAACAGTTAGTTAAAGATGCTGTCAATGTTTTGCTTGGCATTCCTAGTAGAACATTTATGTTTCAAAACGATAAAAATGTAAATCATTCTCTCTAACAGTCAGTTTGTGGCATTTTAATTGATGTAAAGTAGTTCTAAAAATGTTATATCTTTAATCGTTTACTGAGATTATAGGCAGTCGGTAAATTTTATGTTCGGGCTGATGTCTACCTTTCCGGTAGAAGTTCTTCCAGTTTGGTTAAGCTTCTAAAAGAAATTGGTGATATAGGAACCTGTTATGTGCACTTACGAGATTTTATGAGATCAGGCACAAATACTGCTGGATTAGTTGTGAATGCTTTCGTAAAAGCTATAGATATATACTTGAATTATTATTCAGCAATCATAATTTCAGTAGCAGGCAAGCGACAAATATAATGTTAATATAATGTTTTCTTAGTCTGAAATTGGAATAATTTTCTAATAAAACATTGTACGTAATATCCCAAAATGCAGAACATCGACTCAAATCGCTTCAACAAGTATTGTACGTGATTCGACGAATTAGTGTGCAACTTCGGTAATAATTTTTACGATTTTGTGATTTTTCAGGTTTTAACTGCAGTTACGAATGACGGATTATATCAATTATAGTATTAGCTCTTATTATTTTCAAGCTGCTTTTTAATCGATTTCATTATTATAGACTATTGGCTGCTGTTTGCTTTGCACTGCACGGTCCACGTGAAGATAATGACCAAACAAGATTGTTAACGGTATACCCTTCCTACTGTACAGTATACAGTATATGACATTGCGTGATAGTCTTTATTTTTTTATAAAATGTGCGCTTACAAGTGCTTTACTGTTTGATGTACTTTTAGGGTGTCAAATTAATAGATACCATATATCACATGGCATTGGATGCAGAAGATACACATAATTATATGCTACTGGTCTATATCCTCGTTAATATCTGTCAGCCGTACCTTGAGTAAGGATCAGTAATGTTACACTTTATTGTATCTGAAATTGGAAGTTACGCGTATTATAGTACAGTATCCATCTATATCTCTAGTTATATTCGAAATTGGGTAACGAAAGGCCTTCATACGGATTACTACGACGAATTTGTTCTTGAAGTGGATTCTACTTACTTATCGGTTCAAGGTGATATGATGTGAATAATGATTATGTTAACTTGATTGATATTGAAATTAATGTTTATATTCTAATAATTTATTAGATCGATCGTTTTGGAATAATGGCTTTAAAATACGGAAAGGCATTATAGATGATACTGTACCAATTCTATCACATGATTGTTTGCAAGATATCCTTGTTTGTGGCAAGTCGTTATACTTACTACGGCAATGTTGTCCCAACGTAAGTCAAATTTTTAATAACTTTGTTTTGAGTATGTTATAATAAAACGCCTATTAATTACGTACCCTAGATGACTGTTTAGACAATATAGTGTGTTCAAATTATTAAGTGATTTCGAATTGTGCTACAGCATATAATTCTAGCGACTGATCCTCCTTTATTTAAATTCGTACTAAATGAGGAAGACATCAATACGGCTATGACTGCACTAATGGTACCTAGCTAACTTAAAGTTTTTTAAATAAGTTGAAATTTAAGTCCATAGATTTATGTTTATCTAAAGGATCTATTTTTATATTACAGGAGTATAAGGAAAAAATCCGAAATCTTCAAGAGTTTGAGGATAAGAAACGAAAAGAGGAGGTAAATTATCACATGATACATACAATTTATTCTCGATATGTTACTAACCGAAAATACCAAGATTATGAACAAAGAAAAGGTCAAGCGGGCCATATTACTGGAAGAGCAAGCTGTTATAGCTGAGAAGATTAAGAAAAGGAAACGTACGTATATGTATGTTAGTATTATCTACATTGTTACCAGTATAAAAAGTTGAGCTTCTTCCGTATGTATGCGGTTTGTGTCTGCGTACAGTGTACAATATATGGTAAAACAGTGGTCTGAGTACAGTAAAATTTCATATATTACTGCACGTACGATATTGGGGTACGATGGGATACGAATAAAATGCTTAAAAAATTACCGCAACAGAACAACCCCAAGCGTACGCATTTATATGTTTGAGTAAAATGGTGTATATAAATATTTAAATTTTAATTTGTTATGTCTGAAAGATTTACCACTGATAATATTATTTTAATAAAAGGAATGCAACTAGAAGAAAGGCGTTTGCTCCAAGCCTCGAAAGAGAATCAACTTAATCAGATTAAGCGACAAATAGAGGATCATCAACAGGTAACATGTTGTTGGTTATTATTTCCTTACAGAGATTTATTTATTTTTATCAATGAGCTCTCGAATGCACTGCTTAAGGGGTTACGATTTTTCAAAGTAATAAAGAATTTAAATATTGCAATTTAAAAAGAAACAAAAAATTAGGGTTACAGAAGAAATGTTATCGGAACAGCAAGAAATATCGGTTAATCAACAACACCAATTTACAACGGCTTCTATAGCGCCAAAGTTGAAAGACGACGTTAGGTATAAAGTTATAGATAGTGTACGAGTATATGATAACTTAATCGAAGTGTTTCATTAATTTAAAATTTGTACAATATCTCTAATTAAGGGAAGCGTTAGAGTCTCATTACGAAGAGTTGTCTTTGGAAGCTAGTAAAAGGGAGTTCTTGGCTCGATGGCAAAGCTCTCGATTTCAACTGCACGAAAAGAGAAAAAAATTTTATGACGATTCTATAGTGAAACTTCAGGGAGCTCTGCAAAGTTATGGTCATCAAGATAGTGCTACAGCAGACGTTGCTATGCATGACGGAATAATTAAAGAATCCTCCTCTAGTGTAAAGTCTCAGTATTCAGAAGAAGAAAGCTCTAGTATTCAAGACTTACGGGATTCTCCCGTTAATCCAGAATTAATATCTGTTGCAGTTAGTGATTACGAATCTCCGAATTCATATGCTAAGGATGCGATAACCAGTTCATTAAAACCTAAAAATAATAACTATGAGGCGCTCGTTACCAATAACGTGACTCCAGAAAATACCATCTCAAAAGCAGATACTATAATTAGGCCTTTAAAAAGTAATACCATCGAATTAAATGTGGAATCCGATGAACTTGATCAGATGAGGAGAACATCATCAAAAAATTCGGTTGTTTCTGGGAAGATTGCATTAATAGAAGATAAGGGGAAACCTTTATCCAATGGAGCGCAGGAAATAAAATCTCAAATTTCGAGCAAACAGCAATATTTACAAAATGATCCTGGCAATCAGGACCTGTTACGAACCAATAGCTATAGTCCACTTGAAATAGCTAAGAGTCTTTCAATTCAAAAAGAGGAAACGGTAGTAATCAATGATAGTTTTATGACAGATTGTCTAGGAAGTCTCCCTAACAATGCTGTGAATCAAAGCCGCATACTTGGCGATGACTGTATTAATAATTCTAACAATTCTATGCAATCAAATAGTGGTAAGTAGTGGATAGTTGTAACGGGTTTACTAACTATAGTTAATGCATACAGTAAATACGAGCAACTGTTATGTATTTCAGTAATTTTGTAACTTACTAGATAGCATAGAAAACAGTAGATTATCAATTAAATATTATGTAGATAAAAATTTTAAGTGAAAATTAGAGATCTTTTAGTAGTTCCCACAAAATACTTCATGTACATTTTATCATTAATTTCATTGAATTAACTGTAAAGTCAGCGCATTTTTTGTACTTTGAAGAATCTTTACTGAATGTGAAGTTAACAAAAAGAACAAGAGGGGAATTGACACTAGATAATAGAACAGGTTAATTCTAAGTCCATTATCAATCTATCTTTTATCAAAATATAACTAAGTACCTTGGCATTTATATTTCTGAAGCGGAAAATCCTAAATCTATTCCAACGTTGTCATTGGAAACAGTAATGAGAAAAGCCGTTGTTCCACAATTACGGCTACAGTAAGAATGCAAAATTTATTTATAGAAATTCTATTCGTAAATAATTCAAAATTTTGTTATTTTTAAGTTTTAATCGGTAATCATATATATATAAATTAGAATCTCGCTTGTTAACGATGCGGTACTCAGATACTTCAAGGATGACTTAGATATTTACCGGCATATTGAAATTTTAAGAAGTTTACTGTTAATGGCGGATTCAGAATTTTCAATGTCATTGACAAGCCAGTTATTTGACAAGGTTTAGTTTTATTGTTTTTTTTTATACTGTAATTGCTATTGATATGATAAAGTTAGTAAGATTTTTTATGTGTATACAATGTAATCAAGTTTTTACGGATTCTATTAGCTGGCTTCCGGTAAATCAGTGCACGTAATCTATACGGTTACTGAACTAACAGAAATTCTCAACACGGCCATATCGCAGTCTGGATTTAAGGAAATTGAATTGATCTCTCGAAATACAACCTTAGTGATGAAACCTATGACAGAAGTCTTCCAATCGACTTCTATTCATGCGTTAAATTTCTTAGATCTAAAGTATAAGGTGGAGATCTTTATGTCGTTGTTATTAAGCTTTTAACACACTCTAAGCTAATAATTAATCTCTGTGTTAGGTTCCTTGGCCTTGCAATATTATTATTACTGACTCTTGTTTAACAGTATACAGCAAGATTTGGTCTTTTTTACTACAACTCAAACGTGTTGCTTGGGCTTTAAGAGATTGCTGGTTAAGACTGAAGTGTGCCCTACATGGCAGACAAGTTGGAAGCTTTCAATATTCTCGATTACAACACTTTCGTTACGAAATGTTGCATTTTGTTAATGTTATACAAAGTTATTTTGAAAATCAAATAATCACTGTCTGCTGGGAAGAATTTAAACAGTGCGTTGCAAAGGTATATCAATAATATCAAAATGGGTTATTAGATGGATTTATGCTTAGCTACAATCTTATAATCTGACAGGCTCGTAACTTGGACGAATTATATAGTTATCATATGGAGTATCTAAAAAAGGGAGAGTACCGGTAAAGTTTCTGTTAATCATATTGTAGAGTTATTGCTGTTAATTGCAGGCTAATATTGTAACACTTAATGGGCTTTTCATCAGGTCATTACTAGGATCTAAAGCAAAACCGGTCATGCAAATCATTTCATCTATCTTTGGGGTTATTATCAATTTTCACTTTAATTTGACTATGGGTTCATGGATCGTTGATCTAAATGGAGAATTAATACATACCTCTTTTGTGAAACTGGAAGAGTTTTATGAAAGATTTAGAGAGTACTGCAAATTTTTGTTTCTAGGTAAGTGTATTGCAAGATGATGTTATGTACATTGTAAGCTAAATACGTAGGCACTGTAGCTATATTACGAAGTTTTAACCATTTCACTAATATAATCAAATGTCCTAAAACGACATTCGTAACATTTATCGCTTTCTATTATTGTAGTCGTTCATAAGCTCATCAGGCGCGGCTATCAAGCATATCTGGAGGATTTCGTACTGAGAATTAATTTTAACTCAATTTACTCAGGAGAAAATTCTATTTAAAATTCCGTTTCAAAAAGTAAACCACTTTAATAGTGTCGTAATGAATTGTAAATATTTCAGCTTTGCTTAAGAAATATCACCCGTTATGATAAGGTATATTCGATAAACCTATTTTTACTCTGTATTGGTAGAGATGTTTTGCAGTAAGAAGCCAAACATTATATTTAATTTGATTTATTATTGTAATGAATAGGTATTAAAATTGTTGTTACTAACTGATCAGAAACAGATTACACGTATACGTAGCACTGGTAGTGTTGAATTAAAAAGCAATATTTTTAGACGTACTTACTTGGTCATATACGCATATTTTGTTAGTACATTCATGCTGTATTTATTAGCAATTTATCGATTACTAAATTATAATTTTCTTTCGTATATTTTATATTTACATATGAGATTTTCATTATAATTAACTTATTTTTAGTTCATAATTATAATCATTATCTATTACTGGCCGTAATTTGTTAGCTGTATCGTTACTGTAATAATAATTATAATCATGCAGCAGCTAAAGATTCTTAATTACAATTGATGTCTGTAAATGAATTCTTAGCATCTGTTATAATATCAATTATTGTATACTTCTTAGACTAGAAGTGGCTTTCATTGGCATTTTGGTGCACTTTTACTTCATAGTAGTTTTGTTTTATAATTTACTGTTAATAGTACTGTACTGATTGACATGCGTACACTTTAAAGCTGAATTTATATAGATCAGATATTATCTCGGGTCATTCGATCACACAAATTATATGTAGAATAGTTTCAAATATTGCTTTAAACAGAGGTTTCTTTATAATTTTTAAGATTCTTTTGTTCATTATGAGAAAAATGCTTGACATTAAATTCACTATTTAAATAATCAATAACCGCTGCTGTTGAGGTATTACTTGCAATTTTTGGTGAAGTGATAACTACTTTTTCCGATGGCGATACTATAGTAGAAATGGCTCTCATGTCCTCCATACTGTCAGTTGCTATTTTACATAAAGAACTGTTTGCTGAGCTACCAACCCCACTTGAATAACTTTCATATTTTATGTCGTTGTGGCTATGACGTATAAAAAGATCATCTTGAAAGTTTATGTCGCTGCACTCAACTTTGCATGAAGACGTTTGCGTACAGTTGTCAACCATACCTCCTGATTGCGTCTCTCTCTTCTTGCAAAAGAAGTTTTTTAGAATGCGTGAGAATGTTCTCCAGCATTTACAAGATCCACATGCCATTATGGTTAGTGGACTATCTTCGGCTAGTGGTGGATAACTATCAGCTCCTATCCAGCTTAATAGTACAGGCAGGAAACAAAGACCATGAAATAGTCCAAAAACCACAACTCCAAAAAACATCTACAAAAAGTTTAAGAAGCATCAGAATAATATATGCGACTTATAGTGTCATATAATAGATATCACAGTAACTAACTTTAAAGAAGGTTAAGAATCCGTAATTAGTTGAGCCGGCTAGTAGTATGAATGCCAAAAAAGTACTAAAGCCTCCATTAAATACGGCCGGGGCCATATCTCCCATTGTAGCTAAAACTCTCTCTATTTTAATTCAAATCTGATTAGTAAGTCTACAGTAAAAGTAAAGCGATAGTAAATTAATTCGACGCTAACTTATAACGTACCTTTTCTTGTTCCTTGGTACCTCATAAATGTATGGGCCATGTGGGCTGCGTAGTCTACAGATAAACCAACAACTAATACCAGTACGATCGTTGTTACAGTGTTAATTGATAACTCCCAAAAATACATAAGTCCACCCATGTCAATCTATAAAAAAGGGATTGCAATGAATGAGAACAGTTTTTTTATTGAATTCCGATAATAGTCAATAACCAATTTATTATATTTACAAGAGTCAGTGTGACACAAATAATAACGAAGATCGTGGTTCGAAAATCAGCAACAAGGATTAGTGTGATAATGAATACGCATCCTATCGCCAAGCCGATGTTTCTGAACATTTCCATCGTTAATACCTGAACCAAATTAGTAAATATCTTCAGAAGAAACTCAAGTCAATACTTTTAAAAAAGCCTCGGTACTTTACCCTATTAGTTTCCCATAGATGATAATATTTGGAGAAAGCAAATGCGCTATTGGGACTAAATGGAACCGCGCTAACATGCGTTCGAATGCTGTCAAGAGCTTTCAGTTCTTCGGAAGTATCAGACAGTAACTTATGAACAGCGTGGAAACGGGATGCCTAAATTGATATCCAATTGTTGAGTAACTGTTACCATTTTAGCATAGTATAGATTAATAAGCTTTTACTTTAGATACATCTTAAGCTAATAATTGAGAAATACAGTGCAATATTATGCTGAATATCAGACCGTGATAATTTGCGGATCACTATCATTGAAAACGATATCTTGAGAGTAATGGCGGCCAACGGTGTTGAGAAAGGAGTGCAATTTCTCATAGAATATTGTCTTGTTCTTTACGTAACCATCTTACAATTAATTATATGGATAGTGAGTCAGTGTTCGAGGAATTAGTAAACTACTTTGGTGAAAGCCTCACAACTCAAAACAGAACAATGAAATTTACCTTTGTTGAGAAAATCATTCTTTCCGCTAGTACTTTTCATCCATAAAATATAGTCATCAAACCAGCTGGAAACGCTTTTATTTTGAATTGACTTCTCTTTTTTAATAACACTGCTCAAATTAGCTAGTTCTTGCTGTTGTGTAAAGTAGTCCATTTTTCCGAGATACACTGACAATGGAGCTCCTTCATCTGGAAAGTACTAAATGTATGTACAAAATAGTTTTTCAATACTGCTCCCTATTTCATTTATCATAGGCGATCTCTGAATTAAAACCGGTGGCTACCTTTTCTTGATACTGAACAAATTTTTTTCCATAAGAATCTGGAGCCAGAAACCACCGAGGATCAAATGACACCTTTAATTCAATACTTCCATATATACTCACTGCTACTAAGTCCAACGTTATGAGAACTACAAAGAACTATGAGTAAAAATTAATTAATAAAAAGTCTAGACTTAATTCGGATTACGATTTCAACTACTCACTTTGTTAGGTCCTTTTAATAAAAACGGAGCAAATTTACTACCGAAGAACCATCTTAGAATTCCGCCATCAAAGATCTTTGAAGACCATGACTTTTCAGTTTTCTTTGAGCCTGAATGTTTCTTTACTTTTAGACATGGCAAGCAAGCGTCACGACCAGCGTTTCTCCTGTAGAGTATGCGTACGTTGTTGAAAATTTAACTGTTAGTAGTAAATCAAAGCTTGCTATAATTAACAAGAAAAATGTAGTAGAACAATACCTTCTGCTGTCTAAGACGATACAGGCAGTAAAAAATGTTATTTGCAGAATAAAAACAGCAAGAATCCCTAATGGTTAAGAGAAGATAAAAATTTATTCATTGATCAACTGTACTAGTTATTTACTAGTTAATACATGTTTTACTTACCTATTCCGGCGAATATTGAGAAAGAAGATAAGGCAGGCAAAACTGTTGATGCTCCAATCGTAAATGCTACTACATCAGTTAGTGAAGTTACAGTTATGGAGACACCCTGGATTGACAGATACGAAGCCCATTAATTACCATCTAGAGATTACAGTTGGTAATAATACGTTATGCTTACAGCTTTTTTTAAGCATTGACCAGCATGCTCCGCGATGTCTACCGTCCTATCACCAGCGTGGTGTTTAAAATTGTCCCAAGCAGTAGCAATTACAAACATATCGTCCACTCCGATACCTTTCCAGAAAGTAAAGAATGCATGTGTTGTGAATATATTGTATATGTTTATGCCACCGAATCTTGAATAGGTTAAGAATATTATTATGTCAAGATAAGCACTGTAGTAGTCAGTATACTAGGTCATCAAATAAATACGATATTATAGACACTATTAAATTTGATCCAACATATGTATTTTACCGTAGATAAGAGGAAAAACTTAAGTATAAAACTATGGTCTGAAGAAGCGATTCTCTATACGCTCTCATTTTCAAATATTACGCATATATCAAATCTATCGATTTTTAAATGCATGCGTACGTCTATTTCAACGAACATGAATACATTACCACTGGTACTCGTTGACCACTTCAACCGTTGTAGTATGGATTGTAATACTTAATTTAAGTTTAAAATTGAATGGGCTAAAATCATGTACAGAAACATTACCTAGTAGCAGAAACGGTAAAACTGCATGTAAAGGACCATACAGTAAGCCAAACAAACTTGATATTCCAACAGCAGCAGCATAGGCCATAGCAATACATATCATTCCCATTGCCGCTACGATATTCTAGATGATAAGTAATACAGTACATGCTACTTAATTACAACTTTACATGCAATAGAATGACGTAAATATCGAAGGCATGAATTACTATTTATACTCTCTCTGTCATTCACATACCCGATTTTCTAACCGATTTAAGCGTCCCAAAGCACAACTAACAAATATTAGTATTATGACATAACCAATAGATAAAAGTACAGAATCCGCCGCAAAAGACTTAGCAGTTTCACTTTCTACGCTAGAATTGTAGAAAATCCAAGGTTAGAACTATAGTTTTTAACTACAGAAGATAAACAACATATAAGTTACTAATAATTTCGCTTAAAAAAGTTGTTTACGTTTTCGTAGTGTAAACTGAACAGCTAATATTCTGGTGAGTACGGTGACCAATTTGAACGAACCGACTTTCCCATTCGTCAGCAATTTCGTCAACCTAAAGCGAAATGAATACAAATGGGTGGCACGAATAATGAAATCTCACAATATAATTTACAGTTTACACATGCATTTTAAATAGCAATGAGTTTTCATTACATATCCGTAACACGAAAATCTGGCGGTGTAATGAATACCTTTGCTCCACGCTTTAAAATTGAATTATCTTTGATACGATAAATACTAAGAAATGCGGAAGCGCTTTCAATGTGTCCGTCGAGCTCTGTTGTATTACCAAGTAAGCGTTTTATATATTTTTTAGGGATGTACATATTATTCCTGTAATTGGAATATGTATTATAATCAAACGAACCAGGAAGAAACCAGAACAATATTTAAAATTAAGAAATTCAATAGCAAACATTTATTCATACGCTGACTGCATCGACAGTTAATACACTTACTAGTATGAAAATTACTTCAAATCATAAATACTACATGGCAAAAAATGGAATTACTTACTTGTTGAGATCATATTCAATTTGATGATCAGATATGGAAGCTATTATATCACTGTTAAAATTCCATACGGATAACACACTATCAACCCAACATTTGCCTCCGCGCCTAATTAACAATTTATTTCATTTAATTGCACAAAAATTAGAACTTCAATTGTTTTAGTCCATTATTACTGGTAAAAGTGCATTTAAGGTTTTTAAAATGCATTACTAGGTATAAAGATTCTAAGTAATTACACTATCGTTAAGACCGATTAACACTCGCAATTAAAGCTAAATGCTGATCGTGGGATACAAAGTTTTAAATAAGTTCTGAGTAATCAGTAATTATTGAATATAGAAGTGAAAGTATTTGCAAACTACGTCCTGCATCTTGCAGAGGAATAAGACAGATGCTTCTTCTTTGGTTAATAAATCTATGAGTCTTTTATAAACTAAAGTTAATACCGCTTAGTGCACTATATTAAAATGGAGAGATCTCCTATTTATCGCTAGATGATAACATATAGCAAGGTCTAACTTAGTGCCTATACGGTACAAAATTAAATCGAAATATTATATTATAATATTAATCTCAGCGTTCATCTTAAAAGATTTAAACATTATTAACCATCGTTATAATAATTTAAAATTAAGATTTATAACACTTACTTATAACACAAGTCTTCAAATTTGTACTCTGTGCCGTTGGAGTTGACCGTAATGTTGTTAATGGCTTCATGCATTAATAAAAACTGTGATTACAATAAATAAAAATCATTAGGTCTAAAATTTGTACACAGGTCTCACAAGAGTCTTGAAATGCTGATTATCATTATCGTATTCTATAATTTAACATGCTAAAAAAAGGGACAGATATTAGATGGTGACTTTGGTGTTAACTAAATACACAAGGTATACAAAGTAAATTTATGATACCTTAAGATACGTATTACCAAAATCAAAAATATCTGGTGGTACTTTTTAAAATTACAGCATACGTATGATTAAGCTATGGTAGTGCTGCGTGCAACTGTGCTACGGTCATATTAGATATAATACAGTATCGCTCTAGTAACATTGCCGTTACAACATGAGTTGATCGCTATGTCTCTTTGGTTAATTCTATAGATTATACGCGTATATAATTACCGGTAATTATATTCGTATACTAATAAGCACAATCGATTATATACTGTAATACTTGATACGTCCGTATGCTGTGCATTTGAAATTGACTGCAGAGATCTTCATCTTTGAATGTTCGTATTATAATTAATCGTAGTCTCGTATTTATTATACGCTGGGGGTACTCGTATATGAGAATCTTGGGAATTTAATCGAATATAATTTAGGAAGTTGTAGTGACTAGAAAACGGCCGTGATCCGTAGTAATTAACTTTAACGCTCTACATGTAAACTTTTACAGTAGCAAAAGCCTTCAGTTTCTAGCATCTGATTGCTGATGTAGACAGCTGCATTTATAACTTACGGCCTTGAATGTAACTTAATACTGTATCGAAGCTATTCTATTCTCTACATATATTTATTTGTTATTGCTAGTAGAACCCATGGTCGTTATACAGTACATGCGTGCTGTATGTGCTTGTACTTTTTACTTCACAATTTACAAATTGCAAACAGCATCATCAACTTTAGTAATATCAAGGATAACGTATGCTCCAATACAGTTCTATGCGCCTATTGCTGTACTCTAAAGCATACGGCCATGGTTTTGTGTGGGTATTCATTCATTCAATCGCGCTTACTGAACTAATGTACAGTACATATTTACTTTACAGTACATACAGTACAGTAGTACCAGTAAGTCATCAGTAAAATTAGTCAGTATAAAGTACTTTCCACAGTCATTGGTAGACTACAGTATTGTAATGTCCATATACCTGGTGCAAAGGTTCCATCTTGATAACATTGGTTGATTTGGTGTTTGCCACACAAACCAGACTCTCTATGTGATAGTTTGAAGGGAAGTTCTTATCCACCCATTCCATATGCACCAGAGAATCCGCAGTAGATGGAACCCATAACTTTTCGATTCTATTTTCTTCAGTAAATCGTAAGAAACCAAGAGAACAAAAAGCAACGCATACGATTGATGTCACGACGACGTGATAAGGATGGCGGCCAATGAGTAAGCCAATCCTAATATTATTAAGAATAAGTCAAGGCTAGTGAATTCACTACCTAAAATGCTATCTATGGTTGCGGTTCCTTAAAATTAACATTTTATTTATTTTCCCTTTTACTTTTTCGGTACTCAGTCTTCCTCACTGAGTACGTACAGTACAGTACAGTACAGTAGTTCTGCGTGTAACGTATCGTAGCGTAGTGCTGTCTGTACAATACTGTACAGTATAACAAATTCACAGTACTGGTACTGTAATATTATTATGCACGGTAAAATAATTTTTTTTTTTTTTTTACCGGTAAAATAGAGTCTCCAGTAAATGTACAATTAAAGCGCTAATTTTTAATAAGGAAAGCGATGAAGTTTTATTTTTCCTTTCGTGGCCTTGCGTATTTTCATTGCTATCAACATCACCAGTTTGATTTGAACTGGTAGTAAACATTGAATCACTGCCGTTTGACATGGTAAATACGTTTAATTGGACTTTTTCGCTGCTCGCGCACTAACGATGTTGAGTTGAGTCTTGCTTTACCAACTTTGACTAGAAGTTCAAAGAAGATATCCACTTTCTTAGAGCACTATAATTATTCAAAAAGGATAAACAAGTTAGCAGTGCTGAAGTTTGTGAAATAAAATGACGCTACACGGACCTTTTCGTCACTTCACAGCCTAATGCTGGAGTATATTCAAGGTGTCCATATACTGTCTATGTAATGGAATAAAATTGTCCAATGTCCAAAATTGTCCAATGTCCAGCGTTGAAATTGCGATGACAAAAATAATATGTACCAACAGGGGTAAATAAATGAATATGAAACTTGTTTTATATTATAATAGGAATTATTGCGCAACTGCGCGTTTACCGCCATTGATTGAGTACTGTAGATAGTGTACTGTAGAGACCCTCATACTGTACTACTCTCTAGTGATATATACAGTACAGTACAGTACAGTACAGTATTTGTCAAGTTTTTCCACACGACCGTATACTGTATGCACAAGAACTCATTCTCGAATTTTGATATTAAAAAAACAGTTTTTGGTTTTTCAATAAATATTTTGTATCAGTCCATAGAGTAAATCTGGAATTACAAGATTCCATGATTAAAATTGATATACGACGCCTAATTTCTTGGAAATTATTCATTAAAGTACAGTACATAAGCTGCTACAGTAGGAAGTAAAAGAAAGGATTTAGTAGAAGTACAGTACAGTACTGTATGTCTTTTCCATTTTCAAAGTACTGTACTGTACAGTACAGTAGTCCCAGGCAGAGTCCTGCAAAATGTACTGTACAGTACTGTACTGTACACTGAGTGTACAGTGTACCGTCGTGTCTACAGTACTAGCTACGAAAGCGTACAGTACTGTACAGTACAGTACCAATCAACAACCAGATTGTACTGTACAGTATGGAGCACTGTTGTACTGTACAGTATTGAGCTCTGTTGTACTGTACAGTACTGTACAGTACAGTGTACAGTCGTGGTTTTCAATTTATAGTACCTATTTTACAGTACACTGTACTGTACACTGACGAAGGTGCTAAAAACAGATTGAGAATGACGTCACGGTAAAAAGAATGATTTGTTTACGACACCAGTGTTTACGTATAGAGAAAATGAGACGTTTGAGACGGTGATACTGCAGTGATACTTGAGTCAGTCTAGCTTACAGTGAGGAGTCAGTACTGTACTGTCAGGTCTAACTGTACTACAACTTGTAGTCTACAAGTGGAAACAGTTTTCTTCCTAGTAGTTGCTAGTCGAAGTCACCTGCCATAGCGCGATTTCGTCCCTTATGGAAGCCGTAAAAACGCGAAAGAAGAAAGGAAAACGGAAGAGTAAAGCCGGAGAGAATAGAAAGAATGATTGTCCAGACACAAATTTAGTAACTGAAAATTGTAAAGGTTCGGAATAATTATCATAATTGCATGATAGATAGGATAGCAATTACAGCGCTGGGTTATATTGCTTGTTAGAGGAGTACAGTACAGTACTTGTCTACTGCAAGGATGGTGAGAAATCAAATATTGTCGGTCTCGTTGCATTTGGATGTTGCACTTATTGCGGTGCATGTGCTGATGGCATGATTAATTAATTCATTAATTATATAATGGATAAAATACCATGCTATTAATGATATATTTGTAATACGATATGGAGACAAAGTAATGCTAAATTGCAAGTGGCCTACTGGCTTTGCTGTAGAGTCTACACGTACACGTATAGCATCTGTCTATCGTACAGTCAATTACAGACAAATCGATTTAAACTTCTTGGACATAGGAACAGTTCAATAGTTTCAATAGCTTGGCTTAATGAAGAAAAATCTTCAGTGATATTCTGCTGTATCATTCCTATTATTCATTGTAATCATTCTTTCCATGTCATATTGTTGGCACGCTACACCCAGTCAACTAATCATTGATTATGTTGTATTATACAAGTGTAGTGTACAATTAAAGGACTTGATATAGTGATAGACTACAACGTGCAGTAGATACGCTTAGATCTATATCGTTCAGTACATTAATAGGATTGTAAATTGATCTCGCCACTTCATTGGTTTACAACATTGTTCTTACACTTACTGTACTGTTTGTTCATCATGTAGATGATACGCGAGCATACTCGTATTAATTCTATCATTACCACTTTATGCAATAATTCATGATGCCGTCACCCCAGCATATTCGGTGCAAACGCGTTTAGTAAAAATGAATGATTATCAAAAATGAGTTACTTGAATATACGTACATATGCACTACGCACTATGAATTCGCTAATCTGTCATTTCGAGTAGTTAGTTACTTGAGATAAGTTAGGATAGTACCGATTTTCTATTAAAAATAGTATGACGACAATGTAAGTGCAAGCTTAGTAAATACATCTTTCCTTATCTAGAGAATACGCCGGCCACGACTTCCAATTTATTGGTCGCCGGTGAACAAAGTGGAACTGGTGCTACTGCAGTTAATGAAAATTCCAAAAGCTGTAATGAAGTAGAAAATTCAGAAACATTTGGAAACCAGGGTATACCTGACGTAGGACTCTCTAGTCCGCCATGCAATAACTACGGAGATGATAGCGTTACTGTAGATACTGTATCTCAGGAAGAGGACTCTTTGCAAGCTAAAGCAGAAAATAAGCCATTACTAGCTGATAGCTCCCATAAACTGGACGTCTCTTCTGATGTCTTGCAGCCTGGAAGTACCGAGGATGAAGCTGTTATTTTGAAGTTAGAGGAGGACAAGAATGATGTAGATGTAAGCTCTGCTGATGTCTTGCAGCCTCGAAGTACCGAGGACGAAGCTGTTATTTTGAAGTTAGAGGAGGACAAGAATGATGTAGATGTAAGCTCTGCTGATGTCTTGCTGCCTCAAAGTACCGAGGACGAAGCTGTTATTTTGAAGTTAGAGGAGGATAAGAATGATGTAGATGTAAGCTCTGTAGGTCATGGCTCCAGCAACATTGAAACTAAGACATTTGTTAAGGATGACGGAAACGAAAATTTTATCCATGAAGAGACATTAAATGCAGCGTCATATGTTCATGAAAGTATCAAACATAGGCAACATGATGAAAGTGTTGAGGCACCCGATGTACTTCATCGCGAAAGAGCGTCAACTGCTCCTCCACTAGAAAGAGAAGACTCTGTAGTTGATCAGGATAATATAAATGAGGAGATTATGGAGGAAGAAAAATCTGGGGCAATGCCATGTATTCCTGAAAGCACTAAATCTATAAGCCTTACTGAAAACATTATGGCACGCGATGTAATTCATCGCGAAAGAGCATCAACTGCTCCCCCTCTAGAAAGGGAGAATTCCACACAGCATCAGCTAACAGATACTGAGAATGCACAGTTGATGATGCCAGCTACTGCCAGCTCGCTTTATCCGACATTACAAGCTATTAAGGAACCAGGTATGGTTTAAATTAGTAATTAAAAGATGTCTAAAAACATATGATAACTGTTTTCATGTGTATGTATGAGGTAGTATAAGGAGCTGTATGACTATTGACTAAACCGTACATTTCGTAGTTATAGCAATGTAGCGAAATAGCAAATGTAAAATGATATACTGTATGTTTTACAGTACGTTAATTTCATGTGATATTTCTCGGTTAGAGTTGCAGCCTTACACGGAAGAGCGACTGAAGGAATTCTATTATAATCCGCAGTTAGCCCAATTTAATCAATCTGTGGATACCTTCCTTGGAGTAATAGCACTTAGAATACATATTATATTAGTCGTATGGATAATGACTTAGTTCTAAACGCGCATTTTTATGTATTATAGATAGCAAAACAAGAAGATCATATTTTGTATAAACTTGTACTTGGATACTTTCAATCAAGTTCTACTCTGATATCCTCATTCAAAGATAATCAGGCATGGTTTAATTAAAAAATACCGAGATATTGATTTACATAATTGTTCTTTATTACTTTTGTCTCATATTTAATACGTTTGCATAGAGTCTGAAGTCTCAGTGTAACAATTACCAGAATTCGCTATGGATTAGCACCCAACATCAATTAACACAAAATGTACGTGATAAAAAAGTTAGGTACCTTTTATAGATCTTTACAGTTAAAGTTTAATTGGTAATTGTTACAGGGACATTGTGAAGATGACCATCGTGTTAGCCATACATACACTTTTGAAACAGTACAATTAAACTCGGATGCTTTAACATTTCTTCATGATGTTCTTGGGAAAATACGATGTGGTTTGCAGGAGGTTACAATTTAAATTCTCATTCAATATCTTGTTATATCTTTATGGCTTATATAACTAGTCACTATGTTTTAGTTATTCTTTTTTCTTTGATCTTGCTTATAGTCCCTAAGTATGAACCAATATCTTTGTCAGCTTTACAAATTGCATATCGATGTTTATTTATACGATATGATAAATGGCAGTTCGGTACTAAAACATTTAGCAACGCAAACTCCATTTTCAAGTAAGCTTCTGAACGACTACTACATATACAGATTTTATTACATGTATCTTTTACATAATAAATTAACTGATGATCATATTTTAGGTGCAATAACGCCTCAGATACTAAATGAACATACGGATACCCTTAGACAATGTATTAGTGTATTTTTTGCCTTCATGCGGCGCCACTCGGAAGATGAAAAGTTTATTCAAGATATAAAGTGCTGGCTAAATCATTTAATCAGCTTACTGCTTAATGTTCAAAGCTATGATGACAGCTTTTTTATTCTTAATCATCTTATTCGATGTCCGGGAGGAATTGGTAGTTGGGCATCTCAGTTCGTCCAGCCCATTGTTTCTGGTTTACACAGCAGTGATTGCAAATGGAATGATACTGCACTTGATCATTTTATTGTCTCGTTGGGTGCTACAGTGTTTCCGATAAAGTTAGACTCAATTATTGTTACGATTTTTTTAGTGTGTAATTCATACGATTCATAAACCTTTTTGTTGGTACTATTAGGTGTCGTGATGAATTTTTATCTTTCATACCGCAAGATAATAGTTCTGGTATGCGATATGATCTAGTCTCGACAATCTTATAAAATTTTTCGATCCTTTTATGCTATTGATTGAATGTCGATATAATCGCTGCATGTTTATAGGTTCTAGAGATAGTTGGACGTTAGTTACTGAGGAGGGATTAGAAGTTAGTATTTAATTAACACTTATTCTTTCAGTACTATGCAAACTAACGATCTATATTTGCTTTTAGGACGACAGTGTAGAAAATTATTTTCTACGTTTACGAGAAAGTGACTTAATTTCAATATATTCGCAGTTTGCATTCGATAAATTGTTCTGCTATCTTTTACGCCTTTCTAATTCAGGTTAGTGCACTAAATATTTGTTTGAAAAGTGTATGTAGAAGTCCTATCAGAATTGCTAATGTCACATTAATAAAGTATGTTCGATAATACAACAGTTCTTTAATCTATTAACTGTACAGGTACTGAGGATTTGTATCTCATTCAACAACCGATTGACAGTCATTACGTAATGAAGGTCTTCGTAGTTACCTCGACAATTATCAAACTACTGTCAAGCGCATTTTCTACCTATAATTCTATTCATTATAATCAGTACGTTAAGACCATATGTAAAACAATCAGGTTAGTAGACGCTGTTCGCACTGTAACAGAAATACTTATGAAGAAATCTGATTGACTACTTTTCTTTGTTCCAGAGAAATAATCCATTTCATTTCTGACTTCTGGCAACATTACCAAGCAACTCGTGCAATTACCGAAAATGACTGGAATGAAGTTCCTATCGAGAGATTAGTTACAGAATATGATCAGTTCTTCATGAAAGCTACCCACGCTGTTTGGATAGGGAGGGAGTGAGTTATGCATTATATTTTGTCGCTTAAAGATAAGTTAAATTTATGACTACTCTAATAGTGCTTTATAACTGCCAAGCTTACAAACTTGGCAGTACCTAGTTGACCTCCCTTATCACTGCGTATCAAGCAAGATGTTGTGGAAATTATTTTGGCTTTTTCACCTTGAATTCGACAGTCAGGAAGTTGAGGTTACCATGTGTACCGAAAGAGATTATCAGGATGATTGGAAAGGAGTACTATATGGTAATTCGACCTGCTGTAGTTGCGAGATTACAGTATCAGTAATTCTTCGAGTGGTTTAACTAAATTAATCTACAATTTTTTATACAGAAGAAGATAGGTTGTCGAAATTTGCGAATAATCTGAAATCTGTTTCTCTATCTGACGGGATACATTTGCTTACGATTTTTTCTACTATGACTGAGGCTTGTGAGACAAATTCTAATTTTATTCAGATGGTTACACTAGAATTATTTGAGGTATTATATTCTCAGTCTAATTAACAATACTATTAATTTTTTTCACTCACTGGGTGTCACATTTGTTACGCTTATATTGTTATTAGATATGCTACGTTTATGAAAGCACTCGCGAGTTGTATTACAAAACTGGCCGTGAATTACTGAATTATATATCGCTGCGAAATCCTAGTATTGTTACGTTGCTTCTACATCGCGTGGAGTTTATGTTCAACGAGGTCGGTAATATGGCTTTATATTTATTTAAAGGCCTACCAATAATATGCTGGACTCCTGAAGAGGAAGACTTCAATTTGATTAGAAACTGGCTTGTCCAGTGCAACATTTCATCATTAAAGAACCAATTAGCTCGATTTATAATTAGTGAGCTTAACTGGAGTACATGTAAGCGGACGGATTTACTGGCCTTAAGTAGACCAGTTCATAATGAGACAGCCTCAATGATTGTGGAGGTGTATACGGAAAAAATTAAGGGTTCTGATTTCGAAAATAATGATTTTGGACGGCAAATAGCCAGTATCTTGCCAGCAAATAGTACCATAGCGTTGTATGGCCCACAAAGCGAAGTCTTGGCGTGGTGCTGGGATACGGCAACGCATCTGAAACTACATGGTACTAGCCTTCAGACACTTAGTCTAATATTTTCATATGCGTGTGCTTCAAAAAATGTACAGGTTGATATCCACAATTTAGAAGCCGTTCCTCTCACGGCTACTTTAACTGGTACCTATGATCAAATGCCCAGTGCCTATGAAAATCCGATGTTATTACCATTGCGTCAATGTGCAGATGATCATATCCCTCTAGGGTGTTATCTTTTACTTTCAATGACGTCAGTAGGGCATTTTCCTTCAGATTTTTTGGCGCATGGCCTTAGATACTTCGAATGCATAATAGATTCTGGCTATTATAAGGCGTCGTTATGCGTATTGTATAATGTGATTCCAGCTTTTTTTGAACATGATGAAAACGAATCTTTACTTGAGAGCCCTATCTTTTTAAAAGCTATAGAAAGTGTGCTTGCCGCTGATATTAAATACGGGCCACTACAGTTCATACCGAAATTTATCTACGATAAAAATAATGAGATTACAGGGTCTATTGCATCGTTAATTCAGACGCATTGTTTTCATTATGCCAACCATTTATCACCGATAGAATTTTGGACAAGAGTATTCCTAAATATTTATGACTGGGCCAAAAATGAATGTATTCAGTTAATTTTTGATGAATTGGCTAAAGTAGCGTTCTTAATACCAGATGGGCTTGAGATAATGTCTAAAATTATTGCAGAAAAGTACGACAAGGGCGAAGTAGTAAAGGATCAGCAAAGCGGTATTTTGCAGTCATTTTTCTCATGGGTTGCTTCTGGATTTCAAGGATCTACAACGCGACAGTCGTTTCTGGATGAGGCCGGAAATGGTGAATACCCTTGGTTCGCTTTTGTAATTTTATGTGCTGATCAGGAATATGAGATTCAATCAGGGATACTTAGACAAATGACTTTAGAACTGCTACAGAACGCTTCCATTGGTATAGATGCCGCCTTAAAAAAATCTATTTCACGACTTGATATCCATGCACCATATTCATCTACTAACCTATGTATATATAGATGGGTGCAGCAAGCTTTGACTACAGATATGAGTCATCCTATTCTCCCGCTTATATGGCAGAAATTCTTTTCGTTGTATTTATCGCAAAGCGATTGCGGGTAATAGTGCTATAGGAATAGGTAGCAGTAATATCGATTGTGGCTGACAATTACTCACGTACTTTTTTTACCTTAAAACTAGGCTAGGAATTCGAGGAAGTGTTGGTCATAGATATTTCAAAAACATGTCATCTTTAATACATCGCGTTAAAGAACGCCTGTTAGCAACTTCTGCATATTTTCGTTCTCTTATGGACAGTAATACAGAAGGTTCATATTTATAACATGATAATTTAGTTTTCTTATGTGTATGCCCGACTGCAATGATAATTTAAAAATTCGTCATACTATAGATGAGAATGAATCGAATGACAGAAACTCGTCGAAAAAGCTACTGTTGAACAAATTAAAGCAGTAAAAACTTAATGTCACCATTAAATGAAATTTAAGATTAATGTCGTAGTTTATTTCTAGGACCTAATTATATATCATTTTAATCATTTAGATTTTACCAAACGTTGGCGCTCTGGTTAGAAGAACCCAGGTTACACGATACTTCACTATATTTACCTTCATTACCTATACAATACAATCCGGAACTACTTGGTCGGCTTTATAATAAAACTGGGGTATTTTATTAATAGTAATATTATAGTGAAAGTTATCGGTTTAGGAAAGGTGCGTTGTATTAATGTATGTGTTGTTGTTAACCAGGAATTGTGGCTAGAATATGTCGATCTAACAGCTATTTACGAGGACGTATATAATAACATTCGCAGTTGGCTCTTACAGTATGCACCTTTTACGCTTGCTTCCAAATTTGAATTGTCTTCATCTTCTCATTCGGGTCGTGAAGGTAAATTTTTTATATAATATTTATTTAATTACAAACTTACTGCATGCAGTGTGAAAACTAACATCAAATTTTTTTGAAGAACCCCTAACTAGAATAAATCTTAGACTCCGGTGCTACGAAGCTTCTCAGCCTCCACCAGAGGTGAAAGAAACTATAGAACCATTCGCAGTTTTGCCAAGAAATTTATTCGAAAATGATCAACAACTACTCTCCGCCCTAAAATCTGACTTCAGAATTATAGTAGAATCTTCTCAGGAATTCTCCACACGAGTAGCAGCACTTAATTCTTCCGATATTGAATATTTGAATCTGTTGCCGAATGTTTATCATAATGCTCCGTCTACGGTAATTAGCAATCGCATATGGGGTAGATGAGAAAATGTTGCTAATTTACTATAACTTCATGATTTTTGAAGGTGACTGTCAACGTGCCGTGCAATAATTGGTTGAGAGGAACGGCGGATTGCAAGGGACCTGCTCAGTTAACTTTTGATTTCCAAGCAAAGCACGAGAGAGAGGAGGTTTCGAGGCAAATACAGGCGAATAGGGAAGGATATGAACGCTTATCCAAGTTTTTTGTTACTCCGGTATCTGAAATTTTATGCCATGCGGCAGCCCGGATCGAACTAGTAATATCAAATTTGGTTAAGGAATTCAGCATTGCTAATACTGATACTGGTCGTAGGAAAATATGTTCTTCCGCGTCATCCGTCTTTTATGCTATTGTTGCTATGTTAGATAATGATACGAAAACATATTTGCCAATTGAACGCTTTTTGAATTCATGTATACAGACTCTAGGAATGGTAAGTTATTATGATCCTTAGAATTTAATCTAATATGCACATGTGCATAATAAAAATCTTTAGACGATTATTTACGCTCTTTCTCATATTTGTATGGGTCTTGTCTTAACTTTGTATCTATAAATATGTTTCCATCTATACTTGTTTTATACTATAGCAATTCATACACAATAATCCTGCCGAAATGGAATCCCTCTTGTCCTTCGCGATTCAGCATCCTGGCAAAGCTTCTGCTGTAGCTGCCTATTTTTCACCGAATGTGTTACCTAATCGAATCGTTGCAATGTATTCATCAATATTACAAATGGTCAATGCTATTGGAAGTTCAGAAGCTGAATTATTTTTGGCTAGATTCGACATTTCAAAATGGCTCAGTGGCCACCCGATGCTTTCGGAAAGATCACGTCTCCTAGAAGTTATAGTTAATGGTCTAGTGGCTTGTGGTGTGAATCCTTCTGAAAGAGATATTGGTCTGTTTCGATATCACAGCATGAATTTTAAGTTCATGCTAGAACACCAATTTCCGGATCATTTCGCAGAATCGTTAAAATTGGTTCTTGCTAACTGCAAGGTAAAAAAATTAAATCCCCATTGTTTATCTGACTTTATTGATACAATTGTTATGGAAGTTGATTCCAAAAGCTTTCTGTCGTGTTTACGATGGGACGAACTTAAGCAAGTAATCGACTGGCTTGCTGTGTTTTTTTTGGACATTCGCCTTAATACTCCAATGGTATTAGTAAATGCTGATTCTCACCGTATCATTACTTGTAATAGCTTTTACGATAATTGGACTATTTATTTAAACCTACTGCAAAAATTTTTTGAGAATCTCTTTAGCACATTCATTTCAAAATCTGCGAGGCAAGATGGTGCATCAAATTCAGTAATTTCAATTACAGACACCTGGTCTTGTCTAACCATGTTCTTTGAACCATGGATCTGTGTAATTAAAAATTCTGAAGATACCAAGTTAGCATGTCCATGGAACAATACCAGTTTGGTACCAGGGTTAACAATGACTCGATTGTTCTTGACTCTAACTCGACTACTTCTTGACGAATACCAGGACAGACCATTCGGACAAGAAGCTATTATCAATCTGCTTTGGAAGTTCTATTACATTAATTCTTCTCCGTGTACTCCAGATTTGGTTTTGAATGTGTACCATGAGACCTTTATTAATGTGCAGTGGTCCATATTTAAACCTGATTTATCTGTTATGGAATCTATGTTGTCAGTTTCACGTACACTTGAAAGGCAATCAATTACATTTGTCGGAAGCATTTGCTCCGAAATCAATTGGTCGACTGTGATTGAGAGAGCGAGGGGAAATTTAAATACTAGCGATTTCATTAAATTACACGAACAACTATTAAAGATTTTGATTCTTTACTCTCTGGATAAGGGTACTTTAGCCAGTAAAAGAGGTGAAATGACTCGACTACTACAAACTGCTGAAAATTATGACTGGCACCTAATTAACTTTCAAACTTACAGTGACATTATTAAAATATTTCACTCTCGCTGTTCACCTATTGAAATTTTGGATGAGTTATCTGGTATTCATTTAACAACAAGATTAATGCAAATTGTTGCTGGTTTTTATAAGGATAGTTGCAATGAATCTCTTGAAGAAATTTCTGAGAAACGGGTTTCTTATATTCGTTGTATTATTAAATTATTATGCACTTGCACCATGCAAGATGTAATGCCAGCAAAGAAATACAATAACGCTATAATAGCTTTACTTTCCACTATCGAAAGAATTACGGGAGTATCTAACGCTCGAAGTGATTTTAGTTGGGAATTGACAACGCTATTAAGTGAATTTTTAAGGCTATTTAATCAGTGCTCTTCAAAAAATGACTACTCTATAGGATTTTCCGAACAGGTGTTAAAGTTTATGAATAACAGTTGCTACCTTGATTTACAGCTAGCCTGTATTACTGCCGCAACGCAGACTTTAGCGTCTGTACGTTTAATGGTAGGAATGGTGGAGTCATTAATTGGGGGCTATTTTAACCAACTAAAGATTGCTATTGACAGCGGTAACGATTTAATTGGAGGATGGTCTTTGGTGTATAGGCATTTGATTGTCCCGGAGCTTAATCTTGATGAATTTATTTCTCAGTGCCTCAAAAACTGTGCTTTTTTAACCCTTTATGGGCATATCTTGCAGCAGCTACCACTTTGTCGAAACATTCAAGATGAGCGGCTTCGTCTAGAAATATTGACAAATTGGAATGGGAATACGAAATTAACGTGAATCTCATAGTCCAATAGTTATAATTCTAAACGAATTTGCTAAGTCACTTTATCGAAATTTATACTGATATAACTTGTCTTTATTTAATGTTGTTTAGAAAGGAGATTGAATCCAAAGGTTTACTTATTTGGGCAAAAATTTTGGAATTAATTATTCGTCAAATACAATATGGTGGTGATGAGCCTGAGGTTATCGCTATTTTGCGAAAATTTATCTCTCAATTGTACAGTGTTGCCGAAGATCGATCATCGTCTGGCATTTTAGGGGCAATTGGATTAGGGAAAAAATCAAACTTATCGTTAAGGTAAGGCTATAATATATGCGATATATTTGATTTTCGGATCATATGATGACGTTGTTACTTTGTTTTAGTTTTCGTTTAACAGCAAAAGCACTCGCAATTTACTTAGAATCACAAATGCCTGTTAGTGCAGTAACAAAAACGGTTGTTTTGAGAAAGGAACCAACCGGTGAAGGTGCTATTGGAGATTCTGTGAGATATCGAACGGGTAAAAATAGCAAGCAAGTAATGCAAACTGGAGCGGTTGAACCAAGCACTCATGCGGTGCAAATGCTCAGAAAATTTGAGGCTTTACAGAAGAATAAGGAATATACTACTGTAAAAAATATTGTATGCGATACAAGTAAATACATACTAGATTCCAAAAATGCTTTGCCCCAGTGTTATGAACTTTTAACAAAACTGGTCAAGAAATTTTATCCTGATAATTTATACTTGGGTATAATTCAGCAATATTCATATGCTTCGTGATATTAATTTCGCTCTATTTAAGTCGGTTGATTCATTTTTTCTCTTATATTTTGTACTACTAAAGTAGCAACAATTTTTAATGTTTGTAACAATTTCTACTCGTTTGTAAAGTTTATAATAAGAATAATATCAATAATATCGGAATTTAATTGTACAGGAAATTAATTTTAGTTAAGATAAATTTATACCTAATTAAGTGGTCTTGTAAAGTTATCTCAGCTTGCCATCAATTCTACCAATGCTTAGATAAGTCACTATTCGAACGTGTGCGAAATTTCCTAACGATACAGATATGGACTACGTCCTGTATATTGCCTGCGATTTAAATCATTTATGCTATATGAGAGATTTCCTAGCGACATACACTATAGATTACAGGATATGTGAAATATTCAAAAATGTAAATTTCGAAAACATTCAAAACGTGTATACTGTATGTCATTGATATCCGGCATAATATTGTACTCTATTAACTGGTCATAACATCAATCAAATTAAAGTGGTTTAATGTTTACATTGTATTATCGGATACACTCATTGATACAGTCTAGATGTCAAAAGGTCTATTTAAGTACAATAACGCATACTCTACATACTTATCATATAATCTTATTACATTCACGATATATTTACCATATTTTTAAATTTGGTGTTAATACTCTTAAATTTACTAAGTAGGTATAGTTTTATACGATTATCTATATTACAGCGCTTAATTAAACTAGAGATGAGCTAGTTATAATTTATCATTAGCATACTTACAAAAATACATATATCGACACATAGAATTATATTGAAGGAATCCGTCTATGCATGTTTCAGTAGGGTATTTAGGCACCATGTACTTCATTGATCAGTTGCTTTATAGTAATGAGAATAGTACCGTATCATGGAATTCTAACGACTACAAGATCATATGTCATGATAGTTTCTTTCGGTCGATGGTTATACATTTTTACAAATTGTGGCAAATACGTTAATCCGAACGCAACGTTATTTACTACGAATACAATGAACTACTACTTCGCTACGACACATCATCAAATACAGTACTAGCTTGATCGTAAACGAAATCCTAATCAAGAATCCATAACCTTGTGGATAAACTTATATTCATTATATAGTATTATATATATATAGTACAGGTTGTTAAGGTAAATTTCTAGCCATAATAAGTTAACTGTTAGAGAAACTTTTATTGAGCTTCAAATATTTATTATTCCATAGATCTGCATTTTGCAGTCGCCAGTTATTTTTATCGAAATTTATATGGCCGTATAAGGCCTCAGAAATACTGGTAAATAGTAGCTAAAGATCACCATATTGCATAGCCAATTGAAATTGATCATAGCTGGAAACAATTAATACTATCCAGTGATGCTTACATTTAAATATCTCTCTCAAGTACTGAGACTTAAATCTAGATACATTACTAGTTTGTTATTCAACGGTATCAGGAAACAAAAATCAATTACAATGGCACTTTTGTTAGCTGTCACGTAAATAATTATCGAAGAACAAAACTGTACATTCCATATAACAGTAAAGAGACTAAACTCTTCTGATTTACATAGGCTATAATATTTTCAAGCAAAATAGCGCCTCAAAAGTTTATAGAAATCGGAATTAATAATCGAGGAAATGTTTCTTGCGAACAGGATTTTTTAATATAACGAATACAATAGTGCATTAGAATATCTAATATTCTATCTTAAGGGCTTCAGAAAATTAAGAAGTATCCAATTTTATTTTTTTACTCTGTGGTTTACTGTACCCTTCTGATTCTTCCTTTAGTTCGTGTTCGCCGACAGAAACATACTTGAAGCCTAACCATTCACTACACTTTAACATGTCTTTCGTATTTGTTTTTTCACTATGCCATACATCCAACCATTTCTTAAATCTCAAAGATTGTCTCTGTTTTAAACTTTGGTTGACCTATAGTAATGAGAGAGATTTTAGAATTAATAAGTGAGCCCTAAAATTCAGAGTTGGTATACAAAATTTAAAAACAGAGGAATGTAATCGGATCCAGTACCTGACGAACTTTCGGTAAAGATCCATAACGATATAATAAATCACCAGTTCCACTTATATACGAAATTTGGTAAGAATTTATGTTGAAGGTATATTGTAAATTATATTTTTTGTAGAACATTAGCAAGAACTTCGCTAGTTGGTCTTCCGTTTCTTCTAAATAAAGGAAAGTTATATCAATACTAGGCTCCATCTTAGCTTATTGACATAACTATAGAAATTTAAAGTTAGTTTCGATACCCTTCTGAAGAGCAAGACCAGTGGCATTGCTGTCATCACCAACTCGTTTACTTAAACCTTGTACACAGGAGGAACTACGAACTCTACTTCTATTTCTTAGCAAAAAGACTTTTCTATCAGATATTTGGTTACTACTCGGAATGTTTGGACTGACTACGAATTTATTGACATAAGCTTGCCATTCCTATTTGATGGATATAAAAATGTTAAAGGAGAAGTACGGAAAGCACATATTGCATACTATAATACCTCTTCTGGCTCTGCTACTGCGGTATCAGTGTTTTCATCCGAATTGTCATTAATAGTATCTAACAACTCGATGGTTAAACGGTTACCATCACGCCACTATTAAATGAATAAGGTTTTAAAGAATTCTGTTTTAATAGTCCAATCAGGTATTAATACGATTGGAATATTTGTATCCATATAAGTGCTTGATTTAGAACAATACTACTAAGATTGCGGTCTGTAGATAATATGAAGATCTAACTTTTTGGCAATTACATTAAGCTACTTTGGTATTCTATAATAACGCCGTTTTGATGGAACGTACCAACATAATCCTGTAGCAGTTCGTATCTTCCCCAATAATTTGTTCGGCTTTCTTTTGGTAAGTCACTTCAGCCGTTGCATTTGCAGGAATATTTAATCTACTACCAATCGCACCACCATTAACTTGTTCCAAGGAAAATAACTGCTTGACTTTCATACAGGTCTCATCACCAACAATTGCGTGTAACTATGTTATAGAAATAAAGTTGTTAATCATATATAAAGAAAATACTAAATACGATAGTCTTACTTGTCGAACAAGACTTTGAATTAGTTTATCGACAGTAAAGCTAAGATATGCATGTGTCCCAAACATTTCTCGGCACTGATCTTCAAAGGCGCTTGAATCTAGATTGCCTATTTGATCCCGCGGAAAAGATTGATGTTCCGTATATGTCATAGTTATTAATACTCTTATTTAAAATAACACAACTACGTCAGGAACTAACCGTCTAACAAATTTCGAACCATATCGAGATAATGCGGATAATACTCTTCCATATCTACATCATCTGTTATTGTAATGAATTAAATTTATCAGCAGAACCACTTTCTTAATCTACTAATAGCAAAACTTACTTGACGGCTTTAATCGCAGAGCAACCGCAACAGCTTCCTTTCTATTATGTTTATTAGCAGCTTCCTCCTCTGCTAGAGCGATTGCTTGATGATAAATTTTACACAGACGTTCACAAAGAGTCTGGAAGTATGTATTGGAAATTGTTATAAAATGATATACAAAGGGCCTGTACAATAACAAACCATACCTGATGTAGGCGGAAAAAGACATACCATTGGTTATTAACAAAATATAGAGAATAAACGTCATCCTGTACGAAAAAAACAAATAGTCAATTCAACAGTACGAGCACCAATGTTAACTGTTGCTGCGCATAATACATTAGAAATAATTAAATACATTGACAATTGCTGTACGAGAAATACGGATACCGTATCATCATTGGTTGCGGACTCGGTAATGCCATTTGAGCGACTTCCTTTGACTATAAAAATTGTCATGGAGTGAGTCAATAGTAAATTGAATTGTAGCTTAGATATCGCAATCTTAGTAGTACCTCTACCGGAGTTGTTTCCATTATCATCATCTAGAATAATACAAATTATCGAGGTTACATAAGATACTATGATGTAATTCTGCGTCATAGAATTTAACTAAATTCTTATATATCAGTAGGAAGGCAGCATCGTATTTTCGTCATCAGAAATCTGTTTCGAAAATCTTGATGATTCATCATATATGGTATATTACGTTTCTTATATGAGTATATCTAGTCGATACATACCTCCGCTACTATTGTCTTCATCATCGCTCATTTCTCCTCTACAAATAAAAAAGAATTGGAAAAAGGTTATACAGTATGTGGTTTGGAGACCAGAGCTAAATATTTAGTCCTATAGAATAAGTACAAGATACCTTGGTGCGAAGAAAAAGTCGGGAATAAAAATTCCTAAAATCTGTTTTATCTTCGTTTTGTCGTTCTTATGAATATTAGTTTGCCTTTTCATGTGATGAATAATAAGAGAAGCAGCATCGTCCAATACTGACTTATCCTACATGAAATTAGATATTGATGAATCATAAACTATTTAAAGAAATCTTAGATTGTAGCTCGAACCTCACAGGCAAACGATAAGTGAAATTTCGGTGGTTCACCGTCGCGAATCTGAGATCGTCTCTAGAATAAAATTTTGGTAAAGCTTGTATTTTAAAAATTTTTGTTACGTAAGTAAGTTAATGTTTAAACTTGCCATAACAATACCTCCTCGAAGATGTTTTCAATTTCAGATATCATATTTTTTGATCGTAAAGCCTTTAGATCATTTGTCTTAAAAGTAATTCCCTGATGATCCAATGACTGCAAGAAAGTTACTTTATTATACAATATTCTTATTGTATCATAGTAAGCCACACAATCATTAATTTAAGATACCAAATGCAATCATGATAAGCAAACCTTCAAATAATATTTTTCATTAATATCTTTCCAAACTTTATTAAAACCTCTCCTAGCTTCTCTCCACTCTTCATCCTTTGCTTTTAGCCTAAGAAAGGTACAGAGATTGAGTTAATCCTGACACGTACTATACTATGTAGCACAATTCGTACACCGTAGCAATTCCAATATTAAATTACTAGGCCATTGTATGTGCTGAATCTTCAATGTATCGAGAGTAACTATCAAACTTCCACTCAGTAAATTGTATAATTTTAGTGACGTTAGCGAAATTCTCGAAATTTTTATATTGCGCGACAAATACACCCGGTAATCACGTAATAGGATTACCGCGTTCTAGCAGTGTGCGCTACACCAATAGGGTTAAGGAAATTGTAAAATAAATCACTACCTTTTGAGAACTATCGGAACTGCGACTGAAGGATTCTTTTTAAGGCTATCTATGATGTCAATTGCCTTATCGCCATAAAGCCTAGTTAAAGTTAGTATACAAGACATTAAAACAATACACACTTTTCAGTAAATATTGACAACGCAATTGAGCAACCTTTGAATAGCTTTCCTATAAATGACATCGCTAGTACCACTTAATCGGTTGTCAAGACGAAATTTGCTGACTTCGTCTGGATTCATGCGAGATAATTTTTTTTGCACAGATTCAAGTACTTTAATAGTTGCCGCGTTAGCCTCAATAACTATATCAAGCTCAAAACGTTCATCTTCACAGCGATAAATATGTTCTTCGAATTGAGTTTTACGTGAACTAACAAAAGTGGAATCTTCTGACCATGATGGAAATGATACCCATGTATCGTTTAATACCTATATAAAGGACACAATAAGATCTATGTATTAAGAACAATGTCAGCTAAAAATAAAAACACGAGCAATTAATTGAAGAGAATGTAGATTACCTCTTTACATAACGGCGATCTTCCGCTGCACTTTGGTTGATTAAAGGTCTTCGGCAAAGCACGATAGCTAGCGCCATAGCGTTTACACGTAGAAAAATCGATTTCCATTGTTATTTCATTATTAGTGCGATCTTTACTTCCAGGTTGTTGCTGGTCTACGTTGTTTGGCTCTTTATGGCCAATAAATATTCGGAACCAAGCAAGTAACTCAGGAAATTTACTATGCGTATGATTAAGATTAGAGAGTATAAGCAAAATAGGCATACTTTAAACGGAATACATTCTTACTTAACTCTGTCATTACCCTAAAAAAGGCGTTACTAAAGTGAGTAATTCCGATCGAGTTATAACTTCTTCGTTAAATAAAGTTAAACAGCGCAAGAAATTATCGTACACCGCTTGATTACGGAATGCCTTGCGAACCTGGTATATCAAATCAGTAACAGAAGTAATTAGAGCACACGATAGAAATCAGTAAGAAGTAATATATCATACCTTATCAAAAAATGCAAGTTCATTGAATGTCCCATGCTTCGATGCCTCCGATAGTGATACATCCTTCAACGCTCCTTTATTTCGTTTCTTGAGAAGTAGCAGTTAGTTAGTGTATATACATACATAAATATATCTACAGTGTTTGGTCATCTTTAATGAAGTCTTACTTTTCCAGAAACTTGCAAATTAGTGACGGTCGTGGAATTATTGTTAGAGCTGCGCTTACTCGTAGTGGGCTTTTTATTAACTAGAAAGTGTTTTTTGACATTAGTCACAGAATAAATATTGTTTTAAGATATTGCTGATACCTAGAAGCTTCTCATGATTTTGTTTCTTCGGAGAGAGTGTTTCTTTTTGCTCTTGCTCTGCGATGAGTGCACTATCAATGGGAAAAGGAACCTGAAAAAATAACGATAAAATAATAGAATGTAATTACTAGAGCAGAGTTGTCGTAAACATATTAAAAATCACAATTTCTATTTCTTTACCATATCAGAGAGGCTAAGATGAGCGCCGCTACCATCCGGTAAAAACTGGCTAAATTCATTTAAAAGGTCCTTGCTATCTTGAAATAACTCAGCTACGCGACTATAAACCTTATAACACATGTAAAACACATTTTTGAGCTACTCTTGAGTTGAAAGATTTAGTATGTAGTTAAAAGTACCTCTCTAATGCTCTTTTGCTCTTTTTGATATGAATGTAAAATCTCTAAAAAATCCCTGTAAACATTCGGTTGTTCTTTAAAGCGGTTCTAATAGAATGAAAATCAGCACATAGAGATTAAATCTATTTTTCTTGCTATAATAAGTTTCAATGTAGGAATCAAAAGCAACAAAGTCAAAATCAAAATAAGAACTTACCTTAATTTTATTCACATAATTTATTGCATGGTTAAATTCCATAGGATGTGCCTATCAAATAACAAAAATGCAAATACCGGATTACTTAAGAACAGTAACCATAAAAGGCTATATAAGATCACCGCTAGGATCTTAGCTATATGATTATCGTTTTGTGAGGCACATGCCAGATATGATACAATTTTAATATGATTTATAGCAAAATAATACCACATATTCTTACCTGTGTATTAGCCTGCGATACAGGTACGGGATGTTGCTGATTGTGATTTTGTTGTTGCTGCTGCTGTTGTTGTTGTTGTTGAATCGGTGCAGGTGGCGCATGTTGTTGCGTTTGGGGCTGCGGTGACTGTTGCTGATGAGGCACACGAAACTGCTGCTGATTGTTCGTGTACGTGACAGTCGTAGTGGTATGATGCTAAATTCGAACAAAGCATAGTAAGTAAATCAAGAGTTTCCCTTAGTAACTTTTAATTACTTTATAAAACTATGATCCATGCACTTTTTTAATATCTTACAGGCGATGCAGCACTGTTAGAATGAACTTCTATTTTATACCCTGGCGGTAAAAACGTATTAAACCCCATAATGAGATCTGGGTGACCTTTAAACAGGTTGGATACTCTATTTATGACACCAGGCGTATCGATGCTAAAAAGTTCATATTATTCGTAAGTTGTTAAGAGTCCATGTTATCCAAATAAAAGCTATCTCGTAATCGCTATCGCTTACATTACCTTTGTGACTTGAAATCTTTCATAATATCCAAAAAATCGTTGTATACTTGTGGCTGATTGCCAAACTGTCGCTTAACCTCATCCAGATATGATAGTGCATCCTCCACCTTAAACGTCAACAAAAGTACCGTACCTTAGTATGTTGAATCTTCCTTGAATTAAAACACGACAAAGTTCTACCTTTAAGCGTTGAAATTGCTGATGCTGGGCCTGTGGGACATGGACTTGTGTTATCGTCTAGCAATGTAATTTTATTATGCGATTAATGCTCGTATATGTAGCAAAAAAGTTTTCTAAGTACTAATGGTCCATTATGATATTAGTACTAGTTTCAAATACTATCATCACAACGATTGCTCAGGGACTACAAATTCGAGATAAAAGTCTCATTCTTGAGCTATGAGCTGACCATTGCAATGCACATATGAGCATAATCTACAGTAGTGCTTACAACAACATGACTCTAACTATTTATATGTTCGTTTTAATAACGTCGGGCACTGCATGTTAATTTATACTGCGATAAATGCTGTATACCTGTGCGTGCGTTGATTGAGCAAGAGTTGGTGGAGCTGGATGGCCAACAGTTGTGACTCTTAAATCAATACATAAAGGATATTAGTAGTGTACTAGCGTTAAGTATTAGATTGAACAAGAACTATAATTATAACCTCACGTTAGCAAGTCTAGTTACATAATGATATAACAGCAGCTAATGTCAATTTGTAGATAAGTTACAACCGGTCAACGTAGCATTACCACCAGGTGATGTTCTCTGTTAATTTACAATGGTAATCGATGGTTGACCACTAATTGCAACACTATGCGCCATTCAGAGAGTGACAGAACGACGAAATCAACACTCGAACGGAACAGAGATGCAGGGTACAGTACTGAGTACAATGTGATCTGTTTTCTTCGATATGTTTAAATACTAAAAACTATGAGTAAAACGCTTCAAAAAATACCAATCGTTATACATATTAAAATCATGCATTTGCGATCAATTTTGTACAAATTGATGCAAAAATAGCATTATCCAATGTACGGGATAGGGTCGTAGACAACGTCTATACAGTGTACAATGTACAGTACCCTATCTGTATTACATAGCTGTGGCACAGTCAACAGCGCTAGTTCTGATTGCATCACTGTACAGTAGGTATCCACAGTCCATCATCGCATAGTACATTGTAGAGTCCTTAAATGGATTGAAAAGGCAATCTAAACCCGATCAAATTGTTGATTTTTAGCCCGAAATGAGTGCAATCGCTCGCGATACAAACACTGTATCATCACAGCAATTCCTAACCCGAATTCCGCCCTCGAGTCGGGTTCAAATCGGGTTTCGGGTTGACTTTTTTTAAGGAAACTGGTATATTGCACTAGTGGTACTGTACTTAGTATACTAAGGTTTTTACTCGATGTAAAGAGCGTAGTCTAGCTTACACGGATAACCATATCGTAGAGGTAACTTGCGTAAGCTTCGATGAGAAAAAAATGTGATAAAATCCAGGCAATTACGCAACTCGAGCTTTTATTAGTATTGCATCATACGAAAAATTCGAGTACCTGTATTTTCTTCATGACAAAACATCAAAATTTTGCGTAATCCCTTTAAAATTTTACAAGACTGCATGTTCAACAGATACTGTGCGTTACGGCAATGTGCTGTACTGTACAGTATAATGTACAGTGCCCTAAGATGTACTGTACTGTATGTCGTGCTTGAAAAGTGAAAAGGGCGCGTACGGGACGGGACGGCTCTGTAATCCATAATACAGTACAGACATTGTGACGCGCGGACGGTACTATGGCGGTTGCATTGGCATATTCGACAAGACTTATAGTAACACGTAATGTTCATGGATACATCAATTTGTGCTGAATTCTGTCGATTAGAAGTTACGGAATAAAGTACAGAAGTATTCTTGTTACGTAGTTTCCTGTATCTGTATAACAGGTTTTGCAAATCTGAAAATGGGCATGCACGAATCACGATCGTACACATGTTATCATTACAGTGAAACATAAGATGTATCTCTAAATTCAGAAATTCGAATCCTTACGTCATTCCTACGAAGAACCCTCATCTGAAACCCCCTGTCCATAGTACTGGTAAAGGGTACAATGTTTTCATATAGCAAATATCAAAATTACGGGCAATTTACTGTGCAGATTGAAGACAACTCTCAACAACGGCTCAAATTGGGTCCCCGCAAAATGCAGATTCTAGTACAGTTCACAGTAGCGAGCACGTTCTAATTTATGAAGTCGTTTCAGTATGTACAGTTAGTGAAGACGAAGTACAGTACATTTGATTACCAATTAAGAAATTAGTCTTTGGCACAGTCAACATCTAATTTCTAATTTGAACTTACTGCTGAAAAGCTTGACCTGTTGCCATTTGCGTTGGGAACGAAAGGCTATCTGCAATTTCGTAACCCTGGGATATGTTCATTGTAGTTCCTGATCCCAAAACTTGGGGCTGGAAAGCTTCACGACGTACGTGAGATTTATAAATATCGTGCTCTTCAACGCGGGATCTTTTCATAGCGATTACCGATTACCGATTACCGCCGCTAGTCAGGTAATCTGTCTTACCTAAAACATTTTCGAAAAAAGTACAAGCTCAAAATACAGCCACCGGGCAAGAGATAGCGTAACAAGTCAAGTTAGTGGACTAAAAAGTTTGAAACATACAGTAGAGTAGTAGCTAAATGAACGAATATGGTGCAATGTAAGTAGATTACAGTATAATTTTAGCTGTTTTCATGTTATATACTGTATTATAGCGTACAATGTGTTACTGCCCTTCAAGTACTTGTTCAATAAGTTGTATTGTACTATACTGTATATACACTCGAGTCCTGAACTAGGTTTGGTTTCCTATCCAAGAATTTAGCATCCAATATGAAAACTTGTACGTATGAACAGAATATATCCCATTATGTCTATATCGTTTTAAATTGGCTTTGGATGCAATGAATGGAAAAAATCTGGCAGAAAGCTATAAAATATCTAAATGTACGGATTTATAATACCTGAAGTACCAGATGATCTTCTAGTCAGGTAGAAATAGAAGCGATAGTAGTAAGTTCGAGTCTCTTCCAGGAAATCCAGCAGCAGCACCGTATGAATTTACCTTGACTATCATGTACGCAAAAAATTTATATATTTTTAATTTAAAAATCGGTGTTTGTGTTCGGATGTTGCTACAGTACTCAGTACTGTACCGTACAAAAAGTAATGTCACTTGTGTTGTTTCATCCTGAGGCTAGATAGTGAGTTTTTGCTCGCGTAAATCATCGTAAATAGTGACATTGCTTTTGCTAGCAGTTTCTCCTTTACAGTGTACAGTGTACAGTACAGTACGGTAGCATACTGTACAATACTGTACAGTACTGTACTGTACAGGTTTTGATACAGTACTGTACAGTACTGTACACTGCATGGTCACTATTTGTCAGTACAATTTTTGTGATGTTTGTCTTTGTTTTCTTTTATACTGTACAGTACGTACAGTACGGTAGGATTTTGTAAAAACGAATGTGTACAGTACAATACACTCAGGTCTACAGTACAGTACAGTACTGTACTGTACTGTACTGTACTGTACGTAAAAGGAACGCTACAATACTGTACTGTACTACAGGACATACTTCACGGTAGCATGTACTGTAGATTACTGTACTATGCACTGTACAGTATTTCATATCTTTTGCCAGCACACTCCATACGAATTAGAGTCCTGTTACTATATTGAGTTTCATGTATTGATGAATTAATTATTTGTATGTACAGTATACTTGGTATGACATTGCAACGAACGTTTGAAGGAATTATTTGTGATTACACTCCATATTATTGGTGAGTTGTGATAGTTACAATGGTTGGAATGGCAGCCATTCGTTTCTAGACTAAGTTAATTGGTGCTCGTTTTTGGTGTACAGTATAGAAACACCTAGTCTTAAAGTGTAGTCTGCAGCGCCTAGCTTTGATTACAGAATGCCTTCAGTTTATTATCAACACTTAGTAGACTTTAGTCATTCTAAATCATCAGTTACAAGGAAAAGAGGCTCAATTAAGATAGTATATCATATCATATACGTATCCCAGCTGACTGTCAGCTATGTACGTATAGCTACGATCGGCCTTTATCCATACCTATCGATTTTGATCAAATTCGTGGCATATCCTTTCATACTATGCCATACTTTAATAATTATAATAATAATGAGTCTGTAAAATAGAGAATGCACACCCAATCGATCATCAACTAATATTATAAGAAATATCATTCGCACGGCTTGCTGTGCGGGTAGGTATCAATGTTCAAACCGGATGTTTTTGTTAGCCAAGAAGTGTTATTTTATCTCTCGTAATTGATGAATGATGATATCGAGATTATACGTTATTGTTATTATTAACGTGTACTGCTTACATGCATGTTGTATATGAAATTGACATCTATTTTTTGGGATATATTTTGCAGTGAAGAAAATGTATGGAAGTTATGTGAACGAATTCAACAATCATCAAAGGCTGTCATACAAGAGTTCTACGCCGTTTTCATATCGAACGATAATAAAACGGTATTGATTCCCATTACAGTACCGGGTGCCATAGCATGTTTGATAATAATATCACTGTAGTCATAATTACTGCTTATTACTAATAGAATATCCCGTTCGCGATATTTTGCATACAGTAAATTTTAATTTAATACTGCGTATTTGTATTGAACAATATTTGGTAGACTAATTTTCCGTTATTCCCGGTGACGGTACTGATGCTTTGTTGCAGTTACAGTAAAGAGTTTTTTTTTTCGGTGTGTTAATAATGTGTTAGACCCCCGGCTAGTGCAAAAGTTTCTTAGCACACTTGGCTAAAGTTGGTCTTCTGATGCATTATGAATCAGTAAACATTTACGGCACTAATATGGCTTACGTAGGATATTTCTTAAACCAAATGCATTATTTATTAATTTGGTGAATCCGTCACTCCCAGTCGTTTTCAATTAACACATGCATTTATATCAAACTTCAGTGTTATCCAGTTCCCTCTTGTTGTCAATTTATTTATTTGGATTAGATTATAACATGATTAAGCAAAGTTGTCATTCAACATATCGTTAAGGAAGCTATGCAATAATGGAAAATTATCTCGTATTGATATCTATCAATCGTTTCCTTTAGAATTAGGATGCCGTTTTGTACTAGTTTAGGTTACTATGCAATTTTAAATAGTGCTAAATCTTGTTTAGGTAGCCTTATGGAAGCAGCAAGCGAGTGATAAAGAAAACGGCCTGATTGTTTGGGTAGTTAAAGCTTGTCTAGCTAGTTTTGCTTTAATTATTTATTCAATAGGCTATAACAATTATAAGCATACATGTGATGCCATTATTTGCCATGTAAAATTTCGATCTTCCTTCTAACATTATCACCTCAATTCTAATTCAGGACTATCACGTAATACTGATACGAAAAGCCTCTAATTTAGTCTCAGTGTTCGACTTCGATTCGCAATTGCAGTTTCCGTGTACGTTTTACGATTATGTTACACATGGCTTAAGGCCTGATGATGAGTTACAGAAGCAATTTCAAAGGTACTATCCTAGAGCGTTGAAGATACATTTTCAACTGACGAGTATGATATCTTGAACTGGTTGCATACTTTTTGAGTGTAAAGTCTAAAATAGCATTCTAACGTAATTTTGATTTTCTAAATTACCTAATATTCTATGTTTACAACATTAGTCTGGTTAGACTGTATATATTTAAATCGTTACGATTGCTAACAATAGTCTCACTAGCGTTTCCAAACGTATCACTGTAGGCTTTTTCGAGTGATTCCAGCTTTAGATTTCTTGGAGACTTTTGCTTCCGATCGCTCTCATATGAAAACTACAAAAGATAGCAATACCTACCTCAAAGCTCCACCTCCATATCCACCAATCTTTACAAAAGGTATCAGAGTATTCAAAGGTGTTCAAATTCTTAAATCTGTCTTACCTGCCAAATTTACTGAAGTAAAATAGGATATTAAACAATCTTTCGCCAGTAGGCATATAATATGTTGTCGTTCTCTTTTATTATACGCTGCAGACTGCTCCATGAATTTACCGCAATTCATTAAGATGGAATTGACATCAGTACCCGGACAGATATTAAATTATGAAAATTTTTTACATTTTTTTAGATCGGATTAAATAATTATTATACGCACTGTATTGATGCAGTAGCTAGAAACATGATTAAATCGATGCGATAAAATAGAAGTAACTGTTTCTTCGTGTCTCATGAGTATACATTTATTTGTACAGTACTAGATATCACCTAGTATACATGTCTACGTATTATTTGATCTAGTTTAATCTAATAAAATATTGTACTTGCATAACTATGTCTGACGATATGATCATTAGCCAATATGGCATTTGTTGTAAGTACATCTGTTTAATCGTACGATATTAGTTCCTTTAGTTTCTTGAATGCACATTGAATTTCTAATAATGGACTAGAATAAGTAGAAGGCAGTCTCATGCGCCAGGAGATTGCTAAAAGGTTTAGTACATGCAAGGCATACTTCAGTGCAGTAGCTTAATTACACCGTACAGTAAGAATAGGAATTTAGCTGCTCCAGCACAGCTATTCAGTAAAAAATGAATAAGATTCTTCTTCATCTGTGGTGATGGCCTAATTTCAAGGGTTTGCAGCTTATCAGTATGTACTGTATTATAAACTGTATAAACTGCAGTCAGCAAAGCAATTTATGCAAAATATTTTGAATAGAGTTGTAGAGGAAGCTGTTTAGTATCCATTAAATTGGAGGGTACAAACGGTGATTTGTGTTCATAAGATAGTTGATCAAAGACACCAGGCTTCACAATGTACGATGGAAAATCGATGGGTCTAAAAATTTTTAGGAGGGTTAAAGGGAGTGCGAAATCGAGTTTGCGCCACCCTAAATTGTGATATTTTTCAATTAAAAAACAAATGGCCAATGAAGATTATTAATCTGTCTATTATTATGCAATGGCAGACCTCTGCAAATGATATGATTTTAAAATGAAGATTTGTGGGCAATACCTTCCAAAACTGCTAGCCAGTACCCGCGCTGTGTAGCATGATGTAATCAGAATTTCATGCGGTATCATACTGTGCAGTACTGTGGGAGAGAAAACCTTACAGTAGTGTATACTGTACAGTATCGTTCAGGGACTACTAAAGAGAAAAATACAGTACAGAACAGGACATGTAAAGTAGTACAGTACCGTCAATATATACAGCACAGTAATTAAACTATACAGTGCTGTAAGTATTGCATAGCTAAAAGATCTTTTGAGACATTTTTTGTTGATGAAGGCGATATAATTACAACTTGGAAGAGTCCGTAGTACAGCGCTTTGATAACAGAAAGTAACATTTGTCATTAAAGTAATGAGAATTTAATTCGGTATTCGTACTGTACGTGTGCTCGCTGACTCATTTAACATGTTTCGTTCATCGCTTCATTACTTGAAGCTAAATGTAAGTTGTCTCCAAGGCGCAACGTCAATTAGTAAATTGCAAGCGCTCAAATGTAGAAATATTACAACTAGTCTCATAAAGCATGGAGAATTTAACGCCAAATTCTTGATTGTTGGTGGTGGCAGTGGAGGAATTACTGTAGCTTCTACTTTGACTAAGAAGTTTGGCGCTGGAACCGTTTGGATTGTGGAACCATCTGAGGTAGATGGATAAATGTTGTTATTAAACGAGAAGTAAAACTATATTGCAATTGTTCAGTTTTAAATTAGTCAAGGCAATAGATTATATTACACGCCTAAATTATCTAGTGTGATAGTTGCAAAATTAGAGAAATGATTCAACAAGAAATATTCTTTTAACGTCAATTTCATATAGTATCATTACTATCGGAGCTTATGGCCAATGATCAGTTGCGGAATAAAAGTTTCCAGTCGATCTCAGCTGCCAACGAGGAAAGTATTACCTTACGGATGTGAGTGGTTAAAAACTGCAGCTGCTCGGTTTGATCCTGATAATAATTGTATCTTTACGGAAGATGGCGACAAGGTAAGATAAATATGCTACAATGTATTTACAATTATGGATTAGTGATCCGAATTAACCGAACCGTCTGACTCGTATAATTATCCTGTATAAGTACGAGATCGGAGTCGGTACAGATCATACAGATTTTTTTGTTACCCTCTATAGTACAGATACACTACTGTAAAATGGGATAGTTAGCCATCAGGTCCAACTTGTTGGATTAACCTTAATCGTTACTGTATTGCTATGGATAATTTTCGATTAAGTTCTTCTTTCATTGGCACTGTACGTGTATGATTCCTTAGGTGAAATACGAGTACTTGGTTATTGCCGTTGGAGTACAACCTCAATTCGATCAGGTATTACATATTGTATAAAGGACAATAAATACACGTACAGTATTGACCTAAAAAGATGAACACGCTAACTATAGTACAGTATACAACTACTACTGCAATTATGCAGGATTCGGCATAGTTTAAGAGTATTTATTCATTGCAACTGATACTTTTTAATCTTGTTGTTATGCTTAACGTTATTTTCTCTATCTTAATTCATTTAAATTACAGATTACAGGTTTAGTTGAAGCTGTTGCAAATGGTTCTGCTACATCGATATACGATACTGATGACGTCGCTAAGACTTATGAGAGACTGCAAGAATTTCGGTCCGGAGAAGGGTTATTTGCTTGTTCGAGGTCTACTGTTAATTGCGATACGACGACGCTTAGCATGGCCTATTTGGTCGATGATTATTTGCGCCAGGTTAGTTTAATTTAATAATTTGTTTTATGGATACGCATATTATCATAAGGCCTTATGCATGTATATTTAATTTTTAAATCGCCCTTTAAGGTTTATAGACTAGATATAGACTACAGCAAAGACTAATCTATTAGATGCTAAAATTCAATTTCCTATTTGATTAGTCTGGAACCAGAACAAAAGTACAAATAGACCTGTTTACTCCTTTTGAGCAATTGTTTCTGGTTGACAAGTATTCGAAGCGCTTAGATGAAATTTGTCAACAGAAAAATGTACTTGTTCACAAAGGTTACAATCTACTTGAGGTCGATGATGATCGAAAGTTAGCGTTTTTTAGGAAGGAAGACAATGAATCTACTGACAAACTTGAAATGAAGGTAAAATAGATATCTAGCTTCTTAGTGTGTGTAGATAATTATATTATACAGTGCTAATATATATATATATATCAATTCACGGATCAAATAAAATTTATCCTATAAAATTACTAAAATCATCTTAAGTAAAAGTCGTTGCACTATTTTTTACTTATTTGTCATATCAATAAGCCAGAGCTAACATATTTGGTTATTATATCGTTATACAGTTTAATTTTCTATATGTGGCCCCCCCTTTAGCTCCTCCTAAGGTCCTTGGATATAGTAAATTGGCTGATATGAAAGGAATGCTTAATGTTGATGCGCAAACATTGATTCATAAGGAGTTTGGTAATGTTTTTGGCATTGGTGACTGTATTGGTTGTGGTGTTGGTAGATCTCTTGGTGCAGTAGGTGCGCAAGCGAAAGCTCTACAAAAGAATATTGAGAGTATTCTACTTGGCCTGCAGCCAAAAGCTACAGTAAGAATGTCAAATTTTCCGTTTGAGAACGTATTTTCTATTGTTAAAGAATTGTATATTTTTTGACTTTAGTATTCTGGTTATGCCTCATGCGGCATTTTTACTGGCAGCAAAAAGTTACTTTTTGCTGAATATGACTACAATTTTGAACCATTAGAAACATTTCCTTTTAATCAATCCAAGGTAGCAATGATATTATATGTATCTGTTTATTTATATGTATACGTACTAGCTAAACTTATATTCATAGCTACTTCAATATATTAAAAAATACTTTCATCATAGGAACGTAAAAGTTTGTTTCTACTTCAACGAGACTATTTTCCTGAACTATACTGGAATGGCTTAGTAAAGTTAGTAATACAGCATTAAGAATTTGATGTTTGAAATGCAATGTATACATATATTTTTATCTCAAATTAATCATGTAGAGGCAAATGGGATGATCCTATCCGGTGGAGAAAATTTCTTAAAATTAGAGATAAATTCTTGGAAAGGAGGAAAAAAAGACCGCGTTAAAAATTTACTAATTGAAGTGTATATATATAACTAAAAACCATGGTTTATAGAATAGACTATATTCGGTTTAATGCGGTTAATAATAAATTATTAAATAATAAATTATTAAACAAAGGCAGTGAGATTTCGTAATTGATGTAGGAAAGCAGTAGCTGTGCAATTTATAGACGATACAGTATAGTATGTGCTATTGGATATTGTGTACCTGTTAACCTGTCCATCATAATTTTTGTACAGTATTGTCGACTTTGCGCATAACATTACTGATGGGTGTTGGAGTGTTTACTTGTAACGAGTTCAGGTTTCTGTAGATTCTGCTTGATGTATTGATAATACAAGCAATTTACTATCGAATTTTATCTGCCTTAGAATAAATACTTGATATATTTCTGTAATTGATATATCTTCAAGTATTCTCAAAGACACATTATAACTATTAATGCACTAGCTTCTAATTTTTAAGAAGTGTTACTCAATAAAAGAGTTATAGTAATCGATTGCACTGAAATTTATATTGTACAGAGCATACTGCATTATTATATGAGCAATCTGTCTCCCATCTTAGCTATTATTTAGATGACTTATAATTGATAGTACTTCTCGTACTGATAATAAACTAATTGTAAAGCTGGAACTTCGTTTACGCTCTCTAATCTAAATTACGAGCAGTTAGTAATATTATTTACACTGTGTAGAAAGTATCATGACTTGTAGCTTTATTCAATTTGTATA